CACTTCAGAAGACGTCATTTTGCAAAACATTCAAACAACTGTAACTGCTCAGAGTTCAATACGGTCTCGGCAAAGCGGGTAATACCCGTAGAATATACCTGTTACATCCGCTAGAAATATCGACGCCTTTGAGTGAGAACCCAATTGCGACATTTTCATTCCCACATTGTACATTAATCCACGAATCCATCGTGAGATCGATCGCATTATGCATTATGATCCGCCGTTTTTTACAAATAGAAGAGTGATGTAACCGAGCAAATATCCGCCATATAAAATGGCAAACAAATGAATCATGAGACTCGCGAGACGTCGGGTGCTTAGTTTTACTTCGAAATTCGCGATATTCGACATGAAGAGGGGAAACTACATTGTATCTTATTTACAAGACGAAATATAATATAAGGTCCCACGTAGCGAAATAAAACGTAGCAATATGAGATTGAGGGCCTGCATTTTATTTAATCCTATTTGGCTTATGTTTACTCTCAATTATTACAAAATTACTGGCGCAGAATCTGCGAAACGGATATGACGTCGACGTTCAGCGAAATATCTCGGAAATCCAACCGAAACTAGTCCACTTTCCGAGGAAATTACCAACGTAATAAACGTACAACACGAAACCCGTGTTTACGACTATTAAATATAACAGGGGAAGTTTCCTTACTTACACACACAAACACGTCATCGTATTTGCGCTCGAACGTATTCAAACAAACTATTAAATATTCAACCGCATAGAGATGTTGGAACATAACAAAACCATTAGCGGGAATAAGACGGGAACAATAACGGCAATAATTTCGTCGTAACTCGATATTAATTCGTTTCAATGGGCTCCCGGGGAAAGGATTTCGCAATGCATGCCAGTGATTGCCCATTATATTAAGGTTTTGTATGATATTAGAGCGATCGCGGTCCATTATTCGCCATTATTAATTAGTCCCGGTGAGATGTGGCGTCGATACTTCCACGGGTTATTTCGCGAGTAAAAATAAAGCGTCTGGGTTTTTTCTTTCACGAATTTTGCAAGTTGGCAACACGTGTTGCGTCAGCATATAAAAAAAACTAATAAGGTTCAGACACACTTCCAAATCAAGGTCTCCAATTTTTGTTTATCTCAAGACACCGTTATTCGGGCTTCCTACACTAGCTTCACGACTTAGCATAATTCTTAGAAGCATATTTACTCTACGGAAAATTTAGTAACGTTGACTGAAGGCAGTGCTATGTTGCCTTTTCTTTTCATGCCGACAATTTATTTCCAAGCTTATCATCATTTGAGTGCATTGATTTAGTTTGTTATTGAATGGCACTAATTTGCCAGAATTTATCTTCAAATTTGATAATAATTTTTTTTAGATAACTATCAATGGGATCCTGCCAATCACCTTTGTTTAAATGACATTTTTATGAACAATCTTGGGAGAAAGATATGAATGTAATGTATGGTTTTTTATTGCTAGGATTTTTTGAGTGATTTTTGTTTAACTCTTATTGATGTACGTTTTAAAATAAAATGATGAGGGGTGGTTCAATGTTTTTTAGGGAACTGTAAGCTGTCTAGTCTCTTTGTAAAAACCGTTTATTGCTCCAAACGCATCCTGTGATATGTCTAATTTAATGCGACATTTTTTTTTTCATAAAAAAATATAATGAAATGATAACTAAAAAGTTTTGTCAAAATGGTATCTCGATGTGTAGCCTAAAAGATAAAAGAAACAAAGCTTGACAAAAATTTCAATAAGATGCAATTACATCGTCATTGATGCTGTTTTATGTATTTGATTTTCCAGATTGAATGATAAAATGTCACAATATTAACAACAAACCTTAAAATCCAAATAATCTAAATCATAGTAAATAGTTGCAATTAGTTAGACTAATTTGCCCTTCTGCCTTTATCATTAAAGGCAAATTGTTCGTAATCGATCGCCAGAAAATTTATTGTAAAAATATCTTAATTTTTCAAAGAAGCTTCCACAGGCTACTGTAATCCTTTTTACAATACTTCTGGATTCCTCCTGCGTCGGTTTTTGCTTAGTCGAAATCGCTGACGTTTCGCCAATCATCCTGTTGACTTCTTCAGAGCTTGACTGAAACAGTTTCAACTGAGCAAAAACCAACGCAGGAGGAATCCAGAAGTTTTGTAAAAAGGGAAAAAATATCTTCTTAATTATTTTGATTCCGCCACACAAATGGCACCGTAGAGCCCGGGTGTAGCTTCTACGAGAGGTAAACAAAGAAGTAGATGATGTGGCTATACTCTGTGCTAATAAATACGACTACTACGAAAGCGAATTTAAAAATTAAACCCAATGGAAATTAACGAAAGGTTCTTATAAAGGTTTAATTCGTCTTCACGATCAAAACGTAATTTCCGTCGAAAATCCCTTATAGTCGCTCGCGCCAGGTCTGAAAGTTAAATAACTTTAAAATGGCTTTGTAACGGACAAAATGCAAATTCGGCGTTTTTAATTTTTTTTTTGTTCGCGTCGCAGATAAGCGATCCGAATAAAGCGGAGAAGATTAAAGCTGTCGTACAACGCGACTTAACGAGTCCAAACTTTTTCTATTTAAACGCAAAAAACTTATTCTCCGAAGGTGCTCTCGAAGCAAAGTTTTCCCAACTTCAATCGAATTAAGTCCCTCGAATCCGCGCTCTCTTGTTCAAATCCGGGTTCCGGGATTTAATAGAGTGAAAAAAAATTTTTTCATCCGCTCCCGTTCTAAGATGTCTTTGTATTGGATCGGCGAAGTTTTTTAATTGAATATCGCCCCGCTTGATTAGGTTATCCTCTCCCCCCCCCCCACACTCATCCTTCTTTTCGCCGTAGATTAATATTTGCCAGTTAAAGGTGATAATTTTAAATTGACGTTTCCATTTAAGCTTCTTCAATTTTTTTTCTGCTCTAAAAGACCCAATTATACTTCGCCTAACGATATACCGTTTTTACGACATAATCCGGTATTTCACTTTGTTAAATTTATATGAAGGTCTAACCGTAGGCCTACCTAATCGATTCGCATTTCGATGAAGAAGTAAATTTAGCTATAATACAGTCTTAGAATATTTTTTTTAAAAAGTTATTCTACATCAAAATAATCACTATTGTCACTGAACTCGTCCTCCATATTAACCATTAATTGTGGCACTAGTCTTCTTCGATGTCATGTTCTATAAATTTTTTTCATCTAGCCGCAGGTATTTTTTCTACCTCACTTCTAATTAATTCTATTGCCCCAGAACTAAATTTCGGCGAATTGTTGTTTTTCCTTAGACGGGGTTTCAGCTGTCCCCATATTAGTTTCGAAGCATTATCTACCCCACGAAACTAGCACATCAAACGAACATTTCCTGCTGTTACCATCAGTCCATCCTTTCTTGACGGTATCATGGCTATCAAACCAGTTGTCATCTAAATATATGGCGTGGAAGTTTTTAGCACGAATTTCTTGGATTCCATCAAAACTTGTCTCTTCTTGATGGTTTTGTAATTAATAAAAACCAATTCTTCGTACGAACGCATGCCAAGTCTCTTGGCAACAGTCAATGTTCAAAACGCTACGCAACTCTTCAAGTATTTAATTGTTAAAACAATATTCTTCAGAATCGTATCATATAGCAACCGTCTCGCTATTCCGACTTTTTGGGATCCCACGATCTTTCCCCGTTTTTCGTGGGCACCAATGACAACTATGTCATGTACCGGCGGCATACGGTTTTTAGTCATGTCGGACCTTAATTTTGGGGCTCCATTTGAAATTATAATTTTGGCAGCAATCGGCAAATGTGACCGAGCAACTTCTTCGTCGCTTGACAGCGCAAGTCACTAACAAAATTAAATAATATTAGTATTTGGTAAGAAACAAATTGTTGTTATTATCTGCATAAGATTTTGCATTACTTTCCTAGGAAAATATTTCATTAAATTATTATGTTAAACCATTAAATTGGAAGCCCGTTTAAACTTTCTAATGTGTTTTGAATATAAGAATTCAACATATCTAATGGGCAAATTCAACTTGACATCGAGCTACCTCCAGTAACGACTATTTTAGTAAGATTTAGGAAATGCACACAAATATGACAGTTTAATGAAACAAAATTTCCCTAATCGTAAAATACGACAGTCCGAACGGTACAGTTCTTCTTGATTAACATCTTAAATACGGCCCTGGCTTGTGGTACACGGGCTGAAAAAAATGGTCTCTTCCGCTTTATAACAGCCGGGTCTTAAACTCATTTCGAAGTCAAAATCACTGGGCGAATGCTTATAACTTAGCCACTTATATTATCTGTCAAACTTGTTGCAATTTTGTACTATACACGTTCCAATATTTTGACGAAGAAATTGCATCGTATCTACGGGACTTTAAACAGCTTTATATTCGTCGTCACTGTATTATACGTATGATCAGCCTTACGAGTCGCGAAAAAAAAAACATTCCACGACGAGGGACTTCGCAGTTGTAACTGCGCTTTATAATTCCGATCGTTTCATCTCGATGCGACGCGGGGAGAAATACATTGGTGGCCCCATTAGAGAACCTCGCGGAATATCTGCCAGCGCTTTTTCACAGTCGCAATTAACAATTAACCACAGCCGGTGCTCCGTAAAGGGAATCCGGCTTCGCCTTGTACGCCGTACGCTTTATTATGTAATTAATGTTATTAAAACGATTCGATTAACCACTTAGACGCAATTACACAGGATCGGGAATTTTATGTATAACGAATGCGCTAATTCGAATATCAAAATGGCAATTAGTCTAATTTCATTGAAATATTAAATGACAATTTTGCAATCTTGCGTAACAGGAAATGAAACAATAAATTCGGATTTTAAGGTACTATCAACAATATAAAAATATAGTTTAATGTTATCTATTTGTGGTTTCAGATAAAAGTCAGACTGAAATGTATTTTCATAGAAAAAAATCCTTTTTGAGGTCACGTAGGCGCCGAATAAAACCCGTTCATTTCATTGTTTCAGGGTTCCGATGCCAGTTCTGTGATCTTCGCCTCGACACCGTCGTCCCGCAAACATGAGTTTCCCGGAGCCTTACCGCCTAGTTTGCCCCAAAGCCTTCCCCACGGTCCGGGCAGTAGTCCGGTGCCGGCACCGACGCCCCCCAATTTGCCGGCACCGTCGCCCGCACCCGCGCAGCAGCCGCCGAACCATCCCGCGCAGTCGATGCAATCGGCGACTGCGCCGCCGCCACTTCCGAAAGATCTGACCGCGCAGTCGACGGTCGGCGCGGTCAAGTCGGAACCGATGTCCCACGGAAAAATACCCATCGGTCAAGGTAGTTAATTCTAATCGCCATAATAACTATGACAATTTGACAATTTTGATCGTCTGAAGCGTTTTCTAGAAAAATTTAATCGGATTTAGATCAGGTTTTTCCACCAACTCAGCTTTTATCTCGGCCATAAAGCATTGAATAATAAAAATATGGCCTTAAGTCTTTCCTTTTACATGATACGCGCCTTTGACCAGCGTTAAGCTGGCTAGACAGCGGGTCGAAGTCGATCGAGTGGAACCCCTCAGGGACCTTGTCTGTCTCCACCAACACTGTTCATTATTTTTATTAATGACTTGCCAGACTTCCTGACAAATCTGGGTTATCCAGTAATGTACGCCGACGGCAGCAGTATTATAATTAGAACTAAAAAAAAAAAAAGAATTTGCCACTAAGAGTAGAGTTATGGCCTCTGGATTGCAGTATCATAATAAAAACAGGAAATAAATGTTGATGTTGATCAAAAACTTTTATGAACTGATCGTAATTATAATATAAGTGTTAAATTTGGTACACCACGGGCCTGTTCATATTGCACACATCAGGTTTTCATGGCTCAAAAAAGAGTGATCAGATCCATAGCAAGGGTATCAAGGTCATAGTCATTCAGAGAACTTTTTGGTTCCTTACAAATTTTGACGCTGACGACCCTTTACGTGTACTGTCTTATTCTACATACCAATAAAACAGAACCCAAATTGTGACAGAGGCATGAGAAAATTAAATTGAGCAATCTTTTTATGTGCTATCAATTTGCCAACAAAAAACGGATTACCTTGTTATTAAAAATTATATTATACACTATCCGAATTTTTCAATGATCGCAGATCTCCAGCGTTGTGAGGATTGATCATATAAATACTCTGTGTGATGTTTTTTTTTGCTTAAAGTGTATGTTTGTTTTTTTTACGTATATTTGTTATGTACTATCCCAAAATGTATCGTATTATTTAACTGTATGCCTTACATTGAGCGCAGTTAATAAAAATTAAATCAAATAGCAAACGAAAACAGGTCTAGAAAGATTTCATAAGAATGCCTCACATTTTATGCAATTTAACTCCAATAGTAGGGATTGGTTACTTATGCGCTTGATACGAGCACATGAGTGAGGCGGGACACTCGTGATCTGTGCTGCCATCTATAGGTGGGCGGCGAAATTTCTTTGGGAATGTTAGATAGGAATCTGTAACTTCGTTAACTCAAGATTTATCCTGGGTGACGGGGGACGCGGAAGTAACGAATCGCTACTACTAAATGGGCCGTTTAAAAGTTTTCCATTAGGAAAAAGTGAAAACTAGGAACGCCCTCTCATTGTTGATCGCAAATAAATTCGCATTGAAATCGCTGAAATTATGAATTTGATTGCTTTTGAAGGTTTGTTAATTTGCTTGCTAACGGTGCAATCTAAATTTTAAGTATCGGAAACTAGATTGTGAATGAATGCTGGGTTCAGTCTCGGATTTCATACGAGATACAGTCATGCAATTAATGCTTTCGTAGCCCAGAAAAGAAATATTAGGTGCATTGCCAAGCTATATCCCAGTACTTTCCACCAAGAATATTTTGACAGTCTAAGAATCCTTACCGTTCCTTCTCTATATTATCTGTCGATGATTACTTGACCGAGCGACGTCTCGGTGATGGTTCCTTGTCATTGAATCTTTTTTTGTAGGAAATAAAGGATATTATGATTATAATTACTTTCAGTTCCAGACATCGGAATGACGGCAGCAGGGCCGCCGCCGACGATAGTCGCTCCGCAACCACCACCCCCATCCGTGCCATTGACGGCGGTATCGATGCCTCAGCCCGCGGCAGCGCCCACCACTCATCACCCGCTGGCACTGGACTCGTCCGGTGCCCATCCGGGTGTCCACGGACCGAGGACGGACAGTCCGGCTGTCGCGACGTCCGCGAACGCCGCCGTGGCTCCGTCGCCTGGACAGTTTCATCATTCCTATCAGGTAAAATAACCATCACTGCCCAATACAAGGTGTTATCGAATTGCCATCGGATAATTTAATGGACGAATCTCAGAATCGAGGAACAAACCGCAAAAATAACGAGTGCAGTGTGGTTTTTTAGTAAAAAGTCTTTCGGCTTAACAAAGTATGAAAATAAGTGACTAGGCGATCTTTTATCACTTTAACTTCTAATACTAGAAAAAAACATCAATTCCAATAACAATTGATTAAGTTGTTACCTAATACGTCATATTAGACCAAACTACCGTCTACATGATACTACTGAGTAATAGGTACATTTCAAATTGTGAGTTTCAGAATCCCCTGGTGGGATCCCGATTCACCCATTAAATCATAAGCGCCCAGGTGCGTGTCAATCGTGGATTTTAAATGTTTCAGCCCATCTACGCACCCTACGCCCATTCTGGCGCGTCAGCATATCCTAGTAGCGTGTCATATCCCGCGACCAACACGACTAGTATATCGCCATCGGTACCTCCCGCGCATTCGCAAACGGTTTCCAGCGGTGGTTCTGCGCCGACTCAGTCTCTAGCCGTTCCGAGTTCGAAATCTCACCACCAAGTCACCGAACAATCGAGGGAAAAACGTGCGATATCTCCTGCGAAACCGACAATGAGTCCTAGGATAGAAACTAGGGAGAGGGAGAGTTACAGGTACGCGTTTGGTAGTTGTTCAAGCAGCTTCAATCAACCAATTAACAGTTTAGATTACGAAGGTGGTGTGAAATTCAGAGTCTAGAATTTGTAAAATTGGGGCTGCTTATTGATTTATGAAGTAAATGAATTTTTTGCAATGAAACCACTGAATCTTAACAAGATAAGAAGGGACACTGGGTATTGGGTTTTTCATTGTTGTGGTTAGATTAGACAGTTCGCCTGGATGGGTCTTAAAGCCCGCGCGACTCGAGCCTTTGTATACGAGGGATCATCATCGAGACCTACTTGTTCAGGTACAATAAATATTGCCGACGCGGAATTTGCGTATTTAAAAAATATTTCTTTATGCTCAGTTCGGGTTTTCTCGTAAGGAAAGTTGAAGTATAAAGAGAATTGTTGAATTGCTCAGTAGAATTTGTCTTTTTGTTAAAATCATGAACGAAAATTGTTTAATTGCTGTACTACAATATTTAACATTCAATGAACCCTATCGACGGGCGATACGTACTACAGCCTCTATAGACTTGCCGCCATCGGGTGCCACGAGGAGTTACAGTCTGTTCATAGATATAAAAACAGGTCCGTACTTTGCTTAGAATTTAATTATTTGGGGTTCTGTTATGAAAGATACTAAACAATATTTATTTATTTATGTATGTATTTATGTTTAAATTATTTTTATTACCTACTTAAATTACTTAAAATTATTCACATAATATATCAGTATCACTATCACTGTCATCGCCTGTTCTAATTATTATTTGTGCTATATTATTTGCAATATGGATATACGATTGTCCTGCTTTTTCTATATGTTTAACAGAATTTGCCCAACTTTGTGGAGGGATATTAAAAACTTCGGTTTCTATAAATTTGAGGACATTGGAGTTAACACGCGGAAAAAACAACATGTTCAATGGGATTAAATATACAGTGGTAAGGTGGAAGCCTTAAAACTGTAGGCACTAGATTTTTTGCATAATTATCACAGAAGTATTCCTTTTGTAGGTTCAAGCTTTGTAGAACCTCAATTAATTGCTTTTTGGTATAATCTTCGTGAAAATAAATGTCGTATTATACATGTAGTTTTGGATTGTTGCTTTTGTGTCACATGAGGAAGGGGTTTTAGTCAACTGTCTACTGTGATAACTTGCATTGTCCATTACAATTACGCTACTAGGAGGAATGTTTGGAACTAGTTTGTTTTTAAACCAACTTTCAAATAAATCAGCGGTGGTGTCTTCATGGTAATCCAGAGAAGAATCTTTAATATTTTTCGCAGACAGAGAAAGTCCATTTGGAATCCAACCATCTTTAGAGCCAGCATGCACAATAGTTATTCTTTTACCTCTTTTTGATGGCGCGTTTGTTTTACACTTATCAGTTGAGTCAACCCAACCCTTTTCCTGTGTATCATAAGTGACGAACCAGATTTCATCCAAGTAAATAATTGGCCTTTGTTGTTCTCTGTAAATCCTAATTTTTTCTAGATATTCCAGTCGCCATTTCCGAATTCTAAAAGATTCCATTAAAACTTGCCTTTTGTCAATTTTTTTAAATCTAAAACCCATGTGTTGAATACACTTCCATAAGGTAGTTCTGCCACATTTAACACCGGTTTTATCTTTTTCATGCCTCCTAATTAAAATATCTAATGTAGGCACGCTTTGTTCCTCGTATAATTGGTAAATTTTACTCCGTATTATATCTTGATCACTTCCATCTACAATCGAGAAAATGTCAGCATCGCTTCTTTTTTTCCTCGCTGAAATTTCGCACAATTTTCCATACAGTTGATGTTGGAATTTTCATCAATGTGACCGTTTCTTCTAAAGATGATTGCTTGCCGGCACCACGTTTAATGAGAGTCAAATAAACATTGTTTATAACTTCCTTAGTCTCAATAGAATAGTGACCACAATTTTACCTGAATTTAAATTCCGAAACTTTAGATAATCACTTTATTATATCTATGAACAGACCATACCCAAAGAGTGATAAGGGGGGAGATGTGTCGTGAACTTAATGTTAATGTTTCTTTTAATAATTAGCTCGTTCGTGTCGGCTTACGAGTCTTAAAAGGCATACGGGTTGTGTTATAGCAATGTGACCTCGCTCAGCCGCAGCAGCGTTCAGACGACTGCGGCACCCCAGTACAGCTTTCCAGCCCCAACTACCACAGTGTCTTCTAGTCTAACAGCGGTGTCGGCTTCGCCCGGGCCCGCCGCGCCCCCAGCCCCCCTGGTAGCGAAACCGTGGGCAGCGCCAGCGACCGCGGCCCCATTGGCGCCGGCGCCGGTGGTCACGCGGCTCAGCCCCGCGCCACCCAGGCCAACGCCGCCGCTGCACACGACCGCGTCGTATCCCGGCGCGGCTCCTCCACCTATGTTTGCACCGCCTCCCGTCTCGACCGCTAGTCCGCTCGCGCCAGCAGCCCCGACGGTGGCGCCCAACCCGAATCCGTTTTCGGCCGAAAGCTTGTTTCAGACCAGTAAGTCTTGTTTGCACGCGAAAATAAGTAACCATAGTCACGAAACTTTAAAATTCACAATTCTCAAAAATTTTAAGGTAAAAATTCGATGTAAAGTTTTAAAATTTCTTATTTCAACTCAAAATTTCAAATTTGGTGTTTAACTTTTGTAAAGTAACAATGAAAATATTTAAAAAAATTAAATAAAAACATTCACAGAAGTTTAAAATTTCGCAAGGTATGTGGAAATTTTTTTAACTTAAAATATTTCTTATCTTAACTAGAAATTTCACCTTCAATTTGCAATTTTAACTCAAAATTTAACCAGCAAAATTGCATTTTCATTTAATAACAAAAAAATTTATGAAAAATTTGACGAACGTGTCAAGTTTCGCACGTTAAGTAGAATTTTCAACTCAAAATTTCGTTGTAGTCTTGAAATATAAAAAATTCGTTTTTATGTTTTATATTTTGATATTTTAACTCAAAATTTCAATTTAATTAAGAAATATTTGAACATTGTAAAATTTTCACCGTCAATTTACTATTTTAATTCAAAATATTCAATTTATTAATAAAAATTTTATAAGTAAAATGTCATGCATGTAACTTAAAATTAAAATACTTCTTATTTTAACTAGCAATTTCAGCTTAATATGTGGTATTATAATTAAAATTATATTAAAGAAATTTGCAAAATTTTTTAAAATTTTCACGAACTCAAAATTTAACCTGAAAATGTTCAATTTAGCAAAAAAAAATATTTGCAAAGTTGTAAAAATTCGAAGGTTTAGTGGAAATTTCAACTTAAAACTTCATTGTAATAGTGAAATTTTAATTTAATTCCTGTTTTTACTTAAATCGTTTCTCATTTTAACTTAAAATTTTTGCAGTTTTAAAAAATTTCGACTTAGATGACAAAATTTTCAAATAGGTCGTTTGTTACATTGGTTGTTACGTCATTTTAGATCAGGCGGATATGCTGCGCAGAGAGTTGGACAACCGGTTCCTAGCGTCGCAGGATAGAGCGCTGGGCGTGGCGCCTCCGCCGTATTTGAGAACGGAAATGCATCAGCACCAACATCACCACACGCACGTGCACCAGCATACCACGTCGCTGTTACCACCGCCTGGGGCGTCGGCGCTTTTTTCCTCGCAGCTGGTAAGTCGGTTGGGTAGTTTTGGTGGTCACATTTGTTGGTAACTTACTAAATTCCCCAGTTATAAAAAGAGACCCGTCGTCATTCGTAATTAAAACTTTTGGTGAGGAAACGGAATTTACATAAATTAACCTGGAAATGCCGAATGGGTCAGAGAATTGTTATTCTCTCAAATTGCTTTTATTATTTTCCATAACTTCTGTTTACACTGGTGAATTCTGCTCACGTTTCTGGAAAAATGGCCAAAGGGTTTATTACTATATTTTAAATGTCCGAATGGTATTGTTGCGCGTTTAAGAATGTGGTTTATTATTAACTATGTGACTATTACTATGTGACTTCTTTCCTTTGGTCACGAATTGAATTATAAAAGATTTTAAGGGTCACATTGAATATTAAATGCAGTAAATTTTATTAACCCATATTATCCCAAGCATAAAAAAAATACTTTTTGCTCTGAAATTATTTATTTTGTTCTTAAGAATACATTACATGTGTCAAAAAAAATTAAAAATCATAAATAATTTATACATAAGTATACAAAAGAAAGTTCAAATTCGACAGAAAACAACTAAAAGTAGATCGTTTTCCAAATAGAACCTGATTTGATATAAAAAAACCGCATAATATTTTATGGTGCGTGAGCCCACCACTAGTAACATCCGGTTCCATTTTTGGTGATATTTTACAAAGCATTGAAGTATGTAAATGCACATACACTTATTACAAACGTAAATTGTGTGGCTGTGGCAGATTCTACATCCCCTTCGGGCTTTATTAGCATGAACAATCATGACGTGACCTTGATTATCATAACGCACTTCATCTATGGCAGGTGCAAGATTTCTTTGAGTAATTGTTTCATCAGTTTTTAAAAGTCGCAAAGCAATGTAAGATTTAAAATCAAATCAATCACTTCGTGATCAAGAAACATAAAACATATTTCAAGTGGAGTTTTTCCAGAAAGCCTATTTTTTAGTTCCTCACATGATCTAAATTCATCGGATGTAGGTGTGTGAATGTACTCAATCTGACCTTTCCTCCATTTGACAGTAGAAGCGAGCCTGTCGTTTCCAGAAAGCATACCAGGGTTTCGTCATCTGATAAATCCCATTCAGGTTCAGTAGTTGATGAATTACAGGACTGTTGAAGGACAGCTGTATCATTCGTTCGTATTAGTTCGTTCCCCGAACTCTTGTAGATTTATGTTATCGTTCATATCTTCTTCGTCAGTCATATAGACCGCGTCAATATATTCTGTAAATATTTTTTCACGTTATTTTTAGCATAAATTTACAAGGAATGGAATGCTACCATACATAAGAATACGTAAATCCAAATAATACTTACGACTTTCATTGTTATTGTCCTCATCCATCACGATCTCCTCCATACTCGCGTCTAATTCCTTTTGAGTCAAATACCTCGGAAATGCCATATTTTACGAACTCTAACTTTCACTGCACAATGCACAAACTAATACTAAAGAACGCGCTAATTGTTGGATGTGAATTCTACATGTGCTGACTTGTCTAGACTTGCAATAACAAGATTTTGTTTCACAGATAAAGGGGTGGTGCGCATTCACGCACCAGTAAATATTTGAAAAAAATAAACCATAATCAATATAGTATTTCCGATGTATCTTTTCTTCGATGTAATCTACATTCCATAGACTTAACAAAAATTGCAATACAAATCCAAAATATTTTTTTTACTATATTGGATTTACTTGAAAATGTGATACAAATTTATGTAGCGCTTTTGTTAACTTTTGAAGTCATATATAAGATCTTTCCTTTACACATAAATTAGCGATTTCTACGGTTTTATGTCCATTAGTAGTGACAATAATAAAATTTCTAAATGGATGTGCAAAAATATTTCCTTTATGTGACAAAAAAAAATCATAGAATTAACGCACCACTGGGACAAAATGGGTTAAGCACAATAAAAGTTTGGCCGTTGAGTCTCGGTAAACGTTGAACGTTTTTTTATTTACTGCCGGTTTAAGTACTTGGTGGAACTTGTTCTGCCATATTAGCATTTTACGATTGGTACTTTACAATACGCAAATTAAAATCCATATAGAAAGAGCTGGGCGGAACGAAATGGCACGCTGTTTTCAAACCGTTTTCCCCTCTTATATAACAAGTTCATTAAATCTTTGTTTCAAGTTCATTAGATTTATGCTGACTGTTAAATGGGTCGGGCGATTTCCAATATCTATTTTGCTTCGCACCTCGCGGTTTCGAGTTATGTCAAATGTTAAGGTAAAGTGACTAAGCACTTGCAAGTTTTTTTTTTTTTGGAGTCCATTCCACCCGTTCTACACGTGCATTTATTTGATTGGTGTTGGAAATGTTGAATGAACAGATACACAGATCGGTCGTATCGAATATTAATAATTTAAATCTCGCACAATATAATACTTCTTGAAGAATTCCCTGAATATCCAAATTACTGGTAACTTTAATCATACCATTTTTGGTTGCACATATCTAAAGTCCCAGTTTTTGGCACTAAAATTTTTATTGGTGCTGTTTTCTTCCTCCATTTTTTTAAAGATTTTCACCTGTCAATGATGGTGACATTATCAGTTGTATGTGGTTTGAACCGTCCTATTTCCTTCGCTATTTTTAGAAAAACTCTTTTTGTAATAGAAACATTGTTTCTTTATATGCCCATTTCTGGGATTTTTGTGCCGATGATGAGTTTTTGGTGGTATGTCGTTGAGAGTATTTATTTTTAAATCTCCGAGTAGTTTCTTTGACACGTTCAAACTGAAGTCTTTTGGCAAGTGTTAAAACTTTCACCTCATGATCTAACAGCCTGGATTTAACGAAGGTGAGGGTTGAATTACCCTCTCTTAATATTTCGTAGGATTTAGGATGTTGTAAAATTTTGGGCCTACCTCCAAGAAGTGTTTTAATGCATAATGCACAAATAAGGTCTAAATTACGAAAAACTCTGACTTCACAATAATCTTTTTAGCGGTATGTTCAGCATTCTTCCACTCACCAGCCACTTTCAGGAATTTATTTGTTAGTCACCTCTGTCACATTTAGTTTTGTTAACAACGCTATAAACTAAAAGCATAATATGTTTGGTTTTAATTTCTATATTTTCTTATTGTCACTATCAAACACCCCAATTTTGTTAACCACTTTTCAAATAAAAATAGTTTATACTAAAAAGTACTTTTCGCGTTCGTTAAATAAGCTATTAGGACAATTGCAATGTGTAATGGTCTTACATTCATTTAAGCTCGTGTGAGCTGAATCCATACTAGCTCTTCCTTTTGTATAATACCAAACGCACGTGCAGAAGGTAGCCAAGAGAGAACTTTAAAACTGGCTAAGGAAAGAATTCCTGTATTATATCATACAAGTCCTTATCCATTCTTACATAAACACACCTTAGCACCTGGCGGTAGACGAAAATCTAAAACCCAATAAAAAAGGTTTGAATTATAAATTTTTGAATCCGCTGATATATGTATCATTTGTATATTTTATTTACTAACCGCATTTCTTTTAACTACAGCCATTGTCGCCAATGGAAAGGCTGGCTAGAAGAACTCAAAGCAGTGTGAGTATTTGTTAACCCCCACTTTAAATGTTCAACTCAAGATTGAGCACTGCATGTTTGCCGGCAATTTTGCAAGTGCTTGTGTCTTCGGTTGATCTGCGCCGCCAAATGCAGGTCCAGCAGCTTAGTTTGGTAACACCGAGTCGTTTTTTAGTTTAAGGACATCACCAAGATCGGGGCGGTCGAATCGCCGTTCTATCGACAGAATTTGGGCATGCCGAGTTACGCCGGTTACAATCCAGGACTGATCGGTCATCCCGGTTTGACGACCGGGCCTACGCCGTTCGTCCCACCAAATCATTTGCCCACGTTTCAACCGAAGGTACGATTATGAGAATGCCACTTATAGCTCGCATAGCATTCAAATTTCAACTCAAAAGTAATAACATTTCACGGCAATGTTAGGCTATAGATTACACAACAGCAAGTTTTTTAAGTTAAGTATTTGATTTTAACAAAGACTGTAGGAAACGAAAAGAGAAATCGCTTACATTCTAGATTTGCGAAACTTCCTGCAAATCATTTTGCAGAAATTAATTGTTGCCTAAATAAAATTGGTTCTGCTGCATCTTACAGGTTCGTATATAGCGATCGGATTGTTTTTAAAGATGATCTCCAATTTTTAGTTAAAGGAAAAATGTGGCTTGTTCGATGCAAGTAGTTTTTAACTAATTCTATAAGCTATTAAGCAAAACTCAACTTAGAAAACACGCTGTGCACATATTATGGTACAACTACTTTTAAATCACCTATTCTCAATGAATAAAATAAAGCCACAGCAAAAAAAGACAATAATGAAAAAAAAATCTCATGAATATAAAACCTTTTTTGATACAAAAAAAACTTTATTTTTTTCAAAATATAACATATGCAAGAGAAATAGATCACCCAATTTTATCATATTCCATATTTTTAGTTTAACCAATCGCATGAAAGCTTGCTTTGGCTCTAACGCTTCTGTTTTGTTTATTTCACAGTCATTGACACCACAAGACCCTTCCAAGCCCAGAATATTGGTACGTAATCTTTGCTGTATTTTTTTTTAGTTAAAAAATAAGTGGTGCTGGGTCGATTGGAGGGATCATCAGATTTTCATAATTTTGTTTCCTCTAACAATTCTTAATAACCATAATCATTTCGCAGCCTACAGCTAACTTCTGCTAAACTCCTTTACTTTAAGGTGCTAAGTGGGTTCTGACCTATTTCCATATGGCGAACATTGCAGATATTATTAAAATCATATAGTCATGTATAAAAATTTTAAAATCCACAATAAAAATATTTTTATTTACTTTTAATTAGTATCATTAGCTTTTATTTAGTCTTTTAATTTTAAGCTAAGGAAAAACTCATGGAGAATTAGTAAAATAGGAACATTGCGTTTGGTAGGAAATTCTATACTTCTTCTAAAAAATATATTATGATGGAAAGAGAAAACGTCACAAAACATACTTTATATTCTTAGCTTGACGTCAAGTGTATATGGGGTTGAAAAAATTGGTATAAAATATAAGCAGGTAAAGAGACCACCTAAGACTAAGTTTTAAGAGACATGGACAAAAAATCTACTGTTGCCAATACCCACTTCATTTGTAAATATTATTCATCGTGTTTGGACTAATCAGAGTGCAGACCTCTGCATTGTTTTCTAGCATCTTATTAATTAGCCTCTCACATTCTTTCTTCTACTTCATTTTATCTTTATTCATTTCCTCTTGCAAGAGAGTTTTCAATGTCCCTCATTATGCCTTGCTACAAGACGTTTATTTAAATTTAAAATTTCAGGAAACCTTCCTTTTCAGCATATCTTTCCAAAATTGCTTCTTATTTAAAGCCAAATATATTATGTCATTTTTTTCCAAGAAGACGTGGGGATCTTTTTTGGGATTTTCTTGATTGGTAGCTGAGATTGTCCGTGACTATAACAAACAGCGTTTAACATTCATTTTGATTAAAACGCCAGTAAGCCAAAACAGCAAAATCAATTTTTGCTAGCAATGTAATTATTAATCTTTTACCTTTTCTCGAGGATGTTTCTATTCCAGTGGATCATCCTTATATGAAAGCTTTCCTCGCGCTTTTTAAATTTTTATCATGCCATATTATACCAACAATATATCTTTCATTTACGCACTAATTTTCTATTTTTAGTTATTTATTATTTTGTTCAAGCCAGGTACATATTTCTTTTTAAGTAAAACGGATGCATTCATTATTCTTTTGGTGGTAGGCTTTTCATCCTCTTCCGCAGTTTGTTTTCTTCCTGTACTTTTCATTCGTGACAAGATGTTGTTGACTGTCCAACTCCAGTTATATTTGAACACATTTTTCTAAATCCGAAAGTTGTCAAGAGCTTTGAACACATTGAGAGTTTTCAGAATTTCTCAGCAACAAACTTTGCCCACGACTACAGAAAAGTAACTATAATTCCAATTTTAATCATCTACCTGCCATTCTCGGCACTCTTGACAATTATCATCGGTACAACAGTACGCCTATGGAATATGGCTAAAACCATTAGGATTTACAGTTCAATATGATTTATAACTCTCGAATTACAAAAGCAGACCATAAAAGAGGGTGTTTTTCGAACCTTCACCATTGAATTTATGGATGGCCTGCGAAATAGGTTGGACATGTTAGAAGAGAGAGGGAAGTTGATTTTGACTTAATTTAACCTCAGAAATCCGGCAAATGGAACGCCATGCACGTGCGTGTGGCGTGGGAGATCTACCATCACCAGCAGAAGAGCGGTGAAGCGAAAGGAGTGTTGGCGGCGGCAGCGGCGGCGGCCACGAAGACGGCGGCCAGCGATCTGCTGCGCACTCCATCGCATCTCTTCTCGCCCAGCGTCCATTCGTCGGTACGACCGCACGAATTGGCTCCGTTCCCACCTTCCGCGTTGACCGCTCACAGACCGCCCGGTTTCGAACAACCGCCACACCACGCGGGGTCGCTATTTTCTGCACCGGCGACACATTTAGGTAAGTGATGTCCATAGACTAAACAAGGTCTGGCCAAAGCTGAACCTAGAAGACAGGTTGGGCACTGCATCTCCGCCCTTTTCTTCTTCTTCATTAAGTGCCGTGTCCACAGCAGCGGACCTAAACAATGTTGGGGTGTTTACTCCATATGGCTGGCGAAGATTTTTGAGTCACAATTTTCTTCGGCAACCAGGACCACAGTTTTCTTTTTACATTTTTAAAACCTCAATCCTCTGGCATTTTGTTTACAATAATATACTGAAGACATAATAACTTAACGCAAAGTAATAAGTGTATTCTTAAGAGAACTTGATCTGTTGGTGAACACATTTCTGACGTTCCTAAGTAATTGCTTGCCCTCTTCTGGTTTTGATTTCTCGAGTTAAGCCCCATTTTTAATTTACACTCCAGACCAGATTTGTATTCTTTATGTTTGTAGAATTCGGGTGACACTGGGTGCCTCTCTCCCACCGTGGAGAAATGTCAGGCACGGAATTAACATTTTTCTTTTGTACACTTTGCTTAAATGTTACGTTTCATGCTTAGGGGGTGAAGAACGAGTAAAATTGTGGAAGATAAGTTTGGCTACCAGAAATCCACTAAACGCAAATCATTATCAATTAATGATAATGGTATTGAGAATACATTTATTCTTAATGGATTAATTAAAAACACTAATTATAAAAAAAGAGCTATGGTGACTATTTCACAATTGCAAAGGTCTATTACTAAATTTATTAATGTTTCTATATTATTAGAAATTTTATTAGTTTTATAATTAATTTGTTTTTATTCGTACATTTAAAATTGCTGTTATGTTATTTATTTATTTATTTATTTTGCAAATTCATTCCACAAACGCATCATTGATAATTTTCAAATTATTAAAAGTTGCAATCGTGCGTGTATCATGGCATTGGAAATCACAAAACACCATAATGTCCATAATGTATGATCGTAGTAAGAAATGTCAGACAACGTCAGAGTTGGGCTTTTCACATATGCTTCATTATCTTTTATAGAAAATGTTGTTTGCTGCAGATAAAATGCTATGTTTCGTGCAAATAAACCATATTACTTACGTAATAAAAAATAATAAATATAAATAAATAAATAAAAAATTGTATCTACTTCTCACACTTGTTAGGAAAGCAAAGCTTTGAAATATATCGATTGTTGCGGCAGCTTCAAACGGCACAAACATTTCCTGATTTTCGCTCGTTCATTCGAATCTGCTAATTTAACTTTCAAAACGGTTATCTAGCAAATCAGTTAGGCTAATAGCTGTCTTCAAGTCGAGGTACTGTGCTGTCACGTTCTCTCCCGCTTACCTTTCTTACCGAATGTACTTTATTGTTGCTATCAAGAGTGCTCTATCGTCTATAATGTTGTTTTTTTTTTTTTTTTGAACAGGCAAATCTCCATTCTCTGCCGCATCGTCGATGTCTCCCTTTACGCGTTACGGTGCCGCTTCGCTTGGACCCTCCGCATCGTCACCGTTCTCCGTTTCCCCGTTCGGAGCGTCGCGCGAGAGTCATCTGGGTCTGGGACCGCTTCACCACGACCCCTGGAGAACTCTGCAGAGAACGATGCCGGCGTTCCCGCCGGCGGTGAATCCCCTACCACCAACGCTTCCCGGTAAATTGAATTAAAATTTTTATATCCATTGAAAATCCAACGATGCCGGCCGTCGCACAGAGTATTCGATAGTATTGACCATATCCTTATTGATGTGAATTTTTTAAACTAGAAACGGTGTCAGGAAAAAAATCGTTTTTTTTTTTTTATTTAAAATGGTTCGGTTGTTACTCAGACGAAAATTACCACTGAATTTTTGCTGGTCAAGACGACCAGAAAAATAAATTTTGGCTATTTGCAATAGGTAAATATGATTCACCAATATTTTTATGTGATCTCTATCGCTAAAGGCAGAGACCTTAATTTCTTCTCTAATTCTAGAATTTCGGTTCCTGAATTTTTTTCTAACCTCGCTTTTTGAAGTATTTTCTGTCACTTTTTGTTGAATTCTTTTAATGTGGACATGTTTGATGACAACCTAGAAATCTTGGACCTAGTGGAACAAAGCTTTCCGAGGGAGAATTTGCTAGAGATCCAAATATTTGTATTTGTAATTGTATGAATTAAGTGACTTTTTATGTCCACAATTTCATGTAAATAAAAAAATAAATAAATATTACTTGATAAGCAATAATTTTTCAACAAAAACAATAATAATAATAATAGAACAAAAACATGAGTATTTTAATATATTGCACTTATTTCTAAAACCTAAGTAAATAATGCGTCCCAAGCTAGAATGTACAACCTTGCTACAAAAATTAAACCCGAAACTAAATAAAAACCCCCGCATCAAAAGTGCCGTATCAAGTTCTAAAGGTATCATTGTTAGTAAATGCTTTGGTTTTAAGCATTGTACAAGTTCAGGTTTTAATCAATTACTTGGTTATACTTCCCTCTGAAAATTAAACTATTGTGGCGAATCGTGGAAATCGATTTTGTTCCTAAACATTTCTTTTCTATTCAATAAGATGTAGCCTAAAGTAATATACACTTAATTTAGTAAATCTTGTTTACTAGTATAATGCTAAGGATTAACAAATTTGGTATAAAAAAATAAGTCATTTTTACTTGCTGTAGATTTTCTTGTCACTCTTTAAACCTATTTTAACAATATTCAGTTGTTTTTGATAAGCCATAAGCACTTTCTTAAATAGCTTAAATAGATACATAAAATTAATATGATACAGTGTTGGACTCAAAGTGACTATTAAATCTATATATAGGTTATCAAATTTGCTATTCTGCCATTGGCCTGTATTGCAAATTTAGAGATGCCCAGTTTAATTCATCACAAATTTTCTACCATCTTTCTTTTTTCTTTTACAAAACTATATGTTTTCCTTAATTATCTCTTAAACAGTAATATTTCTCTATTGAATTTATATTTTAAATGATTTTGTTTTTAATTTTACCTGTTTATTGTATATCCAAAAATCCCTAAAAGTTACAGCGTTATCGACGTTTTCTTTATCATGGCGGAGGAGAACTTTATCTGGTAGAAACAAATGTATTACCAATTACAGGATTACCACCAGGCCCGGCGCCTTGGACCATAAAACCCGATCCCGTTCTGGAACAGAGGGAACGCGAAGCGAGAGAACGGGAGGAAAGGGAACGGGAACGACTCAGAAGGGAAAGAGAGGAGCGGGAGAGACGCGAGAGGGAGGAGAAACAACGACGTCTCGAGCAGCAGGTATTATTTTGCCGTCGATTCGGCTGGTAGGTTTTTTAATGGGTGGACTTTTTGCTACCGAAGCAACAGGAGAGGGAACGGGAGCGCAGGGAGAAGGAACGACGCGAAATGGAACGGCGCGAAAACGAGAGGAGGGAGAGAGAAAGGGAAATGATGCTGCATCAGCAGCGGTTGGCGGCCGAATCCGCCGCCAAACAAATTGCCCCGCCTGTGATACGAGATCGCTCCCCGCTGAGGAACGGTCAACCCGATCTGTCTGAGATTAGAGTCAAGGAGGAACCGAGGAGTAAGGAGGAGGACCTGTTGGCTCGCGGCGATCCGAGGTATGCTTATGAGATTTGATAGAAAAAACATGTTGTCATTAGTTCACAACATTAAAACTGACAGATGTAATAATTTGCCGAGGAACGTACGGAAAAAAACTAATTTTAATGTAAACCACTGTAACCTTACAAAAAAAAAATATATCCCTTTAGAAAATTTAAGAATGCTGCAGCTTTCTCGCTCTCTTTCACAAAACCTTTCCAACATCTGTGCCCCAGTTGTGTGAAAGTATTTAAAATCTTTTAAAATCTGATGCGAGGTTTCCACTGTGTATTTTAAATTTTAACGACAGTTGTTAGAAAGTTCCTTTAATTAAAGGTATTAGGTAGATTTGGCTTGAACACCAATAATAGCAAAAGGAAAACATTTGTGTGTTACAGGATTTTGATTACAATTGTATGTTATCTTTGCCATCTTTTTTTTTTTTTTTTTTTTTCAAATTACCTCGGGGTTCTGCTTGCAGCTTAGATATTTGTCTATATCATATTCTGTTTAAAGTTCCCGTTGAAGTGTTCTGTGGTTCTATTGATATTGTTTCAATTTGACTCATCGGCACTAATTTTGTTTCATTCTTTAAGTAGAGCAAAGAATATGTCTTACCTCATATAGAAACTGTTAAAACTGTGATCAAACGCGAAAGTATCACATAAACCAAAACTTAGGCGCAACATCCAATTACTTTGTATGGAATAAAAATAAAAATTACTGAGACAGTTGCTATAGTTTTGGCAACAATAGTGAACATTTTTAAGGGAATTCCTGTAAATTGTAATAAAAATCCAGCATTCAGCTCACTTCCAATTAAGTGGATTCAGATCAGCTTTTTCATTCAATATCCGCAACTTACCTCCTTCCACCATTATTGAACTATTGTGAAACGTTGTCGCTGCGCAAACCCACCTCAATTGACACATAAATTACGCCCTAAAAGAGGCGCACCGAATTTCAGGTACCACCATCCGTTCCTGCGACACCCGGGCAGCTTGCAACCGCCCCCGCCGTCGGTGCTCGACCGTTCGCGAATGTTGGCGCACGCGTTACCGTCGCATTATCCGCCGGCCGCGACGCACTGGCCGCCCCACACGGTCGCAGCCGATCCCTTTTACAGATACGGCTACAGTCCGCTCATGGATCAGATGAGGATGCAAGACGATCGGGCGGCAGCGAGTTTCTTCGCCGCCTACGGCCACCCGGCCCACCACCCTAGCCAGCTCAGGCCTAAAGACCCGTCGCTGTTGCATTTGAGAGGCGGTCCGGGACCGCCGCCGCCGCCGCCCGTGCACAAAATGAGCGCCACGCCGCCTACGGACCTTCACAAGAAAGAAGAGCCGCGATAGCAACCGGAGGGTAACCATCATCATCATCAGTCGTTGAAGTAGTTCGCAACGTTTCGATAGTTTCGCTGTCGAACGAAATGTAATGAGTTTTTTTTATCGGACTGCGCGTTTTGCGGGGGCATAATTACGCGAGTTTCAGGAAACCAAAAAGGAAATGAAGCGCATTTTGGGCTCGAAATTTTTTTTCTCATCAATTACTTTTTGGAAATATTTCTAGGTTTCAAAATCATCAGCGCGGAATTCGCAACATGTCGTCTCTGTTTATTGTTTATATATATACTTAGGAGTTACATTAAATATCATTTCCACGTTGCCTTTTCTAATTGCTGAAACTTGTTGCGTGGGTATTCAAACCCCAATATTCTCCACAGATAAAAGCAAGAATGCAATGACCAGCCTCCGTAAAATAACTCTGCACGTTACTAAATGTCACCCTGTCCATCCAAAATAAAGGACGTAATATCAAGAAATTAACTTACTCAAAAATTAATTTTTCTAACCCCTAACACGCTATTAGTGATGACGTAGGATCGGCCATTTTGGTTGGTAACTGTCAACATTTGGGATCCAAACAGAACGATTCGCAACATAATAAGTGAGTTTTTGTGCGGTTTGTAATTATTAAGGACTATTTAACAGATTCCCTAACTTTACAATTGCTACCCTGTATCAAAACTGCAAATGCAACGGCTTTAGAGTAATTTATTGAAAACGAAAATATAACCCATAGTCCTAAAAAATGTTCAAGTTCAAACTACCGACAACTGACGTCACTCTAATATAGTATATTTGAAATAGAACCAACATCATTTTCAGTTGGCGTCAGAAAAAGTGCTACATTACCAAGTTGCTGGAACTTCTTGCCTGTAATTAAAGTCCAATTTTGCGTTGCAACAAATTGCTGCATCTTCTAGTTGCTACAAGTTGGTGCAAACCTTTAAAACAATAACTTCGCAAGTTGCTAAATCTCACTGACCAAAATATACCCTAACCTTACCATGCTAATTGTCCTATCCCAAAAAGCTCATAAAGTACGCAAAAATTAACATAACTTTACCGAATAAAAATTAATTTTTGTAACCACAATTTAAAATACATGTAAATTTTCACGTGGCAACAAAAAAAAATACCAAATCTCAGCCGCAGCGATAAATCGCATCGTTTTTAACGTTTCTTTCATACATGTAATTCAACAAATATTAATTTTGACACTCAACAACATACGGTTTGGAAAATTAGTACATTCTGAATAGTTGGAAAGATATTTAAAAATATCTATTTTTTACTTACCTTCCACTTGGATTGGTAATCATACGTTTTTGAGTAAACGCCTTCCAAACGCAGTTGAAATGTTCGTCTCAAAAATAATAATTATTAAATATTAGGTGAGCAAGGTAAGAAGTTACATAATTCACGAAAAAAAATTGTTTTGTGCCATATTGCCAGTAGGTACTTAGCAATAGGAATGTTTTCATTGTTATCTTTGAGTTACAGAAAAAATGCTAAGTTTGTATTCTATAGGTAATACAAGAAACACACCCTTTTGTCAAAACCAAAATTTAATTTAAGAAACGGGTAACATGTTCCGCCTAAAAAGGTATTATCAGACTAACATGAATTAAAAAGAAACAACACGCATAGAAAAGAAAAGCAAATAAAGCCAAAACGCCAAAAAAGTAAGAACTAAAGAAAATTAATCAGATAAGGGGAAAAAATATAAGTGAAGTGAAATAAAAATTCACTCAGAGATGAAATGTCGAATTTTAAATTTTTTGACAATTGGCTGACGCAAATGTTTTAGAAAAAAGCACAGAAAAAATGCTAAACTTTGTCGCCTCTGCAGAACGCGTTACTTCGAGGTTTTCAAACGCAAAAATATAACAAAGGCTTTTTGTATTATGTAGGGTGTAATGAAACGTGCTTTGTCATATTTTTAAGGGTAACAAAAATTGTCGATAAAACGAGTACAATGTAAACCTAACGAACAAGCACCTTTCGATTGCAACCAAAAAACGTTCTGTTAATGATCTCATATAAGTAGCATAATCAAAAGAGGGGCCCGGCAGCGGCGTCTCGGAAGATATTTTTACAGTCATTTTTGTAACGTAGAATTAATGGATACCGAAAGATGGACGGTTGAAACAGGAGGGGGCGTTAGATTTCGGTCAGCTTTAAATTAGTTAAAAATCAATTAATTGTTCGGAGCAAATTATAAAATAGCAATATTTTTGGAATTCGTGTATATTCGGAATTCCCGCATTTCAACCAAATTCATCCATCTATCGCGTAGAAGCCGTGACACATCCCTAGAGACATTCACGTTCGAAATACTGTAACGAGGATAATGCTTTAAATAGTTTCTGTTGCTACCACGACGATGGAGGGGGTCGAGGGGGTTTTGCGCAGAATGTTTTGCTCGTTTACTCTAGTCATTATTTTTGAAATTACTTGTTTTAATATATCTGCGGGTGCGTTCGTGAAAAATATACAAATTTGCAGAAACAGTGACCTCCGAACGTTAACATTTCAAAACCCCTAATGATTACGATTGCATTTTTTTTACAAAACATTCTGCACATTAAAAGTTTCCCTCGCGATTAAAAAAAAAAACTAGCGAAGAAAATACTGCCTGTATCCTGTAAATAGTATATTTTAAAATGAGAATGAAGCTTAACGGGAGAAAGTTAGAGATTGGTCGTGAACTATTCACCACAAAAACCGACCGGGTTGCCACAAATCGAGCGCGTTTTATTTTTCAAAAATTTGGTGTGATTCTAGCGAATTTACTCGATTCGATTGTTGCAAAACGCGTCGGTTTATAAATGTCTAACGTAATCCGCATTTCGAGGACGCAATAAAATCTTTGCTCTTATTTATTTTTTCGTTGTGTATATAATATTTTTTAAATAGGCAATTTATTTATTAAGACTGATGATATGTCATCTATTTTGTGTATAGTAATTTTTATTTAACTTGTAATTGTGGCGTTTTTGGTCCCTATTTATTTATTATATTCGCGTTTCGATTTCGTGAGACGTTTTGAAAAGTATGTGCCGCCTTATTGTCCAGATTTTAAGGTATTAGACGGACCAAGAGCATTTTTTTTTCTTAGTATGAATGATCACACAGTATTATTAAATTTACGACAGTTTTGATTTATGTATTGGAGCGGACCAAATTTTGGGGGTTTTTTAATATAGGGTCGCACATACTTTATTACTTTAATAATGTTCTTTTGGAAGAACAACCGGAGCCAAAAAAATATCAAAATTATCCGCGAACAAATCAAAATTTTTGCCCGAAACTTATTTGTTGTTGGAGGTTTTCCGTCGAGGCGCGTAAAATTTTTGGCTCTGGTACCGCTTACAAAAAAAATATCCGAAACGGAACTAAGATGTAAGATTATAAAATTAAAAATCGCGTGTAAATACTCTCGCCTTTTTAAAGTTTATGTAGATAACAGAGAATCATTGTGCTCCCTGGATGTTTGTTAGAGAAAAATACAATTTTTTATGTGTACGATTCTAATATGAATCGAAGTGATGTAATATAATAAATACTGTTTCTATAATAGTAGAAACACTTAGTCGACGCTTTTGTTTTAAATCTCCCAATCCTGGCTGAAACAAATATGGAAAATTAACTTAAATAGTATCCTATAAATGTCTTTATTTTCCGCAGTTTTCACAATATATTTAACGATAATAAATTATGTACAAATCAAAGTTAAGTGCCATACTCGAAATTATTTTCTATACCACATTTGGAGAGTGTTGTACCTTTTAACTTTTTTCTGCAACTGCAAAAGGCCGTACAAGAGCGCCTCAGCAGTTGGGGGACAACCCGGGACGTAGATGTCGACGGGTATGATTCTATCACAGCCTCTAAAATATGTGCGAAAACAATAGTAAAGACGATGGTTTAATATCATCGTGGTCGAGACACGAACCTTACAACAGAGTAGGAGTAATGGTAATAACCGCCCCCATTAGCGCAGCTACCCATAGAAATCACCCAACGTGGGTCGGGCATTTGATCGTACACCTTTCTTAAGGCGGGGGCCATTTTATTTGTCAGCGTCCCCGCGACTATTATGCAGTCCGCCTGACGAGGCGACGCTCGAAACAACAGACCAAATCTGCAAAATTTACTCTTAATCCCAGCTGGTTAGAACTAACCAAATCTTTATTTTGTTTGGGTTTGCCAACTTTCAATTATTGGTTGATAAAAGAACTGAACGCGCTTACATTGTGTAAAATTTCTGCACAGCTTGTAAACATTTCCGTTTATAAAAGAATATTGATCTCAGCAGCCTTATAGGTTAGGTAGAAAAAAAACCATAAACACTAATGCTTACCTTTCCATATCATATCTTGGTGCTGCAATGTGCATCATTTCTACGGCACAACAAGCTAGTCCGAAAGTAAGAGGCCATATAGAACCCTTTCGGGCCCAGTTCACTAAATCGTCCATTCTGGCTAAAGCATATTCCGCTAAATTATTGGTTTTTTGAAACGGAGAATATGGTTTATATTTTTCTTGCGGTACGGGTTGTGTTGACTGCTTCCTGATTTGTAAATGTTGATCGTTTTTTAAAACACCCGTGCTTCCGAAACTTCCACCAAAACTTCTTAAAACATTTGTAGTTATACTTTCTTTACATGGCACTAATGCCTTTCGCAACATCTAAAAAAAAGAGGTCGAATTATGAAGGATGAGAATATGATATTCCAATACCTTGATATGGCCTATTAATTTTCAGGAAGCAGCCAAAATTGTATTTACGTAACTCCACCAAACACTGACAGAGAATATAAATTGGTGGCCAACAAACGGGCACGTAGAAGATTGATAAGTATCAACACCGAATAAAATGCCACGTTGTAGAATTTAAACACAAATATTAAACAAATAGCCAATGTAACATGAATTTAAACTATTTCGCTTTAAGTTGGGAGAAAGTTCTAGATTAAAAAAAGAATAAAAATTGGTGTAAACCGTCTGATGGGGTGAAAGACTCTCGTCTATATCCCAACCCTATTGCGGGCCAATGCGCATGAGTCAGATATGAGGGGGGAAATTTTGGTAGTTTGACACCACCAAGGCCAAACCTTTGTGTTTTCTTGTCTTATAAGTTTTCTTTCCGCAATTTGCAACAAAAAATTATCCTTTAGGTATGTATATACCATATAAAAATAACTTACTGCATTTTATAAGTTTAAGGGTACCTTGAAATTTGCCGACGGCGTTTCTGACTCATGCGCAGTGTACCGATATAGACGCTAGTGGTGAAAGGAAGAAGGTAATGTAGGATGTATTTTTGAAAACGAAATTAGGCAACGCGTGGACACTTGAATTTATTCAAGGATGGGCGATGGAATATGCAGTTACAGTGAAATGCCGCAGACAGAGGTAACCAAACTAATGCGGGAGAATACGAATTGGTGGGTCTTAGGTTATTAACGTTTATCTGTGGCAAGGAACAAATTTCAAAGTCCTATGGCTATCGAGGCACCATGCCGCGAAAGTTCAAAAATATGTACTGCAATAGCGATTGACTAAGATGGTGGCCGGGAGAAGAGTTTTCTTTTTTTCCAAGTTTATTTCCGACATCAGTAGCACAGGTGCTACAGCAATAAACACTTTGTTAAAAAAAACTTGTATTCCAATGTAATTTAGATGCTTGGTGTACACCGTCCGAGAAATGACGAACGAGGTCTCGAATAAGTCTTCGATGCAGCTCGAATGGTGTATACTATTTACCCGGGTGCTAAAATGCTCGAAAAACGCGACAGTACTTTAAATAATTACCACTTTTGAATAAAAATTTGAAATTAGAAATATACCCAACATTGCAGTAATCAACCGTCTCTAACACTTCGCGCATTTAACTTTCCAGAGGCGAGTTACGAATGGTCTTGACGCAGAGAGGTTTCTAGCACGAATTCTCGCACCATGTACTGGTGGCTTAAATGTATGAGAATTGCGCAAAAATTAATTTTAGGGACTACTGAGCAAAAGTATAATAAACAAACAATCAATCCAGTTTTCGATCCAGGAAAATCAAACCACATTGTTCCATTATAATATTTTACTAACTTTATGCATGTGAAGATTTTGATAAAGGTTTCTGAATCGAGTAACAGTGTAATATCTCAATAACAATGCCATTTGTTGGTATTTGAAATATACTCTACAATAAACGATTAATACTACAGATAAGATATTTTTTATAAACTACGGTATAAAGAGTCAGTGCCGGAATGAAAAGCCATGGTCGTCATGTAATGTTTACTCCGTTTTTATTTTATAGAAAGCTGGCCAGTTGAAAGATCTGCAAAGAAAGTACATCAAACATCTCAAACATCGAAATACGTTTCTTTCAAAACTTTTACCTAAACTTCTTGGATTTCGATGCTCCCATGCAGATTTGTCCTAGAATTATCAATGTGAGGAGAACTTTGATAGAATTCAGCGCGGTAATGTTGGGATATTTATCTGTGAAAGCAACGTCCTCAACTGGTTTACTCAACAAACGCCTCGAGTTCGCCTCGCCCATAAACCTGTCACCTTCAAACAAAGCCATCTCGCCTGCTGACATTTTCCTAAATCTGGTCTGCGTTTCCGATCGTTCTCGTTCATTATTGATATTTGCATGTCGTATTGTCGTGGCTCTGACATTTCCACGTCGTCCGTCAGATCGGTTTCTATCGTTCCTATCTTCCGGAGCTCTGACCAAACGCTCGCTTCCTCGATAACGTCCATTCGAGACTCCATCAACTTGACGGCGAGACTCACTTACCCTGCCTTGTACCGTCGCTCTTCGACCGAATTCGTCTATTCCAGTCCTTCGGTCTCTTTCAGTGGAACTCGTAAACCTATAAACGCGATCTAGAAATCCATTTTCGGAGAGTCGCCGATCCAGTATAACCCGATTTTCATTTCGAATCCGTCTCGTTTCCAACGACGAGTCTCTTCTCTCTGAGACGCGCCTTGACACGTCGGATCGTTCTCTCCTGAAGAGCCTGTCCAAATTCCGATCGGCGTTTGTACTTTGGAAGTCACGTATTTGTCGATCTCTGTTGTTATTGATATCGTTCAACCTCTGTCTGGAATCGATTAGGTATTGTCTGGAATATGTCTGAGCGTTTGGAACGTCGCCTCTCAATTCGCTCCTGATTTCTCGAAAATCTGTGCGGATATCTCTAGCGTCGATTCGAGACTGTCTCGAGTCAGCGCGAACGTCTCGAACGTGCGGATTAACGTCGACCCTTTCTCGTCTAAAAATTGTCGAGAATCTTTGTCGATCTTTGGTGATCCGACTGGAGTCGACGACATGCTGCTGGTTTCTATCCAGCCGGTTTCCGCTGGCATGAACGTAGCTGAAAGCGACTTGGCAAAAACAAATCACAACCAAGAGAACTGCGACGTTACGACGAACGCCGTTGGGTTTCATTTTAGACTGTATCATCATCATTTCGACGGTGGCTCAACAAAATAAGCAACCTGAGGATTGTTTGTGACTTGTATGGTATGCTCGGTTTACTGGGAAATTTCTAAGTCGACGTCTCTCACTGAACTGCGCGACAACTTCTGTCCCGTCCTCAGATTTTGCTCTGGTTTTATACGCATTTCGAGAAAGGGTAATTTCACAGTTCAGTCGACCCGATTGCAATTTGTATCGTAATTCGATTTGGTGTAAAATGGGTGTGGGACGAGAATAAGAGGAATGTATAGTATCCACTTTAAATTGATTCTGGAAAGCTAGGTATACTAAAAGAACGCGTATATGGGTTTACTATTGTTTCCTCTATAAAAAATAATTGCACGAGCAACAAATTACTACCACACACCACTACGGAAGTACAACCGATCGTCAATTTAAAATGTTGCGGAATACTCCGGCACTTTTGTCAATTTTCACTCATAATTTTTGGAAATTGAAGCAGCATTGAAAATCTTACAAAATACCAAAAATTGCGGAAACAAAAACAAGCGTTGAAACTATATCTCTAATATTGAACCGAATATTAAAGTGCAATTGTTCCATAGCAACAATGCTGTCTTCTTCCTCTATAATTAATCTAATGCATAGTTGACATGTACAAAGGTATGAAAAAGATGAAACCGGTGTTAAATTTGGCAGAACTACCTTACGGAAGTGTATTCAACACATGGGTTTTAGATTTAAAAAAATTGACAAAAGGCAAGTTTTAATGGAATCTTTTAGAATTCGGAAATGGCGACTTGAATATCTAGAAAAAATTAGGATTTACAGAGAACAACAAAGGCCAATTATTTACTTCGATAAAACCTGGTTCCACACTTATGATACGCCGGAAAAGAGTTGGGTTGACTCAACTGATACGCGTAAAACACACGCGTCATCAAAAAGAGATAAAAGAATAACTATTTTGCATGCTGGCTCTAAAGATGGTTGGATTCCAAATGGACTTTCTCTGTCTACGAAAAATATTAATTACCCTGAAGACACCACCGCTGATTTATTTGAAAGTTGGTTTAAAAACAAACTAGTTCGAAATATTCCTCCTAATAGCGTTATTGTAATGGACAATGCAAGTTATCACAGTAGACAGTTGACTAAAACCCGTTGCTCATGTGACACAAAAGCAACAATCCAAAACTACAGGTATAATAACGACATTTATTTTCACGAAGATTATACCAAAAAGCAATTAAATGAGGTTCTACAAAGCTTGAACCTACAAAAGGAATACGTCTGTGATAATTATGCAAAAAATCTAGGGCATAAAGTCTTAAGACTTCCACCTTACCACTGTATATTTAATCCCATTGAACATGTTTGGCACCAACTGAAATCGTCGTAACAACGTTTTTCTCCGTGTTAACTTCACTGTCCTCAAACTTACAGAAACCGAAGTTTTTAACATCCCTCCACAAAGTTGGGCAAATTCTGTTAAACATATAGAAAAAGCACAACAATCGTATATCTATATTGCAAATAATATAGAACGGATAATAATTAGAACAGGCGATGACAGCGATAGTGATACTGCGATATATTATGTGAATACTTTTAAGTAATTTAAGTAGGTAATAAAAATAATTTGTAATTTTATTTTAGATTTAAACATAAATACATACATAAATAAATAAATATTGTTTAGTATCTTTCCTAACAAAGCCCCAAATAATTAAATTCTAAGCAAAGTACGGACCTGTTCGGCCAAATTTCATTCTTACAGCTTGCCTGGGTCTTTCCTTAATTCGTATCAGTTAGTCACTTTCTTATATCTATGAACAGACTTCACCCACAAACAATGTACTGCCTTAGAAGCTGAAGAAAATGTGAAGAAGGTATATTTTTTCTACACAGTGTTTATCTATTAGTAAATATTGATGCTGATTTTTTGATTTTATGAAAAAAAGACAGTGGTTTCATAGTACTAACTTGGAACGAAGCAAGCATGAAAAATTTCATTCATTGATTGAAAAACGCTTTTATATATATTTCAGAATGACTAGTGAGTGTTCTGATAACATTTTTAGCCTTCTCACAAAAGACATTCCAAAATCTGACACAAATTATCGTGAAGCTATTTCACCTATTTTTAAACGAGACAAGTAGGAATTATTATTAATACATGTTATTGTCACTGGGTGGATTAAAAGAAGTAAGAAAGTTGGCGATTCCTTTAGACTGCCGAGTCACATTTCTCAATGATGTATAAATATTACAGTCCTGTGAAAATCCAGATGAAGAACTGGGATCTCCACTTTCAGGTCTCAGCACTGGTGCAACATTAGAGTTATCATCATGTAAAAATCAAGATAAAGTGCTGTAAAGGGAACTATTTCCACCTTTAGGTCTAGGCATCACATTTGTGTTGAGTTCCTCATGATGCAAAAGTTACTGCTCCATGATGACTTATGTAATTGACTTATCATATTCTTTTTTTTTATTTCCAAAATATTTTCCCATCTCTACCACAGAACACACTGGTGTAGAGTTATTCTGTTGGATTTATTATTTGGAGTTGAAGAACTAGTTGGAGTGGAATTTGTTACCGTTATTAATTTAGATGCCGAGTGACATTTAAAACTTATTTGTTTGTTTCTTGCGGTTCCGTATCTTTTTCAGTTCGAACTATATCTGCATTCTCGGAACTAGCTATTTTAGTGTCAAAATTTTCTATAACGGGTTCTAATTCAGGTTCCACGCTATCGATATTTGTAGGATTATTGTTATTTATGTTATTTACTGCTTTTGGTTTTGGAAGATCTGATATATTTTGCATATGTATCCCTCAGATTTTTCCATTTTTTAATATCACCTAAAGCAAAATAATTTTGTTTACGGATTTCTTGCCACTAGTCATACTTTCTACACAATAGGCTACAATTTTAGAGTTGGAGTTTCAACAGTAAGTTCAATCATGACAGAAGTTTGCGAAGTTATTTGTACGAAATTAGAAAATTTTTATTAACCCCTACCAACATCGGAACTTTGGAAACAGTCTGTGGATGGGTTTCACAATATATGTGGATTCCCAAACTGCATCGGCAGTTTGAACGGCAATTGTGAGACCTGATAATGAATTTTTATGTGTAGATATCGGTGGATTTGTTAAAAACAGCGACAGTGCAATTTTTGAGCAATCTAACACGGAAAAGCGGTTTAAAGAAAATACAATGAATGTTGCTGGGCCTAAAAATCTGCTTGGATAAAATAAACCCTGCCCTCATGGTTTAATTGGCGATGAAGCTCTTGCGCTGAAGCGAACCCATATTTAATGAGGCCCTTTCCATATAGACAATCTAGGACAGACATTTTGAAAGAGAAATATAATAAAGGACTCTGTACTGCAAGAAGGGTGGTAGAAAATGCCTTTTGCATATTAGCTCAAAAATTTCGAATATTTTATAGACCAATGGAAACAAGATTGCTTTCGAAAAATCGTCACTGGGCATACACCCTGTATATAGCGCCTTTCACGTATCGCCGAAAAAAAAAACGTAAGCAATAACGATTTCCAATGATATTATTATAAGTATCTCGTGCACCCTGTATGATAGATCTGAAACTCTCTCCATACAGTTTACGATACTATTTAAACCAAATTATCCCATGTTTTGTAATTTTCCTGTTACTAATAATTTATCTACGAAAACAGCAATTTTCAGCGGTTTTTAATTTTTTTTACCCATGATCGACACTTCCTGTACATATTTGAAAAAATCCGGAAATGGAGAATTTTTCCAAAATAGTAAAAGGTTTTCGAGAAAATAAGTTTTTACTGAAACCATGCAGTGCATCGTAATAATCAATGACATCATCGCGTCTTGATTGAGCCCCCGGAATTGTCAATTTGCCAATTTTCTTATGGATTTTTTCAAATATCTTTTCAAATATCTGGAGCAGCGTGTGTGATAGATAAAAACCGCAAATAAAAAAATTGTAGCTTTTGATGCGCCCTATGAAACTATTTGAACCGACTAGCCATATTTTTTATAATTTTTAATTTGCGAGTATTAATTTACTCTGGAAAAAAAAAATTCTTTTTGTTTTTTAGATTTTTGTCTACAATTAGGAAACCCTGTATATAATCCAAAAAATGCCTAAAATAAATGTTATGGCACTGTATCTTTCGCGTTTACTGGTTAAATAATTTTGCCGATCGGGTGAATGGTTATGGAAAAAAACATGTTTTTCTGGCAACCAAAATAACTAAAAAAAAATTTCAAAATTTTTTAAAAAATGCTTGGTGAAATTTGATTGCCCACAATTTCTACTGTTTAAATGCGGGCAAGGATTTTTACTTCTTAATTTAGGTCACGCATTTCTTATATTGCACGGAATATCGTGAACATCCTGTACAATAACTGAAAACCTTAAATACAAAAGTTTTAGCTGTCTATACGGGCTATATCGTCATGTAAAAGAAACTAACATATGAATTATATCCAATTTTCAATGTGAAGGGCAAACATTTTTCAGTTTTTTTAATACGCGGCCCACTTTGTACATTCTTGAAAAATTATTAAGAATAAAAGTTTATGGAGCCAAATTTTGAGCGTCTTCTCGTTCAAGAATTTTTTTGGTTACATTGACGGTTTTGTAAAAATGATTTTTTTCTTAGACCCTTGCAAACACGATTCTTTATCTTTTTAAAATACTTCCCGACCCTCCCACTCCCTAATTTCAATAGGTTAGAGGACCAAACGCTCTTTGCCTGCCAAATTTGAAGTCGATAGCTTCAAATTTCGGACACTTATCGTGTTTCATAGCAATGTCCAAAAAACCGTCGAAAATCGAAAAAAAAAGATAGACGCCGAAGCTTGAACGCAGCCATTTTTACTAGTCTTATGCACTCCGTGGACGGTTAAAAAGCAGCAAAATTTGAAGCGTGTACCTCAAACCGTTCGGAAGCTATCGTCGAAAATGTCCAGGAAGAGAAAACGGAGAACGGACGGACAAAAAAGATTTTTTTTCAACGTTGTACCAATTGCGATCTTCTAGAACCGAGGTTACCGAGATCTCAAATTTAGTGAGGAGCGCGTATACTTTCGAAAAGAATCGAATTCATCGAAAGTAACAAAGGTGGAAACTACAATTTTAATTGTAAAAACAATCATCATGTTTTAAATCGTACAACATGGGGTATTTTTAACAACTTTTATAAAAACTTCCGTCTTCGACATTGTCTTATGCTTTCGAAACGGGAATCGTGAAATAAAAACGCTGTTGACAGCGAAACTAAATTCGCGACGAAAAAAACGCCGCGAAAAATTCGCTGCCGCTGCGAATAATTCGGGTTGGTTTGGGAGTGACTTAAAGGACCTAAATAATTCAAGTGTTTATCTTCTCCTGGGTCGGTTGTTTATAAATCAAACTTGTTGACGCCAATCATCGGGTTTCAGTTAAACTCTGAAGAAGCCACAAGGATGATTGATGATGCAGGAGGAGTGAAGAATCCAGAAGATTTCATAAAAAATTATCATAAATATATGTGAAATAATGAATTTGTTTTAGTTCCACTTTGTAACACTTATCAGCTCTGTTAACAGGCTAGTTTAATAATTATTAACAAAAAATTTTCGCGAGACTCATATGAATGAAATTAGTACAAAATATTAATGTAGTTCATTTCTTTAAAAAAATGTTACCGCGTGAATAAAATATTTCAACAAAAATGTAAAACAATAAGTCCTGTAAAATTTTTGATAAAAGTTTTCTCTTAGTGTACGCGAGGTGTCGTTCGTCCATGTATGAATAGTGTGGCGACAAATTCGATGGCTGCTAAAACCTGCGCCTGGTTTCTCGCTGATAGGGTCGTTTATTATTGAATAAACCGAATCACGCAATGGAGTGTCCCATGTGTTCGTACAGTTTTCAATTACCGATACCCATTGACTGTCTACTTTGTTAACTGAGACTATTTTTGTCACACACAAGGGAACAAAAATCGACAAAAAAAATCTTCTATTATTAATCATTTAAAAATATTTTGTATTTATAACACCAGATGATAAATGGCTACAACAATAATTTTTCGGAGTAATAATAACAAATTCATTTTCTTAAAATCGCCTCAACATAATTTTGCAATGTCTGTCTGCTGCTCGAAAATCAAACGAACATTTTAAATAAAAATACCTATCAACAGTTTTCCGATATTCCTTAATTTTGGTCGGTTTCCAGTTTCTGTGGCCAGATGCAATGATGGTTGCCTGGATGGAGGCTGTTATATTTTGTTTCTTAGAGTTGGCAAATTTGTTGGCAGTTCTTTTTGCCTTTTGTAGGTTGTTAGAGCGGTGGCAAGTTAAAAATGGTTTGTATAGCATCCATAAATATCTTATTAATCCCACTATTTTATTGGTATATAATTGATAAATCCTTGTTTAAGTGTGGTTCTTTAATTTTTCAGTTTAATATTTTTTCTTAATTATTATAATGATTTATTTTGATTTGAGGTTATGCTGTTTGTTTATTTAGCGTTATTGTTGAAATTTCCGATATTTAGGCAAAGCGTACGAAAAAGGTCGGAATCACCGGTAAATACGGAACCCGATATGGTGCTTCTCTACGTAAGATGGTTAAGAAGATGGAAATCACTCAGCACAGCAAATACTCCTGCAGTTTTTGCGGAAAAGTAAGTTTTCAAATTGTTATTGCTAGAGGTCGATTTTTAAATTTATTCTACTATTAGGGAAGAAAAGGTATAAATTTTATGTTTGTTGCTTTTTAGGATGCGATGAAGAGGTCCTGTGTAGGAATTTGGGCTTGCAAAAGATGTAAACGTGTTGTAGCAGGTGGGGCTTGGGTATATTCCACAACAGCAGCTTCATCTGTGAGATCAGCCGTAAGACGGCTTAGGGAAGTTAAAGAACAGTAAAAATAAATTTATAGACATTGTTTCGGGTTGTTTTATTTTAAAAATTGACTATCATTGACTGAGGAGTACCGTATGAATTGGTGCTAAATTCGAGGGGTTTTTGGACAATTCCTTTTAAATTATTAATTACGATGCAAACAGTCGATCAATCCTTTAGTTTCGCAAGATTGTTTCTGTTAGACTGCTTGTAATTGGAAAAATTTGTAATTGTATTGCTTTAAATTGAGTATAGCACTTTTTTTTCTATTGGCTATTGGCCAAAACTGCTAGGATCATTCTCCCATTGCCAACAGAGTTTAATCATCACTCCTCAGAAAGAAATATAATTTCAAACTGAAGAACTCTATTCTAAAATCAAAAGTTCCTGTGAACTATGTGTATAGTGTATGCATTAACCTTGATTCAGCGGTTAATTTGGTAGGCCGTTGCACCCGTGCCTTAAAAACTTTCTTTTGAATTTTTTTATCTATTTTTGAATGAAATTGCCATGCATTATCGTTTAATTTGAGTCAAAATGAATAACGACGCAATTCTATGCTCCGAAGTGAATATAGAGTGGAAAAATAAGCAAGGAATTTTACAAAGAAAGTTTAATTCTAAGAAAGGAAACTTGAGGTTGGTTAGAAACGAGAATGCCAATATATTCATAGAAATTGTGGCCGAAAAAGTTGCCCCCGTGAAGCTGAAACTGAGCGGTATATCTGTACATAAAAAATTTATGAATGAAGGCAAGGCTTCCATTAAATTTCCAGAACAAAATGCCATACTTTATATATCTAATGCACCACCAGGACAGCTGCTGTCGTTTCTAAGGTGATAATTTATATTGTAAAACTATGTGGATATCAAAATTTGAAATTTTTTAGAGTAATTTTTGTTAAAATGACTGGAGAAAAACCAGGGGACAATAGTTCTAACACTGGTTCACGTGTCAAATTACTTTCAAGCAAACCTAATTCTTTTGAAGATATTTCCCCCATTACCAACGCCGAGTTGGCTAGAGCTGTAAGAAAGGTTGCCAAATCATCTGAAACTACTCCTTCCCCATTAGCTAGCAGAAAAAGAAAAATTGAAAGGACAAGTATTGAAAAAGCCCCAGCAGCAAAAAGGCTTTATTCACCAGTTCCCAATGAGCCATTAGATATAGAACAGCAAGAGGTACTAGATGCCTGTTTAGCAGGTCATAATGTGTTTTTTACTGGGAGTGCCGGCACAGGAAAAAGTTATTTATTGAAGAAGATTATTGGAGCTCTGCCTCCTGACGTGACAGTTGCAACTGCTTCAACAGGTAATTTAAATCTTTGATTGCAATTAAATAACAACAAAATAAAAAAGCAAAAATGTTGGTAGGTGTTGCAGCATGTCATATTGGAGGAATAACTTTCCACCAATTTGCTGGAATAGGTTCGGGTGAAGCAAGCTTAGAAAGGAGTATACAATTGGCAATGAAACCTCCTACAGTAGCAATATGGCGCAAGTGCAAGCATCTTATTATAGATGAAATTTCGATGGTTGATGGTAATTATTTTGAGAAAGTCGAACAGGTATGGTAATCCATCAAATCAAGGTTGCAGTAACTTTTTAAATTTACATTGCAGGTTGCTAGGGGAGTTAGGAGAAACGACAAACCTTTTGGAGGTATACAACTGATTCTTTGTGGGGACTTCTTTCAATTGCCTCCAGTTACTAGACCTAGGCCCGGTGAAACAACTCCAAGGCCCCCCAAGTTTTGTTTCCAAACTGAAGCTTGGCAAAATTGTTTACTTAACATCTTTGAACTGAAAAATGTCCATAGGCAAAGCGATCAAAGGTTTATTGCAGTATTAAATAAAATTCGAACAGGAAAAGTAGATCAAGATGTGACAGATACTTTGTTGTCTACTGCAAAGCAGAAAATTGAGAAGGATGGTATTTTAGCAACTCGATTGTGTACACATACTAAAGATGCTGATATTATAAATGAATCTAAGCTTAAAGCTTTAGATGCTCAAGCAAAAACCTACGAGGCTCAGGATTCAGTTCCTGGAACTACTAAGCAACTGGATCAGCAAACTTCTGTTCCGAGTCGCTTGGAGCTAAAAGTGGGCGCGCAAGTAAGTATGATCAAATTTATATATTAAAGGGTCTAGGGTGTTAAATTTTTCCAGGTTATGCTACTTAAAAATATTAATGTTGGTGCTGGGTTGGTTAATGGTGCAAGAGGAGTTGTCAAAGATTTCCGAGAGGGCTTTCCTGTAGTCCAGTTCAGAAATAGAGAATATATAGCCTCATTTGAAAAATGGATTGTGAAAACTGCGGGTGGCGCGGCCTTGACGAGGAAGCAAATACCTTTGAAATTAGCTTGGGCATTTTCGATTCATAAAGCGCAGGGACTCACTCTGGATTGTGTCGAGATGTCTCTATCCAGAGTGTTTGAGGCAGGCCAGGCTTATGTAGCTCTAAGTAGGGCGCAAAGCTTGAATACATTAAGGGTTTTGGATTTTAAGTGAGTTTTGTTTTAATACTTTTAAATCAGTGCACATGATTTCATTTTCCCCTTGCAGGTCAGTTCAGGTGTGGGCAAACCCGGATGTATTGACTTTCTACAGAAATTTAGACCATACAAGACTTATACCTTTAGGACCCGTAAACAAATTTTTAAATAAAGAAAAAACAATAGTTAAAAAAAAGATGCCTCTGAAATCAAAACTATTGGAAAAACCTTTGGTAAACATTTGTTGAAAATAATATCCACAACATGCTTTTTTGGAGATGCTTTTCCACCTCTATATGATTTTTTCAATTTTAATTTAAATCTAAATTAATTTAAAAAGATCAAGATGAATTACTAGAAGTAGGAGTTACAATTTTTTTATTTATTACAAGCTTGCCCGAAAATTGGGAAAAAAGGGTAAACTTTTGCAATTTCAATTAAGGGATATCCTCCAAAAGTCACTTTAAATCATGACATTCAACTGAAATAATATTTTTTCAAATTCTTATATGCTCTAATTAATTTTGAGTTTAATCTTATTTTAAATTATATAGATTATAATATAGTTCACTAAAAGAAAACGCACTTTCATTGATATTATGTATTTAATAAAGAATTCGTCATTAATCAAAGGTTATACTTACACTTGCTGCTATTACTGCAGTGTCAATTACCACCAGGACTATAGAAATCAACCTATTCAAAAAGGAAAAAATTCGGCCATATAGGTAAAGCAAATATCAATATCAAAAAAAGTCGGCCTTACAGTATTTCTTGTATTGAGTCTGAGGGCCGGGATTTAGATCAGGAAGATCTAAATCTTTGTAATAAGACAAATAACAGAAAAATCAATTGAATACAACTGACCAGCCTACATGTTTCATTGACTTGCAGAAAGCCTTCGATCGAATACACTTGCCATTGAGATCGACAAATTCCATTCAACATCATTAAAACAATTTAGAATATATACAGGAAAAATAACATACAAGCAAAAATAAATGGCGAACTAACTCAACAAATATCTGCAAGTATTGGCATTTGGCAAGCGCGTTTCTTTTTAACATCGTAGTGGATGAAATAATAAAACAAGTTCGCACACTAAGAGGATACAAATACAACCCGCGTCTTGTGGCGGAGAACGACGATGATCTTCAAAGGTCAATAAAACAACCAAACAATTTATTATGGTTAAATCGGCGGCAAAAACAAAATCGATGGTCACTTCCAAGTCACCAATCAGATGCAAAATTGTGGTTGAGGCACAAAATAATACAACAGAAAATGAAATTCAAATATTTAGGAATTGAAATATTTGGATAGGGAGACGTTCAGACGGAAGTAAGGAACCAAGTTACGTCTGGGGTAGCAGCATAGCTGAACAATACCAACTGGCGAAATAAACACATCCGAACTGAAGCAAAAGCCCGGATATATAAAACCGTTATAAGACCTATACTCACCTATGCAGCAGAAACCCGACCTGAGACCTCGAAAAGAAAAAGAATATTAGAGACCATGGAAGTGAAAATAGTACGAACAATAGCGGGAAAAACACTCATGAATAGGGAAAGAAGTGAAGATATTAGACGAGTGTGCGGGGTAGATAACATCAATGACTGGGTGTTGGATCGAAAGATAAAATGGAATGGACACATTAATCATATGGCAGAAGAACGAATTATGAAAATATCACCAGCAGGACAAAGGAGCCTTGGAAGACCTAGGAAAAGATGGGAGTCACAACCTTCCAAATGACTGAATGAATCTTGCCGATATTCAGTATGAGGAGGCAAAGTCAAATTAATTTGTACGCCAGTTTGCCATAACAAGAATATTCTTAATTAAAATCGGAATTGTTGGTTAAGGTGCCGATTTCAATAAAAGAAATTTTTTGGACTGTTGCTCTGCTGGTTTACATTAGGCTTTATTTTTTTTTTCATAATAAGGAAAAAGCGCATTAAGTACTTCAATCATTGTTTAAATAAATCTTCAATTCAATAATTTGTTTGCCTGAACCCGCGTCAAGAATAGGTTGGGCAGTGTTACCCATGTATAATTTTTATCGCAACATACATAAAAATGCATCGGTTGGTTATTTTCGTTACTAGCCACGTATCTTACTGTCCCGGAAAAACGTTTTCCGTTTGCCAGAAAACTTATATCGCAATCCAATAGGGCCTACAAATTGTTTTGATTTTCTTTGAGTTTCTATTGTTCTCTGTCTTACTCTAAAATTGCCGATGGTATTTGACGACGGTATGTCCATTTCTTCCATATTGTGAAGAAAATATACAAAGTAACCGTTTGGGATACACCTGGACGAGCCCATGATTAGGCACGGATAGTAATTTTCGCCACATATCGCTAAGATTATATTCGACGCGGGTTTTCTAAAATTGGAAATATTTCGCGTGATTTGGACGTATTATAAATATTTAGATATAAGTTAGTTTGGTATTACAAAGACTTACGAAATGTGTTCAGGTATGTTCGCTTCTGTGGAATAATCCCGTAAATAATCATCTCCACTTCTTACTTTCGTTTGCGAATTGCCCATTATTAACAGTTTGCAATAACTTACAGAGCGAATGAAAAACTGGTGATCATTTTGCGATGGGAATGGTTTATTTTTATCACATTTTGATTAAATTGATGTTTTGGAAATAACGTTGTCGAATCTGTCATTAGCCCGTCATTAATTGCCATAAAAATTTATAATGGATGGTGCTTAGCAAACAGTTAAAAGTGTTGTCGGCCTCAATAAAAATTTGAGCTTTTCATTACACAGGTCTCCAAATTAACCTTTTGGACAAGATGTTTATATTTTGAAAACCGATTTTATATAATTTTGATAGGCTTATTTCAAAAAGTTTTTTTTTACAAATATTAAAGAAAAAAAACGATATTTCTAAAGTAATTTATTTTTTTATGCAGTAAAAAAGTGGAATCCTAGTTAGGATCCTAGTTAGGAATATTGTTGCAATACACTAGCACGATCCGGGTAAAAGGTTGATGTGATGCCAGGTGCTTGTCACGAAGCCTGAATCCTAACAATTCGGATGCATCCTTTGGAAGGCGCAAATCTCTAATTCATTTAATTCGCTCTGGTTAAACACTTCGGGCTCTCTGAAATCTGGTGTGAAATTTGAGTCTTCTGGGTCAGAGTTATTCCTCTGATTCTGACGATATGATATTTTTTCTGTTGAATCCTTGAACATTACACGGACAAAAATAACAATCATCACTGTGATTCCCAGGCACTCGCACATCATAGGAACACCAAAGCTTAAACATTTCTACCTTCCTTTTAGTCAGTTTCTTAATGCTTCAACGCAAACGGAACAAACAGTATGAGGAGCCCAGGACATGTCTTTTTTTTCACAAAAGAAGTTATAGTTTGCCTTTCATAACTATCACAGATATAACAAACGTTATTTGGATTGTTCACACAATATCTTCTTTCCATATCTATACGTTCTAGAACACTAGAAAAACGCAACATCGAAGACAACGCAACCAAACTGCGCAGTAGCAGGTTACAACGCTGTATTGACGCTCCTGCGCCAACTCTGTTTCTTTGCAGAGAAATCTAATATTATCCAGTGTTGCCAAATCACTTTTAATTTCATAAACATCAATTCAAGTAACATGTTTAAGATATAGAGCGCTAAAACAAAATGGGTCCTCAAAAATATAGAAATAAACAAACCGCTTTCAAACATCAAAATCACTGTAGACTTGTGTTATTTTTCAGTATAAGCGTTTAATACACGTGCCCTTGATAAACTAATCAAAAGTTTGAGTTTTGGAATTGGAATTTTAAGCGCAATTTCTAAAAAAAAAACGCTAAAAATGGAAATATACAAAAAATGCATCAACAATTTCTTCAACAGACTTTTCCGATTTTCTGCCTTAATGAGTTACAGTTTTAGAAAAGTCCTAATAAAATTACAATCTATAGTACTTTTAAAGTATATTTTAGCTCCATATGGTTATGGAATATTCAATATATTTTATATCTCCAGAGTATTTAGCCAGATTGTCCTTATTTATTTGTAATAATGCAGCTCTCTGGGGGATCAACCAACAAAGGCCATTTTTTAGTTCTAGCTTCAAATTCACCCGCTGGTTTTTTATTATGAGAGAAAAACAAGTACTTTAAACTTTTTTTATTTTTTAACAACCTGAATAACATCTTCATCACCCATGATATGGGAAAGGCCAACTCTTTGAGGGGAATATTTAGTACTTGTACCCCAAACAAGAGCATATTTAAATTGGGCAGCTAATGATCTGTGTATGGCATGACACACATGCTCGACCGTTACACCTTTCCGAAGAATCAGTCCGTCGGCAAAATCTGGTGGCTGACCCGGCTTTTTGGTGTACACCCTAATTAAACTAAGATACTCCCAAAGCACTTGTAGCAAGTAATCCAAATTCAGCTTCATATTACAACTAAAAAGTAAATATATATCAACAAAAGGCTAATATTTAATAACTTGGTTTGTCATTCTAGAATATTCAGGGTTCTTAGCATGTTTGATAAGTTAGAACTTCTCTATTAAGCCTCATAAAATAACAACCTAACAGAGGTACACAAATAATTGACACATTCTATTTTAAGTTGAAAAGAACTAGAAAAGAAGGGTACAAAAAAACAAAAATCTATATCCTTATAGGCCGCTATAGAAGAATTCAATTTCCCTGACAAAAGGTATAAAATTTGGTTCAGGGTAATAAGAACATACCTTACAACTACACTATTAGGTTGCCTAGCAATCCGGTCTACCTCTTCAATTGAGATTTGATCTATTTTATTGTAAACGTAGAGGCAAGGGAGATAAACTCTGTTGGCGCATATTACATCAATTAATTCATCTGCTGTGCAATCTTCCCTAAACAATACTTCAGCATTAAATATTTTATATTCATGTAAAATCATCTGAACCAATTTCTCATCTATTTTAGTTAAAGGACAAGTGGAGTTGAAGGATATACCACCTCCCTTTTTAATCTGCAATGTCATAAAACTTAATTATTAATGATTATTAATATATTTATTGTCACCTTAAAATATATATTTGGCTTTTTTTTATTTAATCGAATACCAACACTTTCCAATTCTTTCTCTAACAATTCCCTATGCACATCCTTTTTTGTTGCATCCAACATCATGAGAACTAAATCCGCTGTGCGAGCTACAGCTATAACTTGCCTTCCTTAAAAGCAACAAACCTATAGTAAGTAAAATATGAAAGATTACATTTGCAACATTTATTATACCTCTTCCTTTGCCTTGGGCAGCTCCTTCTATAATACCTGGCAAATCAAGTAATTGAATATTAGCTCCATTGTACTCAATCACTCCAGGTATGCATGTTAGTGTTGTAAACTCATACGAAGCAGCTTCACTTTCTGTTTTGGTTAAAGTGGAAAGTAGTGTTGACTAAAATGAAAGCAGAAGTAAAAAGTGTTTGGGGCATTAATACATTCACAAATCGTACTTTACCAACGGAAGGAAATCCAATCAGAGCTACTCTAGCGTCCCCGCTTTTTAAAACGTCAAAACCTTCGCCCTTATCTCCAGCCTTTTTAGATGGTTCTAACAATTGGGATCTGTATTTGGCTAGTTTTGCTTTTAATAGACCCAAGTGGTATTCCGTTGCTAAAAGAGACACCAGATATTCAAACAAAAATATCGCAAGTAACAATGTTCACCTTTATTTTTCTGCGTCCTAGAAATTTCTTTTTCTATTTCCGATATTTTTTCTAGAATTCCCATTTTCACTCAGAACTACTTATATACTTAAAAGACACTTATGCGATTTGTTAATAAAAAGCAAAAAAACAATGTTCGCAAAAATGTGAAAGAAGGTTATAAAAAACATCAGCTCGAACCACAGCACAACTTGCCAAAACAGAAAACTATAAAGGTCGGTTCATAAACCATTTCTATTAGAAATTGCCGCAGAAGTTCCGATTGACATTGCCGAATTGAGATTTTTAAAAAATTTAATTGGCAATGAAATTTTGGAGCTTATTTTAGCCCTTTTTGGTGAATTTACCAAGCAACTAGCCAAAACTAAATTTTTGATAGAAAATTCTGAATGTTTTCGAGATTACAAATTTCTAAATAAACATTCAGTGAATTGGTAAAGATCCACTTTCTTTGTAGCATCGTTCGTTGTAGTATACGTGAGAAGTACAGACACGTCATTGCGTCTGTATTACTGTACTATTCTCTATAAATCGGGCCCCATTGTCCCTATTATTACTAAGGATAAAGGATTTCGACACTTGAAGACAGCAGACAGTTATTTAACTTCTCTGCCCTATTTAGTAAAAACTGTCTCACCTCACCTTGGATTTGAATTGACTTACTTGTGATGTCACCTTAATATATTACCCTTAATTCACAATTTTGGGTTCTGATGTTTTCGATTATTCTGTGGTACCTACTTATTGCTGACAGCTGTCAAGATCATATGTTACAAAAAAAAAACAAAAAAACAGCGAAAAATCTACAAAGAGTGATTCATAGACGGAAAATTTAAGCAAAAAACTTGTGTTCCAGTTTCAAAACGGAAAAACAATGTTTCGGCAAACAGGTTTCGAAAAATTACTGGGTAAATTAAATAATTATTTAGATCTGCATATATTGTTTTTAAATACATTTTTATTAGATAAAGCTACTAGTCATATCCTAATGGAACCCGATTGGCCATCGATCATTCAAATATGTGATTTGATCCGACAAAATGACGTCCAGTAAGTAGCCGTAATTTAATTTAGTTGGGAGCTCTAATTCTATTAGCGTGAATGTTACTTCACAATATTTCGCAAGTAAGAAACAAAAGTTTTGTTTTGATACCATAATTTTTGAATGGTTATTTCATTATAGTTTTAATATACAAGCGCCGAAAATGAAATTTAACGTCTTTTGTATTTAGGCCTAAATATGCATTAAATGCTCTTAAGAAAAAACTACAATCGCCAAACCCTCACACTTCACTCTATGCTTTATTGGTGTTGGAAAGTTTGGTAAAAAATTGTGGTAAGTATTAAATAAAAAGTTGATTTTTAAGAATGATGGTTGCGTGCGATTCCAGGATCTGTTATACATGAGGAATTAACAACTAAAGCATTCTGTGACTTTCTTCATGAGTTTGTGAAAACATCACCTCTTGATAATGTGTGTCAAAAACTGTTAGAACTGATACAAACTTGGAATTTTGCTTTTAGAAAAAATCCTAAACACGGAGCTCTAAAGGTAAACTATTTTTTATTTGTTAGGTTTTTTGCAGTTTAGAATTTTATACAATTGCGTTTTTTTATAATAATTTACATGAGGATAACTTGTTTAAATAATAGGTAATAAATTAATTAAACTTTTAGGATTTAATGGCTGTTATGAAAGCAGAAGGTTACAAATTTCCAGTACTTAGAGAGTCAGATGCCATGTTTGCTGCTGACACTGCACCCGAGTGGGCTGATGGAGATGTATGTCATAGGTGCAGAGTGACATTCTCAATGATAAACAGGAAACACCACTGCAGAGCTTGTGGGCAGGTTTTCTGTGGACAGTGTACTACACGAACAGCAGCTTTACCTAAATATGGAATAGAAAAAGAAGTATAAATATTTTGTTTTAATTTTATTTCTTCCTGTTGCTTTTTATGCTAACTGAGAATTTGAAAATTCTTCTGACATAGAAATGTACTAACTTGTACTAATTTTAGGTTAGAGTGTGTGATTCATGTTATGAACAGTCTAACAAACCATTCCAAGCACCAAAATCACAGAAGCAAGAAGAGTTACCTCCGGAGTACCTTAAAAGTTCTCTGGCGCAACAGAAACAGGTAAAAATACTTTTTTTTAAATTCTGATGAGTCCTTAAAAAAATACTTCAGGAGCCTCCCAGAAAAACTGATACTGAATTACGTGAGGAAGAAGAGCTGCAGTTGGCTATAGCATTAAGCCAATCAGAAGCAGATGCGAGAGAGAATGAGAAACTGAAAATTACCAATACCTTGCACAATGCGTACAACAAAGGTAATAATTATTAATTTTAGTGATTATTTAGATTTGCTGCATTTGGTGCCTTTTTCCATATCATCGCAGCTCCAGAGGCAGCAAGTCGAAGTCCCTCTCCTGTTGAGGAAGCAGCCAATCCAGAATTGGCGAAATACTTGAATCGCTCATACTGGGAATCCATCCAATCGAACGATTCTAGTCGGGAACACCAAGCTAGCCCATCAGCGCCCTCACCTGTTCCGTCATTGCAAAGCAACGAGTCCAAACCTAAGCACAGGGAAAATGGTGTTAGTGACACCAATCTAGAGGAGTTCATGAAGACATTGAAAAGTCAAGTGGAAATATTTATTAACAGGATGAAGAGTAATTCTAGCAGAGGCCGATCAATTGCCAATGATACTAGCGTGCAAACTTTATTTATGAACATAACTGCAATGCATTCGAGGCTCTTAAAATATATTCAGGAGCATGATGACACTAGATTGCATTACGAAAGATTGCAGGATAAATTAACTCAGGTATGTTTTGGTTTGGTGTAAAATTGAAACAAAGTCATTACAGCAGTGTTTCCCAACCTTTTTTGTGCCATGCCCCACTGTAACATTTAAAAAAATTATATGCCCCCCTTACATAATTTTTAATATTAAAAAATTGATTTGTTCATTTAAGAAGATATCACCATGAAATTGCTATCAAAAAACGGTCAATATTATTTCAAAACATATAATAAAAAAGTGAAAGTCAATCAATTCAAATTCAAAATAATTTGAATACAGTTTTTCTATATTAAGGGAGTGCGATGCTTGCGCTTGATGCTTGCCGCACAGAGATTTTATATTTTACAATTTAGTTTTAGGTTTAATCTCAAGTCTCCTCGTTATCATTTTGCAATTCTGCATATTTGATATATCAGACAAATCCACTGCTTCATCCATGGTGGGAAATCAATTTGTTTAAAATCAGAAAATCTTTCTTTTAAATCAGCTTTAAATATGTATAAATGTATATAAATAATTAGCTTTTGTTTTCACCGATATCTAGCATTGTATTTAAATCGCCCGGAGCGAAAGTGTTGAAGTTGTGTTGAGTGTATTTTTTTTTAATAATATATTTCATACCTCTAAACAGTTAACAATAAACTGGCCCCGGAACCTTACAAAAATAGTGACAGAAAAAAGATATATAATATTCTAGTTAAATTAAATATAATATTTTGTTAATATAAGTTTATATTCTATTTTTTATTATAAAGTCTTTACGGTTGTTATGACATATTTTCTTGGTAGAGTTTGTGGTTTTTTATTAAACATTTGAGTGATATATTGGCGAGTCTTGTTTCGTTTTGGTCTTTGCATATACATTTCTTACCTTATCATTGTTTCTTGTGCTGGAGCTGTAACACTGTTCATTTCCAGTTAGTTTCACATTTGTTTTAATCAGTTTGTTTTGAATTAAGTAAATTAATTTTGTTTGTTATAGTATCTTGAGTTCACATAGTTTTAAATAAGGTAGATTTGTGTAGATTTCTTCACTAGACTTATTAAGGTTCACTCCAAATATTACTTTGCTTTATTTTGTAGCCTTTGTAATTTATTTAGCTGTGCTATGCTGGTATTTCCCTAGCATGTTAACAAGTATCTCAGGTGTGGCTCTACGAAGCTATTATAAAGCAGCTGGCTTGTTTTTTGGTTGAGTTGATGTGAACATCTTTTTATTGCACTTAGCATTGGTACAGTTTTGTCAATTACAGTTTCAATATGTTTATCCCAAGTTAAATTTTCAGAGATAGTTAGCCCTAGGTATTTATATTTACATACTCTTTTGAGCGCCACTTCATTAATTTTTATATTTAGGTTACAAGTTGCTTTTTCTGTTTGTTTAAATATCATATAAACTGTTTTTTGGGCATTTAAGGAAAGTCTGTAATAGCGCAGCCACTCAAGATGCTACTGTAAATCTCTATTAACAAGTTCTTCAAGCTGTTCCGCACTGGCTATAGAATAAGATTTAATCAAGTGGTAGCACACCCCACGAAGTCCCATTTTATTTAATTTATTCATCTTTAGCTCTATATTGACAGTATCGAATGCCTTTTGAAGATCGACAAACACGGTTATTACATATTTGTTCTTATCCAATTCATTCGTTATAAATTTCAGCCTATCAACAACCGCTCCTTGTTTACTACTTTTACTTTGGAATCCATATTGATGGTTGTCAAATTTAATTTTAGCTTCGATAAATTTTATTAATCTTGCCTTAATAATTTTCTCCAGTACCTTGGACAAAGTGCTGAATAGGGACATTGGCCTGTAATTATTCATTTCGTCGTGCTCTCTTTTTTTGTATATCGGGATGATTTAAGCCACTTTCAGTTCTTCAGGGTAGTTACCAGTTCGCAGGACATAGTAAGTTCTACCATGATATTGATTAGTGCCGGCAGATCTTTTTTTGTCACACCGTCGATGCCTGGGGCACAAATATTTTTTAATTGTTTCCTTTATTTCTGTCGTTGGGTCCAAAAATATGCTAGCCACTACTTCTTCTTCAAAATCGATATTGGAATGTTCCTTTATTTTGTTGGCTAAAGTTTCTCCAATTTTGAAAAAGTGTATATTAAATTCTTTAGCTATTTCTTTATCGTCTTAAGTCGGTTGTCCGGTTGCATTAATTATTTGATGTGTTAGAGTTCTCTTTTGCTTCATTAAACTTCTTTTCTGGGTATTGTTTCTGGAGCGTTGTTCTTAAGGTATTTAATTCATTTCTTGCTTTTTTATATTCGTTTTTACAGTAACCGTTAATTTTTTTTTATCCAACGTATAGCTTGTCTTTTTCCTTAGGTTTAGTTAGGTATTCTTTAGTTATTCAGTAATTATTTTGTTTTATTTTTATTCTGTATATTTTTGTGCAAGTTTTCTTGGTGGTCGTTAATTTCGGGCGTAGGTCCCACGTTGGGAAACATCTTATTACAGTAAAAATGTAATATGCATATAGAGTTTTTCCCTTATCCACTCAAATAAACTGCCAATATTTGCTGCAACTAGAAGGTTTCTATTTTTTATCGATAGGTTAAAGACGCCAGGGCCGCCCTCGACGCACTCAGAGAAGAGCACAGGGAGAAACTGCGACGGGAAGCTGAAGAGGCGGAACGACAGAGGCAGCTACAAATGGCACACAAACTCGAAATTATGCGCAAGAAAAAGCAAGAGTATCTACAGTATCAGCGGCAGCTTGCGTTGCAGCGCATTCAGGAGCAGGAACGCGAAATGCAGATGCGTCAGGAGCAACAGAAACAACAATATATGATGGCGGGGGCCCAGTTTGGTGGTTATGTCGGTTCGCCCGTTCACACGCAGCAGTTTCCGCCTAATGTCGGCCCCCCTGGTGTAGGGTATTATGGGCAGTTTGGTCAGGTCTTGGGTCAGCAGCCGCCCGTTAATGCCCAAATGATGCACAGTCTACCTCGCCCTTCGCAAGGTATTTTTAGATTTTGTAATTATGTTATTTTTATGCCATGGCGGGTAGATTAAGTGGGTTGATATTTTGAATCTCCTAAAACTTAAAAAAACTACAGTATACCATTCCATTAGTATTAAACAGTCAGTCTAGTCTAAGGACATTGTGTATAACAATTTGTAACTGTTGTACTTATCATTAAACTTTTGATGTGAAAATATGAGTGCTAAGGGTGTATATAGTGATCACTTTTTGAATGGGTACTTACCATTAAATATACAGATTCAATTAAATGGTATAAAAGTTGTGCATTTAAATGCATATTTTCCTGAAGCTGCCAGAAAGAACTGGACCGAGAAATACTTTAGAAAACCCAAATTCTTTGATTTTAATGTTTTGTTCCTCTATGGCACATTTATTTCCAGTTTTATAACAAAATATATATATACAAAAGTTGTGGGGTTGAATATGAGTTTTGTTTAGAGGGTGTCCCAGGTTTTTAACAAAATTGGAATTATATAGTTAGCTTTTTTTCCACGGGTGTTTCTGATAGTAGAGGTTTTGGTTAATTTTGTTTTAAAATACTGAAATTAATGTATTTGGATTTTCTAAAATGTTTGTTACAGTCCACTTCCATGTGGAAATTTAATTTTAGTGGCTTCAGGGCGTTATGCATCTAAATGAATCACTTTTAGCGTGTAAATGACCTTGCATCTTTAATGGTTTAAAAGTTCGCGATAAAATTCCATTGAAAAAGTAGTCTCCCTATTTATTAAAACGATTCTGGAACATTCAAAAATTCTAATCCTATAATTAATAAAAAAGTTTACTCTTCCGAGAATAATAATCGCAACGCTTATTAAAAAATAATGTAGTATAATAATATATATATAAAAAAATTAAGCTGTTTATCTGGTTTAGGAAAGGATTTTAGTTCATTAAGAAATAAATCATGATTCTTATATAATAATGGTCAGAGCTTTCATTCTTTGCAATCATAATATTTATGCAAAATTTTGTTTGTTTAGGACCACTACCTGCCCAACAAATGCCACCCCAAAATCAACCACCCTTAGGTACTTCTCAGCAGCCACCATTTAATTCGCAAATGCCTCCTACTTCGGCAGTCCCGTTCCATCCTCAGCATCCAATGATGGTACAAGGTGGGATGCCTCCAGGACAAAACCAAGGTGGACAAGCTCCACCACAAGCTGTAGGAGCAATGCCGCCCCATCCTCAGATGCAATACCAGATGGGAGTGCCCCCGCAAAGCCCACAGCAATCTCAGCCGCAAAATAAGGAAGACGCTCACACAGCGGAGTTAATAAGTTTTGATTAAATCTTGATATTGGGCTTAACTTGTCTTATTAATAATATTCATGTGTTTATTATTCTTATTATTATCACTGTACTCAAAGTAAATTACACATGGCTTGGAAATAAAATAGTTTGCAAATATTTTCTTTGTAGTTTAGCGTGAATTATCAAAATATGTTTAACATCCAAACTAAAAAAAAATATCGTAGTAATGCGGTTTTTGACGACTCCGATTAGAATTAAATTCTATAGTACCCATCTGTGGTATTGATATAGGTTAGAGATTTGCTTAAAGGAAAGTAGAAAAATATGTGACCGGCATCGAAAAATATAAATTAGAAAACTTCACGAATTTTTTAAAACTTGGTAGGTTTTCATCCCGTTTAAAAATGTTAGATAATAATATGACCCCATATATCCAACATTTTGATATAGAAAAAGAAGAGTTTTATCCAAAAGTAAAGACAGATAAAAATGGAGCTAACATTAATAGATAATAGTTCATTTTCTCTTGTTTGGGTGGGCTTGGTATTTAACTGGGAAAAATTAATTTGACATAAAAAAAAGACTTTTTTTAAATACGTTCAATATTATAAATTATAACGATAATGGAATAATTTTGCTTTAACTAGATAAATATAGTGAAGTCCAGTGCTGTCCGAGGAGCTATCTTAACGAATGTTATTGTCAAAGAGGTGTAGACTGCTGACTTTTTGCAATTTTTATTATGTACTTTGAATACATATAGAGATATAGAGGCCGTGCCTATGCTGATAATAAAGGATCTTATGAAGCAACTACGAACGAAATTTTGAGAAGGTCCATTCAACATTTTTTTCTGCTCCCGTCTGTAAAATACCGATCTAGCGTGAGGGAGGCGTCGCTTTACCATGTCAGTTTCGTTTCCCACGAATCCGATCCACTTCGGACATTTCCGGGATTTTACCGCACGGGTTTGGGAGCAATCGGATGTTTTCGCATTGCATTTTGACGTTTGTCAATTCTGACAGTCATATCAGTGAATGTGTTCATGTTTTGCGAAAATGTACCCAAAAACTGACGGTCGTAGAAAAAGTATAGTATGCAACACGTTCGGTAAACTTGTTAACTCACTCGTTTATTAAACACGCGCTCCGCGTGTGTCAAATAAACTCGTGAGTCAATTGTTGCATAATATACTATTGTTTACTTGGCTTGTCAACACGTGTTAATTAATTTTCTTTTATAACATTTAATTGTGAAAGTGATCATGGAGTATTTTCTTTGTAATATACTCCGTGATAAACCTAATTTTCGTGAAAAAAGAGGGGCGATAAAATTCTGTAAATATTTCATGTTAACAACAAAACTAATCTAAGCCATTGAAAAAAATTAAAATTATCAATTAATGGATGAATGAATGAAGCATTATTTGTTTCGATTAAAGTCAACAGAAAAATTTTTTGATTTATTTACCCTGTCCTCTTTCACTTCACCCATATAATCACCCACTTACTTTTTCAAAAGTTAATCCATCTAATACTGTCATGAGTTAAAAACAAGAATAAAAAAATCGGGCGTAAAAAAAAAAAGAAAAAAAAAATAAATGTTGATTTCTTAAATTATAAATAATAATGAAACAACTTAATTAAGTTCGTTTGTATAAAACAGCATCATAGATAATGGCTGTAGGAATATTTTAAGAACAAAAAAAAAGTTAATCGCTCAACCAAATTTATAGGTTAGCCCGTAATTTAGAAGTTAAGCAGCAGTTAATGTTTATGAGTCCAACTTGCAACCTATTTTTTGTCGCACTAGCGAAATCTACCTATTTTTATGTAGGATATTAATTGGTTTAGATAGAAAATGTCATAAAGTTTCATTTAAGTTTGGTGTCCTACAATTGCTGATGAATAACGTATTATCGTGAGGTCAACAACTTTAAAGTGTAGGACTGAAAAATCCTACGTTTATAAAAATTATTAGCAAGCTATGATGAAATGAAAAGTTTTCCAAAGAATTCGCTTGTTGCTTATCACTTTGAAAAAAGGTCCAGGGCTCCCGGACTAGTCTCTTTCTCTCTATAAAAAAACCCTCTAAGCGAAGAATTAGGCAATCTCGCGCGGTACAAAGTAAATATTTATTTATTTTTACATCGAAAAAACAAAGAAAGCATAGATTTTTATTCGTTAAAAAGCAATCCGTAGGCTCCTTGGGCCAACGCGAAATCGGCCTGCTCCCAGAACCTATGGTAGTCAAACGCAGGGATAGCCCCTCCGTTCAAGTACTGTTGGACCTTGTAATAGTCCGGGTCGTTTTTGTACCACGACCGAATACTTTGGAACGTCGACGACGCGTCAATGTAATCTCCGTTCGGATATCTGCCGCTCCAACCGGCCACCGGGATGTACACGTTGGTGTTAAATTGGTTGTAGTCGCTCCTTTGCTCGCTGATCGCGGCACCCTTCTCGGTCCTGTAGAGGTTGTAAATACCGTCCAGCAATTGTTTCGCGACGCTTTTGGCCTGCGCATTGCCCGACTTGGCCGCGTAATACGCCAAAGTTCTAGCCGTAGACGAAGCCAGACCTATACTTCTACCGTAGTTCGAGACCGTGACTTGGACGTTCGGCGGGCTGCCCGAATACGAAAGACTTTGGGGTATGTAAAACGAGTCGCTCTCGAATCGCGTGTTCGCCAATATCCACGAAACCCACTTGTCTATCACCGACTTAGCGGCCGCGTCGCCGGTAAGGTAGTAGTACTGGGCCAGACGGTCGGCGGACCACGACTGCATCCCGTACCAGTTACTGGCGGTATCATATCCAGGTTGTTCCTTGTACCACATTCCGTTGAACGAGTTCGACGAGATTTCGCTAGGCGGAGTACCGTAATTATCGTTCCAGCTGTTGGTAACACCACCGGCGAAAGCACCGCTGGGCGACTGGACGAACTGGTACAAAGCCAGTTGACGTTGCAGGGAATTCTGCCAGTCCTGCTGGGCGGATGCGCTTTTCGGTTTGAGATTGGGATCGTTGAGCAATGCGTAAGCGGTCATCGGGTTTTGGTACCCCGAGTGAGCCTCGGACGAGCCCATACGCCAGGAATAACCTCCCTGGGTGGACAGAGCGCCGCCGAACCCGATGTACCAGGAGAGCAAGTAATGGGCGCTCTCTTTGCCGGTCCCTGGCTGGCAGTTGCTCTCGCAATAGCCCACTTTCAGGAAGTGCTTGTCGAAGAACGCGTACCGCAAGAAGTCCCCGAGTTTTGAAGCTTTCGATAGCGTGTTGGAGATCTGCGAGATTTGGCCCTTGGCGCCGGCCCATTGGGATGCCCAATACGCGGCCTGGATAGCTCTAGCTTCCGCGTCGGGGGCGACGCTGTATTGCCAAGACGGTACGGTGCTGCCGTACCATTGAAAACCGTACTGGCCGCCATAGACGAAGTTATCGCACGTCGGGTAAGTGATACCCTGGAATACCGAACCCGGTCCGTTGTTTACGAACGATGGTGCGTTGGCGCTCGGTCCCAGCTCGCATTGCCCGTTGGTATTGCCGAACCCGTAGACGTTGTCGACGTCAGACAGCCAGTGCATGAGGTACAGATCCGAAGTGCCGTAGGTATTTCTTAATTCGTCACCTACCGGATCAATTCCGTATCCGGCTCCGGGGTTCGAAGGGTTGTACAGGTTTCCGTTGGGTTGCAACGTGGGTATTTGGTACGTCTCCATCGTCTCCCACGCTTTATTAAAGGAACTAAAGTCACCTTGGATAGCTCCGTACATCGCTTCCAGCCAGATATAGTAACTGTACGCTTCCGAATCAGTTTCGTGGCCATAGTCTGTGGATTCGACCTGCAGCGTTTCCAGATTGTGGTACGGCACTCCTTCTTTGGAGAAATATTTATTGGAAGCGTTGTGGATTTTGGCGTACTGCTCGAGGAACCTGTCGGTGTAGACGCCGCATTTTATGCAGGCCACGCAGAGCGACAAAATTAATATTGCCAGGAACTTCATGGCGAACCTGGAATTTTTTTAGGATATACTTCAAGAGGCAAGGCTACCAAAAGAAAATATTTCCTGGAATTTTAAACCTCTTAAGATTACTTGCAACGAAAGCAAAACATTATTCTCAACGTCGAAGATAAGAGCGTAAAAACACTTCACAAAATTAACATTAAAAATCACCATATATTTTATTTATTTATTGAAAAATTTGACAAAATTAAAAGAAAAATTAGTTGTTTTTCATTGTTCCTAAATTTTATAAGTGATTAATATATATATTTTTGAAGAAAAACATAAAAATTGCATGGCAGAAAAATTCAAATTGTAATAAAAAGCATACATATTCATTTATATAATAACGTTTTTTCAATAAAATAAATTCAAAAACGATTTGTATTATAAATTAAAAAAAAAGTTAAGTCTTTCCATAAAGTTTGTTTAAACTTTAGTGACAGACCAATTGTCTCCAAAAAGAATTGGGTCCACAAAAAAATAGGTACTTACTTCTTGTGTTCACCTAGCAGGGAAGCAACCTTATAACTGATCTCCACCTAAATCTATTTTATATAAACAAATAAATTAATACAACACTCAAAAGTTAAAAGTTTTGTTTGTGTTTTTGTTAGGTCGAGTGTTTGTGCGATTACGGAGATAATTCGGCTGATAATTACCTTTTGTTTGTGCTGTGTGGCATATTCTGAAGGAAGAAAGTCAACAAAAAACATCGACTACGATGTTTCTACTAATATGTGCTTGTTGGTTAGTTCGTTATTGAATTAGTATTTATGGAAATGTTTATAGTTTGTTTAATATTCAGCCCTATTACCCCCAAAATCTTAATATGTTAATAATCCCTTGTAGAAGAAACTTTCAGTGTCTTACAACACTATGAAGTTTTGCTAATGTTTCTTCCAAATGTATTGTTTTACATTTGGCGTCCTATATATTTGTGCCCATAATATTAGGTTAGGAAGAAAATGAGGAAGAATAGATATTGCTTTAGAGATTTTATGAACTTGTGATTACGTTGTATTTGTGTTTTTTAGATTATTTAAAATATTAGAAAAATAATTTTGTATTAGACATAAATTTTGATGAAATATGTGGAGCACTTTTTGTATCCGCCGCAAGGATTTCAAGTTGGTTTCGTTCGATAAAATGATAAGTATTTTTTCTAAGAAAGCGATAAATATATTATTTAAATTACACTTTATTATTTGAACTGGTCGATAAAACAGCGTCATTCGATTTTTTTAGAACTTAACAATCCTAAAATTACACTCTCGCCTACAAACTTAATTATAAAAATGATCAAAACCATTACGAAACGAAATGGTTAGTTTTGATTTTCTTATTGTCCCCGTATTATATGATAGAATTCGGTCTTACAATTTTTTGAATTTGAATTTGGGAAAAAAACTTTTTATACTTAAAATGAGCAAATGACATTTTTTTCGTATCCGCCATAATAAGGGAGAGGAAGGTCAGTGTGATTTTGAATATTTATATTTCAATACCACTAACCGATTTCAATATTTTCAATAACGTTCGCCACGGTGGCGATCGAATTGTGAACTTCAAAATAATTCTTTATGTGATATAAATCTACTAATAGATTGTTATTAATAAATAATACTCTACATATTAATGGCACAAAACTTCAGTAGCTATTTTTTTCAAAAATTATCACCCTGTGTGCCAGTTTCTTTTTTTTATATAAAAATTTTAGAGTTGCTGATTGAAATTTGCGTATTTTTTAGATAATTTCATTGATATTAAAAATGCCACATTCACCTTACATGTCTGATGCAATCAGACTGTGAATAGTTAAGCCTCGAAAAACGGTTTAAGCGTTTTAATGCCGCCATATTTTCTTAAATATATGCTCATTTATTTTACGCTTCGTAAAGTCGAAACGCAGAATGGTTTTTGTTTACTTCCTGATTTTTACCAATTAATTAAGGATTTAATGAAAGCCCGGCGTGTCCCAATGGAAAAATTTTTAATGCCCCAGAAAACTTCAAAAATAACATATAATATATGTAACACATAATAAAATTTATTTCGCTAAAATTACTAAAAAATACAAAGCACCCCAAACCTAATAATAATAATAATATACAGGGTGGCCCGAAGAAACTTCAACAACGTATTCAGCAGATAAAAATAAGTAAAAAAGTTGTCCTAGAATGCTTCAAATCGGAGATATTTTCTAAAATCTCTTCCAGATTTTGCGTTTAAAGTTAGTGCCTCTTAAAAACAAATTTAAGTCATAGATAAACTTGTTTTTATATAACCGGTTTAACCGGTGGTTCGTGTTAATTAATTTAAATAATAATAACAGTGGTACACCAATTAGGTGCACATGCAAACAATTTCGATACAGATACCACTTTTGTGTAGCATCCAAAATGTATTACCGATATCAGGAACCCCACGGGTTAATCAAAAATTTGTTGTGTGGCATGCTTACGAAGTTTGAAAGCAAAATGTGGAAGACGTATTTCTAGTGTATCGATTATTATTAGGACCAACCTGTAGATACGTAAATAATAATAAAAACAATAAAAATAAATAAATAAATAAATAATAAAAATTCAGTTTTAAACAAATATAATAATTTGATTTATAAAGCGTCGATTTTTGTTTAAAACGAATCTAGACAAATTCTAGAAGAGATAGTCTAGAATACAAGCTTTCCTCAAGAAAAAGTGTCTACTTAAGAAGTATTTATTGATATTAATAATAATAATAAAGAATAGTTGGCAATACCTTTATTTTTCAAAAAAAAGACAATATTATACTAATCGTTCACCAACACCGTTCTAAAAGAAAAATTTTAGCGAGAAGGAAGAGACTACAATAGCAACGAACCTAGAAGCGCGCTAATGTATTGCATAACTATTAATTGTAGAAGAAAAAAAAATAGAAAAAGAAGGGGGTGTAACTGCTTGAAACATGACTGAACGGAAGTTTGCCCCAAGGGGAACAATCGGAGAAAAAGAAGACCCGAACCCAAATCGAAGGTGAAGTTTATGGGTTTAACACTAAAAATAATTAAAAATAGCTATTGAATATTTACATTAGTTTTTCTAAAAGTAGTCTATATCTATATATTTATTGCCACAAAAGTAAATGATCTCCGAAATGCCGACGTTAGTTATTTCGTGTTCTTTGGGGTTATGGAAGAAGCTGGAACATCTCATTAAGATAAGCCGGTTTACCTGATTTTATAAATTTATAAAAAAACCTACATATACAGTTTTGGTCGATTACCCATGTTTAAAATTATTGAAAAAACGCATACAAGAGTTTCATATAATCTGTAAATGTTCTTAAGGCGTATGTACCTGGCTCCAAGTTTTTTTTTTAGTGTGAAAGTCAAATGATAGAGAATTGTCAAAAGTCAAACCTCAACTTTTTGCTATGTTTTCAACTGGGATACCGTTATTTTCAATCTCAACGTAGATTCTTCGTTCAACGTTTTCTCGAACGTGTTTTTGTGTGAAGTTTTACGTTGTGATCTGTTGCAAATAAGTTCAAGTTGTTAAGATCTGCGTTAGGGTTTTGTTGATCTTCTGCAATGGATTGGTAAATGAAGTTCAGAATCGGCAAACTGTTTAAGCTTAGAATGTGTTACACTCTGATTCATATCAGACACATATAAAGAAAAGAGAATTCGGCAGTTTGTACCAAAGATTTCGTTGTTGTACTTTTTGTAATTACAAGACTGCATCTACGTATAAGAATGTCTTTCATAAGATTTTAGGAATTACTTGAAAATCCAAAATACTTCAATTTTGCTAATTTTAGATTGTTATTATTATTATTATTATTTTTTCCTAGCTATTGCATGTTTTGTATAATTCCTTAGTTGTCTATAATATGTCAGATAATGAGGAGACGATGTTCGTATGTATTTTTTAATAGGCTTTGTTCTTTAATTTTTAATATTTTCAGTAATCCATGGAGTTAAGGATTTTTTGTTCCTCATAGGTACATATTTGTTCAATATTTCCATAATAAAGTTGTTAAAAATTTCTGACAATGACACTCTTATTTGTTATTTTGCATTTATGTTTTTGTAAGTTCTCTGTTTTAAGTTATTTTCTGGTTATAACAAAATGGTATTCTTGAAGTTTAAAGTATTATCTTTAAAGGCCTGTCGTCTATAAGACCTGTCTTACTATCTATATTTATATGTATTGCACTTATAGGGTATAACTTAGGTAAGTTATGGGACCCCTTGTAGAAATGTCCCTAAAGGGGCTACGATAAATTGAACATTACTCATTCCTTTGGATAATTAACCATAAAGCTACTGATAATACTGATACAACAAAATCACAAAAGACTGAGAACATGCGCATGCGTCGATGAACAATCGACATGGCCGCTGACATTTCGTTAGTTCGACAGCTCTCATTTTGGCAGCATCTTGACGACATATGCCCGGATCTCATTAAATTATCATGGAAAAGAGATCGCCGTTTAGAAAAAAGGTGCCATTACGTCCCTTTTCGAAGTGAAATGTCTATATTCCAATAAACCGAGTCGCCTGCGCAGGACTCAACACCAAAAGCGTTAACGCACGCTAAGTCCACGGCCAAGTTGATGCTCGATAATCAGCTGCAATTAAAAATTGCGAAACGTGCGGCGCCCGACCGGCTTTTCTGCACACTGTAAACGTGGCTTCTTGTAAATTCCCCACCCCACGCAAAGTTCTTTCTTCTTCGTCTGCCCCGTTGGTTCATTCACCGGATATACGCGGTCGTGGCTGCGGATAGGGCAGTCGTGTTCACAGAGTTTCGCGTGCGCGCATCGATTTCCTTCCACAGGGAAGAACGCATTTTGTCGAATCGATTGTACGCCGGTCGGTGTGGTCACAGAATCTTTGCCCTTTGAGGAATTATTAGTGTCCGATTTTTTCCTAAATAAGTAAAAGTGAACGTCCCTTTTTAAGAAAAACGTTTGAGGTAATTTGTTCTGTCAGTATTTTCGTTGCGGTCTCGTAAAGACGTGAGGGGAATCGAGTGGAAACGAAAAAAAAAGTCATATGAGTGATTTATGTATATTTTGTTTTTTATGCCACAACATTTGATAGTCACGTAGATCGGTTTTAAAATGTGCTATATTCGGGCATCTCATTCAACTCACGGTTGAGTACTCGTCCTAATCGACGTGGGAAGAGCCGATGTTCTCTTTTTTGTCGCGTTCTGATGTTTTTTTCCCAAACATCACATTTTAAATCGTATATTTTTGCAAATTACTAGACAGCCGAGTAAAAACGGATAAATGTTGTTGTCGTTTACTTGTTTATTGGATTGTTGCCGGTTTCCACGCAACCTTTATTATTTTTCATTTGTTTTTGTCTTTATGCTTTGAAACGGTATACTTTATTTCTACTCCCTACACCAAAATACCCAACTATGCGCAAAGTGCCATTTTACGACATCGGTTTCTTAAACTTCGAGCCACTTCGTGCGTTTCCGATACTTTAGTCACGGATTGGGAGTGATCCAATGCCTTCGGTAGATATAATTACTACTAAAATACAAGTCAAAATGCCGTCGGTTGTATCGTACTGTTTTGTAAAGCTGGTCACTCACTCCGCTGCTCTCCTCTCTCTGTGTCTTAAACAAAGTCGTGACTAAAGTGTCGTTTATAACCTTGTTGCATGTTCTATAGTACATCAACATATGTAATTGCGATTTAGTTATAGTTTATGATGTCATTCTACAAAACTAGTTAAATATTTATTCTCATTTAAAGTAAATAATATAACTTTCCACCTATATAAGCACACTGATTTCAAATATTAATGATCCAGAGTTTACAAAACTATTTTATGGTTCTGTCCTTAAGCCGTTTTAGTAACTATTTTTCCGAGGAGGTTGTGCGTACTTTTTTCTTATTTTGATCAGAAAACTACCTCCCAAATTGCTTTTTTACTCTAAAGGGTGATCCAAGTTGAGGGTCATATTAGAAGTGCTGGAGAACTAAATAGGTTTCTTTTTCAAATTTGGTATACGACCACAATGCACCATAATGCACTTTTAAATATTGACACATCTGTGGAGTTGCCAAGCATTGGAAATTTAAATGCAACCATGTTTATTAGTATATTTTCTGATTTTGCGTAAAATCTCTTTTCCTTAATTCGGAAAAGGATAATTTTTTTCCAGAAAACCACCACTTCATTAAAGCTTAATCTTCATCTTTTTGCGTGAGTCAGCTAGCTATTTTTTTCTAATAATTTATAAACATAATTTTATAAAAACAACTGCTGTATATGTATTTTCTTCAAAAACATTTTGGATTTTGTATAATAAGATTTATATTATATTATGTTCCGGATGAACAAGCCATTACTATTTGTCTAAACTAAAAATTAAGAATAACGTAAACCACATACGTATAACTACATATATTGGAATTTAGAATGCTAATGTCGGTTTGATCTATTATCGTTTAAATTAAAATTATACACAATTAAATATTAATATTTATTCTAATAATAATACCAAAGCTGCACGCTTTTTTCAGTGGCCATTTTCTTTATGAAGTGCTACATTTTTTATTTGTTTTTGTAAACTAAACCAAACACAAAATGTATTCTTATTAATCTTAAACAATTAAACTGTTACTAAAATAACTTCCTTGTAAATATTCGTTACGGACAAGAATTAAACACGAGACATTTGCATAATTTTGTGGAACAATAATTATTACAATTAATTGAGAGTAATATATTAAAACATTCAATTTTTAAATATTAGAAAGAAGTTGGGCAAATACAATTAAAAAAAACAAGACATGTTGTACATACAACGTAGTTTAAGTTAAAACAAAGTAAAAACATTAGAAGCATGCGCTTTGTCAGCTTAGCACTCATATTTGACAATACACGTCAGTTCTTTTGATTAGCTTTGATCTTCTGATTTTATATTGGTAAGTTTTTGAAAAAAGCTTGTTAATATTTTTTCAACTGACCTTTCTCGTGTCCCGATTTTAGGGTTAAAATATAAAATCTCCAGTTTTTATGCCTGAATTTCCACTGGCTGACGCAAAATTTATCAATTTGAAATAATCTGTTGCGGTATTATACTTGAAGGTGTGTACCAACTTTTAAGGACGTGTTTCTGGACCAGTTGGAAGTGGAAATTTCTTGGTTAGATCAATTTTTTATGAATACATATTTGAAATAATTTATTAGCTTCTTTAGCATCAAGTAGATTGAGGGGGACCACCCTCAACAATAATATTGCAAAGAAAACGTTTTTTTTTACAGAAAATACTTACTGACCACGTTACGACGAACTAACTGAATTGAACTGATGTTTCTTGTGTAAAATTTAAGTGGATTTTCTAGTGAATACACAAATGAAAAGTTCCTAAATAGAAACATTTACTTTTACTTCCGGCAACTAAATCTATTATCTCATATTATCTAAATTTATTTAGTTTACATTCCATGTTTCTTCTTCTTTTGCATAAAATCCAGTTCATTAGCTAAAACACATCATTTTAAATTCCTCGATTCGCATATTATTAATAGACATCTATCTTTTTTATCGCTAGAAATGTGTTTGTAGGTACGTCTATTGCAAGGAATCTTTAATTTGAATTTCTTGGTCGATTTCATCGAGAATTGGCTCTCCGCAGGTCATCGTCGCAGCCTTAATACATACGATAATTGCCTATAATACGGTGTTTAATAGTTTAACGGGTATTTTTAATAATATTAATCGCATTCAGTATGAAGGAGTGCACATATGGTAGTCCGGAACGGTAGTTTTTATTATTTCGCCTAATTTCGAAATATAAACGCTTTTTCTTCGAGGTAATATGTTTTGGTAAATTTCCGATGTATTATTTTGCGATTAATATTTAAACTGGAATTGGTGCCGTCTAAAACAAAGTCTCAATCACGAAAAAGCTATTTATACTATTATTTGTAATCCCTACTCTAAAATACCCAATTGTGAATTGAGCAAGCGTGCTCAAAGTGTCACTTTAAGAGAGCAAATACCAAATTAAATTGTGATTTTGATTATTCGTAAAATTTTGCCTTTGTTGGGATTGCGCCAAATTTGTTCAAATACTTCTTGCACACATAATTGTCATGTGAAATTAGTCATGTTCAGTTTGAGTTTACGATTTTATACTGTTTTCATAGCAGACCCAGCAAAAAAAAAACAATAGAGATTTGATGACTTCACCATATTTCTTTGAATTTTATTCTCTTGTTTGGAGAACTAATTCTGTATTTTTTTTTTTAGGAAATGGAACCATTACTTAAAAAATTGTGCAAGAAAATTATTGTTTTGTTTGCAATTTGGAAAATTGTTTTGCTTGCGTAGTTTTTTTATATTAGATACAATAATAAAATTCTGCACTTGTGGTGCTTTATTATAAGTTATCTTCCGTGTAGCGGTGAAAAGCATTTTCAAAATAAGAAAAAAACAAGCTTGTCTCAAATTTAGTTGTAGAAATAGAAGGCACAGAAGTGTAAAAAGATAGGCAGATCAAAATGATCTGGTCGACACCAGATATCCCTCAAATTTTGAAGAACAGGCAAATTAAAAGAAAATGACGTTTCGTTACAGTACATACACAACATTGCTGCAACCGACAAATCAAATCAACCTCCTCGCCTATTAATATTAATCGCCGACATACAATGTACAATATGCACGTAGTCTATCTCTTCATCTGCTGAAAAGGAATGCGAAATAAATTTGCAAACAATCTTTGTGGGAATCCTCTCTTGCCGCTTATTTTTACACGTGGTACACGCAAACGTATTTTTTCTCAGACATCCAAGAATGCACTCTGCATGCAGACCAGAATGTTTACGTCGAACCACTCGTTGCACAGAGCAATACGAACAAAAATAGTGCGATGGGTATTTATTTTTAGATACTCTTGGGCGTCCTTGAACTTGGGCGTGTACTTCCAATGGTACGGCTGTTAAATTTTCAATGTGCCTCTAAAAAGCTGAATCACCATCGGGCTTTGTATAACTCCGCATAGGTATTAATATTTATGTAGGTACTGAGGTCGAAGGAAACGACGAACACGAAGTCACCACGTGAGCGTGTTAAAACAGTAACTGCGCCATATGCGCGGAAGATATGCCAATCTGTTGATATTTTACAGTATTTGAACAAAGTAACGTGCAAAAAGTTCGAGGCTCTTAAAAAATCGCTATTTTTCAACAGGTTCTAACTTCGACATTTTTCTTGTCATTATGTATTTGCATCTTACTAAACGAAGGAAATAATATGGTGTTTTCTTCGCCGCTTAGTTGCTATAGAAATGAGCTTCCGAATTTGTTCAAAGGTAGAGTTAGTCTTTTTACTTCTCACTATTCAAAAATACCCGATTACGAATGTAATTATGAAATCTCTTAATTTATGAAGTAGCTTTTGTTATTGTTATACTATAATTTATTACCGAACGGTAAAAATTTTGCTTCCGTCTTAGGGAGGAACAAAACTCTTTCGCAATATAATATATTCCCTATGAAATGCACACGGTTGATAATTGTTTGTATTCGTTTCAGGCAGCTTCGATTCACAATGAACGGAGTTCAAAATGGCGCTGTCAACGGATGCGGCGACATAATTTCGCAGAACCAGCTGAAGGGTTGCTGGACGATAGGTCTTATCAATTCGAAGTATCGTTATCTGACCGCCGAAACGTTCGGCTTCAAGATTAACGCCAACGGGGCGTCGCTAAAGAAAAAACAGATCTGGACGCTGGAACCGGACACGAGCAACAGCGGCGATAGTAAGTTATCTTGCTATATTCAAAAAACTGTACAACACCAGATTTAATAGCCTATGTCTAAACGTCTATATTGCGCAGTTAGGAGTATTGAAGTATTAAAGTCAACAGCAAAGTTTTTTTTTTCTTTAAAGCATTCGGAAAAATTTAAAATTATGAAACTTTAAAAAAAATAAAAAAATGTAAAAGTGTAAAATCATAATTAAAGAAGCGATAAATATTTTTTTGTTTCTCCCACGTGAGATTTTTAAACACCTCATTTTATAGTTCAAATTGGTCTTTCAGTTTGATTTAGGTTTTGAATTAAATGCATCCATTATCTTAAAGCATTTAAACATTTTGTTTTTTAAATATTTTAACTTATAGATTCACGGAATAAACCCTTAATAGATCAAATAGAAAGATGAAGGTTGCCAAACAACAGAAATTAAAAGAAAAGTGGTGGTATTTTATGCGATACTCAAAGAGTATGAGAAAAAACAATCAACATTTTTGATTGCCAAAATTTTGAAAAAAAATTTGGAAAATTCTGCATCGGACGCTCCTTTAGCCTGTTCTAACTTGATATTTTGCTTGCTGCACGTAAAAAAAATCATCTCGTTAATGATGTTATTTGTAAGCAAACCAACAAATTTTTTCATACCATTTTCATTGTTGTATTAATCACAAACAACTGTGGAACATTATACGACGAAAAACCCACAAAATAGATTTATTTTTTAAGACCATGGCAAAGACTTCGAAACAGCCCAATATACACATTTTATTCAAATTAATATTTTTTGACATCTTATCAAGTGGTTCAAAAAAGAATAACACGTTCACTATTGCTAGTGTCGATTACTCAAATTCTATTGTTCATTTTTCAATAAAAACTTCACAGTTAATTCCATGTAAAACATTTCTTTTTAGTTAATGATGTTGTCGTTTATGACCGATAACATCCCATATATCCGTATTGTTTTCCGTTGTCCCTGACGTTATTGTTGACCACAATAAAATAATTGTTTTCCAAAAATAGCCACATTGCTACGTACGTACAAACAGCTCTTTTATTTTAATTTAATACGCTTAAGCAAAGTTAAAGCTGCCGAAGCCTTCCAAATAATGCTGCTATCTTGTTGTAATTTTTTATATTGGAATTGAAACAGCCAACGTAAATTTCACGTTTTGCAAACTGTTGTCAAAAGTGAACTGTTCTTCCTGCCTTTTTCCAAAATTTTCCAAAAATCTATGATTTGGCGAAGAGGATGCGTTCCTAAGTTTTATAAAACATCTGCACCATTTTTGTTGTCGAATGAAATGACGTCCCGCACAACGCACACTTTGGTTCCTTTTTGTTATTGTTTGAAGGGCATTACAATGTCACAAGAAGCTTACTTGTGTTACTAATTTGATCGGGTTAGACCACGAGCTAACACACCGCACGTGATACGAATATTAATTTTGGCATTATAAGCCTTTTTGTATGACACATGATGGTCAGTTACAAACTTTCTTCTTTTCAATAATAAAATTATAGTTAGAGTAGTGTAGCCGTGCTTAAATAAATTATACATAATTTCCGTATTATAAAATCTAAACAATAACAAGAATAATAACATTAACCGGTCATTCTGACTTTTCTGAATTTACTAATTGAACTGAGGTGGCTTTTACTTGATGAAAATCCATTCATCAAAATAAATAAGAACTAAAAGTTTAGATTTTCACGAAATTATATATTTTGACATGACAATTGTTTCGACAACACCGCGTCTTTATAAAATTGTTGTCAAAAATGTGTTTTTCTGTGTTTAAATTCTAATTATGCTACACACTTAAACATTTTTCGGTATATATAGTAACAGGTAGTTTGTAAATAATACATTTGATAAAGACACGGTGTTGTCGAAACAATTGTCATGTCAAAATATATAATTTCGTGAAAATCTGAATTTTTAGTTCTTATTTATTTTTTATTAATTTACTATTTAAAATACTAATTAATTAAATTTTGAATACTACTTCCATTTCCTATATAGAAAAAGATATGAGAACCTAAAATAAAATTTGAACGAATTTAATTTGGTTAGATATTGGAATGCAAAGCATCAATTCAACCTTTTAAGACTCCACGTAATGACCATTTTGAAAATGACACTCCTGTCATGTGTGGGAAAATAGGAAAAATATAATATTGTGAATTTCTTTTAGACAGAAAAATAAAATAAAAAAAGAGCAAGTAAACAATAACAAACAAATGTGTTTTGTCAAACAAATGGTAAGGTACTTATTTTATCTTTAAAATTTTAATATAAAAACAAATACAAAAACTGAAGTAAGTGTTTTGTTAAACGTAACTTATTAGAAATAAATAGTACAAAAAATGTTTTACTATGCACTAAAAAAAATGGCATTGAAATTAATTAAAAATTAGTTTCGTTCTTAAGCAGTAACATTTAGGAATATCATCTGATGAGAATTTTCTTTTCTCACAGAACCGAAAAAGAAAAATACAATTACAAAATTAAACCAGTGCCTCCTATGACATCAACACCACATTTGTTTACAATATCTTTCTCAGTTCTCCAAATATTTCAAATATATCATTCAGTTTGCAATACCTGTTATAGTTCCGTTTCTCCAGTCTCTTTTTTGCAAAATCGCTTTGTATTCGCAACGAAATTTAAATGTTTTGTTTTGTTTCAGGTTTGATATATTTACGGTCGCACTTGGAAAAATACTTGGCCGTCGATTCGTTCGGGAACGTGACCTGCGAGAGCGAAGAAAAGGACCCGGGCAGCAAGTTTCAAATTAGCGTCGCCGAAGACGGATCGGGTCGATGGGCATTCCGAAACGTCGTTAGAGGTTATTTTCTGGGTGCCTCGTCTGATAAACTGACCTGCACCGCAAAGGTAAATGCACTATTTATGAACTTTTGAACGCTAGCCATTCTGAAAGTGTCATTTGTTATGATTTTTTTTTCTGTGGATCTCAATATAAGGATGTCGCCGTCACATGTAAGTTTAGCAAAGAGTTACGTGCGAGAGGCTCAAATGGAATTTTCTTTTATACGCTTCATAACTAAGAAATAAATAGATATCCTCTTAATAACAATTAAAAATAATCAAACATATTTTAATATAACAATTATCAACAAATTCTTCATATCAATCTAAAAATTTTGGTTAGTGTTTGTTTACAAAATGTTAGAAAACGCGGCATCTTCTACTCAAAAATACATATTGCGGCCCCTAATTATCTACTTGGACCTAGATAAAATCATATATTTGATAGACGATACCATAATAAAAACTAAGTAAAACAAAAAACTTAAAATTGGAAATCGTTCTTGGTAAATAAGGATAAACAAAATGGATTTTTAATTCAATTTTTGAATTAATCACAAAAATGTTTTGTAATGAAAACAAATAAACTAAAGATATTTTTTCTTGCTCACTTTTATTTTTTATTGCGTCTTTTAAGTCTATTTGATTTCATGCTGACTTGTCAAAAAGTTAAGACATCTTATATGGTTCTAGTACTTAGAAAGTTCTTAATTAGTTTTAACGTAAAGAAACACCTTTCTCCACTTGCAAGTGTCATAGTCAGCAAAAGGGTTGTGGAATTGACCTGTCAAATTTGGTTATGTCAATTGACCGAAATAATTTTAAAAGTACCAGGAAATTTATATTTATTTATATTGCCCGTTACGTCGCCGTCGCGTCGTTATGGGAACCAAATGGAGTCGATATTCTTATTGGGATTCCAGGAATCGTTAAGAATCGTATATCGTATATATTCCTTGGAGACGGTTACAAACAGGGAGGGTTTAAAGCATTTTTTGATTAGTCAATTGGGCAATTGACCGGGCAATTAAGAAGTGCTCAATTGACGGTCAATTGACCGGTCCCAACACTAGTCAATAATAATCTTAAAGCAATACGAAGGTTTCTGGCAAAATTGAACGTTATTATTTTTAGTTCATTCCTTGGGCTTTCTTTCTTTTCCAAAAGCGCAGACATTGCTAAGATTTCTTCGCCTCGGTCTGACCTATTTATGCGAAAAGATCACCATCATTTATCAGTAATGTCGTTTTTGAACGTTTAAATCCAAGAAAAAGCCCCAAAAACCCGAAAATCGAAAAAAGAAAAGACCTCCGAAGTCGGAGCACAGCCATTTTCAAATATGCTGTGCGGGCCGTAGGGTGTAAAAAAGGAGCTAAAATCTAAAAATTTAGCTCTCACGGTTCGAAAGTTATCGTTTTAAAATCCGTACCACAGCGAACGGAGAACAAGGAAAACAATAAAAAAATATATTTTTCGACGCGTCTCTACCACCAGCTGTTATCGAGGTATGAAATACAAGAGTAGATTTTTTTATGTTTACTGTCAAAAAAAATCTGCACAGTGCTCGACTGCGGTTTCTCCATCCTTTTTTTTAATTTCCAGGTTCCGAGCGATGCGGAATTTTGGTACGTCCACCTGGCGGCTAGGCCACAAATGAACATCAGATCCGTCGGACGCAAACGATTTGCCCACCTTTCCGAGAGCCTGGACGAAATCTACGTGGACGCCAACATACCGTGGGGCGAAGATACCCTTTTCACTTTGGAATTCCGCCAGGATGAAGAGGGCAAATACGCCATACACACGTGCAACAACAAATACCTTTCGTTAAATGGTGCGGGAAACGGTATATCTGTAAGTTGCTAGTGAACAAACTATTCGCTCCTTCTAGGCAAGCTGGTAGACAGTTGCAGTAAGGACTGTCTGTTTTCTGCCGAGTACCATAGCGGTCAGCTGGCGCTTAGGGACAGACAAGGACAGTATCTAAGCCCTATAGGTTCGAAGGCGGTGCTGAAGAGTCGGTCCAATACCGTTACCAAGGACGAGTTGTTTTCTTTAGAAGATTCCTTGCCACAAGCGAGTTTCGTGGCAGCATTGAATGCGCGGTTTATATCCGTAAAACAAGGTAAGCAGATTGACAATAAGTTTTACCTGTGTTTAAAAAACTTAAGGTTGAAGCTCCTCTTTAAGCTTTTTTCTAACCAATTTTAAGCCCATTTCATTCTTATTATCTGACCAATGCCTCGCCCACCACCTTCTTTCCATGTTCTAATTCTTGTATAATTTATATTTCTTATTAGAACAGACTCAATCGTAAACGTTTCAACTAAAATAAAAACGGTCAAACATAACCTCTAAATGCCAAGAGTTGATTGAACTGTTAAATGACATTTTGAGCCAGAATCTTTTCTCAAGAGTTTCATGACGAAATTCATAAATAATTTGATGAATTTATTGGCAGACTAAAGAATAAAGGTGGCCCGAGGTTCGCATATATTTGTGCCATACAGAAATGTCTCAGACTATGTCTCATAGTTAAATGTTGAGTGAAATGTTTGAGGCAGAAGTGCTCATTGCCACAGACCAGCAAACATATAGCTTTATTGTGAACCGTGTGTCATGAAGACCGAATTTCTATATATCAGTGGCATTATAAAAAAAAGAGAACCAAATTGAAAAAGTACTTACCAATTGGGTAATTTAAAGCTAAAAATAATTGATATAGCGTTGCTCACACACTGAGTGGATGACGTTCTTGTATGCCACATATATACGTCATTCTGTGGATTCCATATGGCTACTAGAGATATAGAGGCCCTGTCTATATCGTGAATACAGGAACTTACGAAGCAACTATGAAAAAAATGTTGAGTATCCATTCAACATGCGCGAGCGCGAGATTTAAAATCTCGCTTATAAGCAATTACCTTGTGGCATTCAACAACCAACATGGCCGCTGACAGATCGTTAATAAGTTTAGATGCGACATTTTTACGGCAGTATTTTCTCAAAATATAAAATAAACGAGTTAAGTGTGTGGAAATTGCTGTTCAGAAAAAATTGCGCAAAGTACAGCGTAGAAAATTATCGATTTGACGAACTGTTAGCAGCCATGTTGGTTCTTGAACTCCAAAAGACCGAGACGTCGTGTTGTCGGTAAGAGATTCCGTTCTTTTGGAACGTTGCAATTTCTATATTAAATTTTCTAGTTGCTGCAAAGCGGTGTAGCTGCTTCTTCGGAAATATTTGAGATCAAAAGGAGTAAAATTTCTCAACGATCCTAAGTTTCGTTAGAGGTATTCATTATTAATGTTGTTGAACCTTTTATAGCATCTTAGGCATTTGTTGTTTTAAGCGATTATGCGGAACTATATTGCCCTATGTAAATTTGTATACAGTGAACGGCTAAAATATGGAACAAATTCATTTAAAAATCAAGAAAAATACTCGTACACGTCCATGATAATTTTTTCTTCCACATTTTTTGCGGTAAATAGAAAATATACAGGGTGGTTAAAAAACTAGATATCCATAACAAGTTCATTTTTTAAAAATGGAACACCATTTATGTCGCATTCATGTAGCACACCCTTTATTTTTATGAGCTAAATGTGGAATTTAATTTTGAAATGAACAGTAAATACCAGTAAAGTTCTTAAATTGTCACAATTACATTTCTTCATCTAAATGAAACTGAAAGAATTAAAGTTACAAACAGGGCATATCAAAGAATTTATTTTATTAGCTGACAGTATGCTAATCGGTTTAAAACCCCATCCAAAAACATTACTCGGGATATTTTCATTAATTCTCTTTATTTCGTATTTAATTCTAAATTGTAGATCATCTAAAATTTGCGGTTTTTCCTTGTGGAGTAGTATGTTCAATAGACTGTCCGGGAAATATATATATATACACGTATTTGTCAAGCATATCAGGCTGAATTAAGTCATTTTGGAGAAATTGTAAATATCGGGCGTCAGTAAGAAATAAGGTCCAATAATTTTGTTATTCAAAATCCTTGCACAAACCTTTATATCGGGCATTATTTGCACTCCAATACTTACAATATTGTTTATTTAACCATTTGAACAAAGCGTGGTTTCATCATTAAACCGTATTTGACAATGAAAAATAGATTTACGTTGCACATTTCTAACATAAGTTCTAATAAAATGCTTAATCTTGTATTCTCATTAGTTTTTGGACGACTTTGTCTTAAACGATCTTTTAATGATCCTAACGATCTCTCTGGATATTTTGCGTTAAACAAATATAAATTTCTTCTTGAGTTCTAGTTTTGTCATCATATTCAATAACAATTAAAATTTAAATTCCCTGCGTTAGATTTAGATGCATCATATTCACTGTCTTTACTGATCGAAATGTAATTGTAACAATTTAAGAACTTTAGTGGTACTAGCCGCTTACCTGTTCATTTCAAAATTATGCGTGAAATTTGACACAGAATTCGAAAATGGATTTTAAAAAGTGGTGTTTTTTAAAAAGTGTACTATTTGACCCACCCTGTATATTATAAACGAATTTGCTCCATATTTTAGCCGTTCACTGTATACCAGTTTACCAATACAGTTCCGCAAGATCGATTAGAAGGCAAAAATTCTTCATTCTTTGACGAAGCTAAAAAAATTTGCGACCGTCCGTCTCGCAGTTGTTAAAGTTGTTAAAAGAACCCGGAAGACTATAATCGCTGCATAATCTAGGCCTAGTACCGGAAAAACACTTCTCTTCTAATACTTAACAGCGGGCCAGGAAGATGTCTTTTAAGCTGGTCAGTCATCTCGCATATTGTTTGATACTTGTATTATGGTGGTATACACGATGAAAGTGTAATAAAAATTCATCGGTTCGGTCACGCTTTGCAGATGTTGCGTCTATCGTGGTCGGATGCCAGTTTAACGACTGTGCAAAACGGTATATTGCGTTCGGTTTTACACCTTGACCTGGGGAATATCTCCGTTGTCGAAGACGGAAGAGATACATTGGTAATGAGAATTTTCCCGAGATTAAGCGAAATTGTTATTGCCAGTGCGTTTATCACGTTGTCTGCGTGTTAATAACCGTTTTTTAACTGGCCGTAATGGGTATGATTTCCTAGCTCTGTCCGCGTCGAGCGTGCTCTTTTCGGATTTAAAGAGACGCTTTTGTTTCGAGGGAAATGCCATAAATAAAAAAAGCCGTTAGCGCTTGAACCGCTTTCAGCGACGTATTTTTGAATGGGCTGAGACAAATAATCACCACACTGATCGAACTATTTTCTAATTTTGTAATCTAAGTAAAGTTCTTCAAGTAATTTTACCATCAGGATGACACTACGTCAGAACTATTTGAAAACTAGTTAGCAAAAATCATGATGACTCAACAGTGACTCAAGATGTACCGAAAAATATATGTATTTTGAAGGAAACAATATAAAAATGTAATTGCTTGAAATATTAAAATCATTCTCAAACAAACAGTATTTAATCTGATACTTTAGCGGGAAAAATGAGTCAATACCGCACTAAGACTTCCTCAATTCAATCAATCAAGTAGAACAAAACTTGCAAAGAGAAGAATTATTGGTAACCAATGTCAATAAATGACGACGGTGACACTGAGAGTAAAACTGATCTAGGTTAAAATTTATTTTTATTTATATTTAGTTTTGACGCGATACCTACTTTATAGTTAGCTAACTAGTATAGCGATGGATATGTTTTTATCAACAAGAAACTATGGTATATATACCTAATATTGTGTACATGTATAGATCCCGTTAACTTGTGCTGTATTGTTGTAGTAAAATATTGCTCGATCTAAAGAACTCGCGTTCTCACTTTTTCATCACTTGTCGTATAAACTATTTTTTACGCATTTCATTTCATCAGTTTCGAGTCCGTCCCTGCTTTGATTCGGCCACCCGCTTGGGTTCTAACGGCAATTAATAATAATGAGTTCAATAGATGTTTGGTCCTACGATAACAGGAAGGTTATCGATAGTCTTTTCGGGGCAAGAGGCCATATTTCGGCATTTTTTCAATCTAATGCTTTATAACATTGAAAAGAAAAGAATTTAATAGCAAAAATTTTACAAACGGAGTTGCTCAACATAATAAAAGAATAGATTCCATTTTTCTTTTAATTTGAGTTTATTTTGTTTTTTTTTTCTTTAAGTTTTACCAAAGAAAATTTTAGATGTTTCAACTAGGTGGCTTAGGTACTTCAATTTTTTTCTTTATTTTAATATTCGTATTTAGATAAGTAAGCACTATTTCCATATATATTTTCAATGAATAACTCCTGTATATAAAATATAAGTTATTAGAAACTTGCTTTTGATTTAAGAAGAAATGTTTTTAATTTAATTATTTTTTTGTAATGATGTGGCGTTACACTCTAGAGTCTAGAGTGCCATTGTTTTCTAGATTATCTGTTTTTTTTTATAATTTTATAGTAGCGGGGTTCATTTTTATTTATTTATTTTAATAAATAAATGATTTTGTAATAATTATAAGAATTATAAGTAAAATAAAAACGAAACGTGTTTATTGAATTTGTAACAATTTTCTTTTGTTTTCTATACACAGTGTTTCGAAAAAAATTCGAAAAACAATTCTTTGTTTAAAATAAAGGATAGTTTGTTATCTAAACATTGGGCCTAACCATTAGGGAGACATCGCGCTATAAATATTGCGGATTGCGGAAAATCAATGTTTTATTTTTAATCTTAATTTATTTTTATCTTTATTGTTGTTAAAATAATATATAAATAATTTTTGTGAAATGTGTTTTTTTTTATTTTTGTGGTTAAAAAAATTCTAATAAACCTGTGTTTCTTTCCATGTCATTGCGTAAGTTTTTCTTTAAAGTAGTGTAATCCCCTCCACTCATTTGCAAAAAATATAAATTACTCCGAAAACTAAAAATAAAAAATAAAAACATTATTTTACCGCTATATTTGTAGCTCGATATCTTCGTAATGGTTGGCTTTTGGCCCAACAAACTACCTTTTATTTTAAATAAGCCATCTGAGTTTTTCGAATTGGTTTTAAAACACCTTGTATGTGTATGAAATTATTCAAATAGGGTAATTCAGTTTAAAAATATCGAACTTAATTTACATTTGAGAACCGGTTTAGTATTTTTGCGTTACTTACAACTAGTAAATGGTTCATTAGTTTGCATGCCAATTCTAAGAATTCAACGTACTTTAATTCATTTAATCGAATTGAATTTTTTATTTTAAAAATAATAAAAAATTGTAATCTGTGTGTAATAAAAATAAATAAATAAAGAGGAGAAATATTCTTACAAATAATTGTTTAATAAATCTTTCTAATGTAATAGGCGTTGACGTGACTGCCAATCAAGACGAGATTTCCGATCACGAGACCTTCCAGTTGGAGTTCGATTGGAGTACGAAACGCTGGTACATACGGACCATGCAGGATAGATACTGGACTCTAGAAACTGGCGGAGGAATTCAGGCCGTTGGAGATAAAAGGTACACTGCAGTTTTTTTCTTGGTTACTATGAGATACAGTTTGGATCCATAAAAATTTCAGAGCATTGACGTTTCGTGTGTTGAATTTTGTAGCCATTATGCAGACTAATAGGTTATGTTATTTTAATAAAATATTATTTGAAAATAAGTGACAGTTTTCTGAAAATTGCGATAGAAGTGCTTGTGGATATACGCTATAGCAGTGTTCAATTTCTCTCGCAAATACGAAACAAAATACCCAAGTAAAAATAAAGGAAATGAAATTAATTATCTAGAAAACAACTAGAGAGATAATTATAGGGAAATATTTTACAGAAATGATCAAAAATGGATAGCGGAGCGGAGCGTCCATAAAAAAAAACAAAATTGTTTTTCCTTTTTGTTTCAAGCAAAACCACTACGCTGCAGGTATTTTAAATCGATAGACAAAAGTCCATTACTCACTCGATATAATTTTTAGCAGATTCCTACATACCTTATTCGTAAAAGGTCTAATGTTCCATCGACCCCGAGACTTCATATATACACTATATGCTACAATAATACGCAATTGGAACTATTTTTCTTAAAAAAGTGGTTTTTATTTTTACTGATACTTGTCTTTATTTCCCACTCACATTTTGATACACACCAAATATATTTCTTTAATACATTTGTTTATGTATAGAAATAAAGCATACCAAATATCAAAACTTAAAAACCAATATTTAAGTTGCAATAAATAATTCAAGCTGTGACACTCGGCTATTCTTTTCAAACGACACTAAATACGCGGGAATGATCGTGACATCATATCGCTGATTGTCGATTGATACGGCGCCATGTTATAGTGTTATTCTCAGGTTATAGGATAAGATATTTATATTATTTACGTTTATTTTCGGCTCGGGGTGTTTATATTTAATCTACGCGAGTTTGTATTTGTGCTTGGTGTGCTTTATATGAAAAGAATGGGAGCAACACAAATGCAATATTACAAATCGTGCCATCTTGTTTGAGTACAACCCGGAAAACGCCAGATAAACTTTTTTTTCGTCTACCAAAAAATAAAAGCCGTCGTTTTTTGTTAACATTACGAGCAGGTGTCACTTTAGCTTTAATCATGCAAACATTTTTAACTCTTCGAACTTGCACCCATCTTATTGCAGTCTCCATAGCAATGGCTTCCTGATCTATGTAAAATAAAGAATACTTATCAACGCCAGTATAACTTAAAATCAGTATTTAGGTTTCTACTAGTTAAACAAAATCCTTTTTTGGTGAAGAATTTACATTTTATTTATACCATTACCATATACCATTCGAATTTTAACAACTACGAAACTTCGTCATTTTCAAAACTTCCTTTTTGAAACTAAACGCAAGATATAAAATATAAATACAAAGTAAAGCAAGGGAGCCAAGACTAAAATTAAAATTAAAACCACCAAGACGAACGCGTTGTCCTTCTCTAATGGCTTCTCTATGCAACCGTCGGGCTGGCACGTAGTCTAACCAGTGAATTGACGTCACAACCGGTCACAGCCAATGACAACGCGTTTCAAAGAGAATTTAGAACTACTAAAATTATTTTTTGTGAACTGTGGTTCTTTTAATAGTATAAACTTACTTTTATAAGCAATATTTTTCAAATTAAAATTTTGTTGCCTATTATCGATGCTCTAAGGACAGTTCACAATTTTTAAAGTTGCATAAAAAGTTAGAAATATCGAAAGCTTTGTATTATTTCATTATTATTTTAATTTCTGCCATCATCTTATCTTTTTCTAACATTTGCAGAACATCCAACGCGTTATTCGATCTGATTTGGCAAGGTGACGGTTCAGTATCATTTCGCGCTAACAACGGTCGCTACGTCATCACTAAAAGGTCGGGCCATCTGTACGCCAACTCCGACACCGTCGACGACACCTGCAAGTACTTCTTTTATCTCGTCAACCGTCCCATTTTGGTGCTTAAGAGCGAACAGGGTTTCGTCGGCTACAAGTCGCCCGGCAATCCGAAGCTGGAATGCAACAAGGCTGTGTACGAGACGATCCAGGTCGAACGGGGCGAAAAAGGCGTTGTTTATTTTAAAGGTATACCTAACCCTTACAAAAATATATTTTAAATGCCTATACATTCACTTATACAGATATACCTAACACTTTTGACCTTTTAAATAAGTTTACGCACCGAGCTACAAAGAGTGTCTAAAAATACAAAATTTTCAAAATCTGAAAATCCAAGTAAGTATGACATTTCTGTTTGCTCTACCTTCACGAAGAAATAGCCGTGAACCACCAAAGTCGTATCACACTAACTTTTTTAATGTAAAATAATTGATGATGGAACACATTAATTATTATTATTAGGTAACAAATATATTTTCAGATCAAGATATATTAGGAACCTATATTGCATACATGCAATAGACAATTTATTCTAATGGGTGATTTTACAGTCATAAGTTTCACAACATAATATATCTCCATTTTTAAAGGAAATTTTAGAAACTCTCTTTTCCAAATTTGTCGCTTACTTCTATAAAGTGCCACAGGAAGGGGTGGGCTCTTTACGTCTCATGTGAATCTCTTCAGGTGCTTAAAAATCGAAAAAAAAAAAGGAGTTTCAAGTCCAAAACAAAATGTTTCTGAGAAATCGATTTACCTGGTATCATGATTAACCCAACCATTAATAATAATAATTAAATAATAAATAATTAATATATATATTTTTTAATAATAAATAATTAATAATAATAATTAAAAATTAATAATGCCTAATGTTCTGTCCTTTAATATCTTGACTTGACGAAATCCATAATACGCTGAATTTTAAATATGTGGGATAATAAAGATTATTATTATTATTATTTTAATTATTTGGAAATTGTGTGACAAATATAACATCAAATCAATGTTATGACCATTTATGCTCATGTCTGATTTTATAGTCACAAGTTTAGCATTATGTTAGAGTTCTTCGGACGACATACCGTTTTTACGACATGATCTGTTATTTAATTTTAGTAAATTTTTATGACAGTCTAACCAACCTCGCAATAAATAGATTCGCGATTCCACAATGACGTTCCAGAACCGTACTTCGGTATTTTGTGCATACAAATGCTGAAAGCTGACGAATTTGTACAGAATTTCATCGGTGAGATTCCTCGATTAATATATTAATATTAAGTCCATGCAGTGGAAAATCCATTCTTACTTGAAAATGTTTATTATAAATATAAATGAAAACAATGTTAAAATATTTAATAAAAAAAGTTATTCTACATCAAAATAATCGACAGTGATTATCGTCCATCACATTAATAATTAATTCTCTCACACAACACTTTTTTCTTCGATGACATGTTCTACATTTTTTTTCTAACTAGAAGCAGATATTTTTTCTATTTCACTTGTAATTAATTCTATTGCCCCAGAAATAAATTTCGGCGAGGTGTTCTTTCATCTGTCGCCATGTCAGTTCTATCTTATTAATGTGTCTAGATATCACAAATCTCTTGGATTTCTCTCAAATATCTTGTCCTCCACTTCGAAATTATTCTCGATTCCATCAAAACTTGTCTCTTATTGATGGTTTTGTAATAAAAACCAATTTTTCGTACGAAGGCACGCAAAGTCTCTTGGCAACAGTAAATGTTCAAAATACTACACAAACAGTATTCTTCTGATACGCATCATATATCAACCGTCTCAGAATTCTGGCATGGTGGAATTTAAGTTGACTTTTTGGAACCTCACGCTCTTTCCGCGTTTTTTTTTTGTTGGACACCATTCACAACTATACGGTGTTTTAGTCATCTCGGAAGTTAATTTTCACGATTTTCACCAACCCCCACAAATCAACCAATAGCAAACTGGGAAAACATCCATTATAAATCAATTATCTACATAAATTTTAAATTAGAAATCAGTTTAAGCTTTCTAATGTGTTTTTGACATAGGAGATCAACCTATCTAATGGGCAAATTCAACTTGACATCGAGCTATCTCAAGTAGGGAGTGTTTTAGGAAGATTTATAAAAAGCACACTAATATGAATTAATATAACAGTTTATATCGGCTATATTCCGCTTTACAACAATCGGGTCTTAAACTCATTCTCATAAAAGGTTGTAAAAACGGTATATCTTTTGGTGAACTTTACTCCAATGACCGGTTACTTGTTCCAGGTCAAAACAACAAATATTGGCACGCGGACAGCGAGGGAGTAACGGCCGAGTCGGACACCCCCGAGGGTTTCTACCTGGAACTGCGCGAACCTACCCGTTTGTGCATTAAAACGGTCAACGGCAATTATCTGACTGCCGGGAAAAACGGTTGTTTTCATTTGGGCGACACTTCCTACGAAAGTGCGACGCAGTGGGAATATTAATTTGATATTAACGATCCTGCAAACAGTGTGATACAACAAATTTTTCATTGCACAACACTCATATTGAACGGTCGAAAAAAAAAGGAAATATTAATTTTGGTGCAAGGCCATACTATAACATTATCGCAATTTTTTTTATATTTATATATTTATGCACATATTATATTATCATTATGTCATTTACTTGATTTAGTTAGGTTCGTTTATGTTACGGTTGAGATAAGTTCCTCTTTTTATAATTAATAGCAATTATTTGACCAACGTTAAATTAAATACGCAAACTGCCAGGTTCCATGGCCTTTGATATAACAATACTTAATTACCAAATATTGCAACCTATAAGATAGTGTCTTTTTTGTACTTGTATAATCGTATGTATTGATGTATATATATATATAACATCGTTAGTTTAAATATTCTGCCAAAATGATTACGTGGATTTGTCAAAATTTCATAAGGGAATACATGTTTACTCTCCCAGGCTCAATAATTATATACTTTTACATATCTAATATAAGTCTTGTATGCGAGTCAAAATATATATAAAGCTTTTGGATATTTTTATAGCTTCTTAGCGATGTTTGTGTGGGAACGTATAATTTTTGTATAATAAAGGTGTTAGTTCACTGAACATTTTTTCACTGGCGTTCCAAAAAAGTGCTTTTTACCAACAATTATTGTAACATTAACACCGAAATATAATCTAGAATAAGATTAACAAACTAATTGAAAAAATCGAAGAAACAACTATGGTAAGTTATTCCACTGTGTTTAAGAACCTCATATCTCTTTAGTGCATTTAATTCATTTTTATTGCTCCTACGATATTTATATACACTTGCCCTTACTACAAAAATGAAAAATACAAAGTAACAACGCCATCTCAGATTATTGGGACGCTAGTGATTTAAAATTTTTAGGTGAAGATCGAATGCGTTATAAAAATATAGAAGACAGAAGTACCATATGTCCAAGTAACGACAACGGATGGAACGGATGGAACATTTTCGCAGGTAAATCTGGACGATCCGAAAAGGGTTTGACGAATTTTGATAAACGTGCAATCATTAAAAACGTTTTTATTAGACTCTCAATCGTGTGAAACGTGTACGATTGCTTACCGTGCCACCAGACGGCGTTTTTTGACAATCGCAACAAAAATCTGCAAAAAAAAAGAAAATGAACGATATGACTTTTACGCCATTATTTAATCAAACAGCTCAACATCTCAATGAAAACTGCATCTCGCATCCTAACCCAAAATGTGAACGCAAGACCTTAAGACCCAAAACAAGTTGAATTTTGGTAAGATTTTCGAATTTGCAGTTTATGTATCCCTAAATTGAGTTCAAATTAAAAAAAACAAAGAAATCGTCTTTATAGCAAATAGTAACAATTTTTATATCAATCACCAGCACCATTGATAACGTCCTTAATGAACAAATTCATGATTAACTACACTCAACTCAGTTACGGTTAGGAAGTTTGAAATAGGATATAAGCTCAGTAGTTTTTGAAATTATTTTAGTTTATTATTTTTTTTCTAAAGAAACTTCCACAGGCTCCTGTAATATTTTTTACAAAACTTCTGGATTCTTAATGCCTCGATTTTTGATGGGTCGAAATTGCTGATGTTTCGCCTTCGTTGGCTTCTTCAGAGCTTACCCCTGCGACCTATTGTCAGCACCATTGGTTCTCCAACATATTCTCTAGCAAAATACCTAGCTTCCTTATTAAAACCCCTTACAGGGAAAACGGAAAATTTCGTACTTAATTTCTTTCACTTCATTGAACAATTAAAAAGCATTGCATTAGATATACAAGATATTCTAGTTAGTTTCGACGTAGAATCCCTCCTTACCAAAGTTCCTATTCCTGAAACTCTCGACATCATACATATGCGGCAAAGAATACAGCGGAGAGACCGGCCGAAAAATATCAACTAGCCTCAAAGAACACGAAAGAGCCTTACGACTAAGACAAATAAACTCATCAGCTCATCACTATTCTATTCTATTCTATCCTATCTATAACAAAAAATCCGAGAGTCTGTAGAAATCTATAAACAACTTAACAATCTTAACCGCGACTCAGGTCTTTACCTGTCACCAGTTTGGGAATCAGTCATCAGAGACGGTGTTTATGGCCCTCATTTAGCTCCGCCCCCTCAAACAATATATTAGCAGGTACAGGGTGAAATACGAGCCAGTTTCAGTTAAGCTCTGAAGAAGCCAACAGGATGATCGGCGAAACGCAATTTCGACTCATGAAAAATGTAAAAAGTAGTTTAGTTTATATTTTTATTTAATTTCAACACTGAAATATTATTTCCCAAAAAAATCTCAACAACCCAAACAACCGTGTTAAGTGACGGAGAACCACTCAATAAAGACCATAAAGCAGCGAAGCCTTCCTTTGACACACCAATATATTATTAAAATATTTTTTTATTCAAGAAAAATAACGTTGACGAGTGACACTGGACCTGGACAATTTTTCTGGTTAAAAACATTTTGGAACTTCTGAAATTCCCATTTCGGTGTTAAAAGGAACACCCTGTATAGTTTTCGATCTGCGTTCTAAAATCTTTTAAATCACGCGAAGCGTTCTAGCACTTTTCAATGAAAAACGAAATTTAAAAATAAAGAAATTAAGGATTTGTAGACTCAATAATATAAAATCCATTGTAAACAACTCAATGTGTTTCGGTGGATGGTCAAAAACATAGCGGATGTATGAATTAACCGGTTAAATGCATATTTATACCGTCAAGTGAGAATCTCCACAGAATTACCCTGCGAGTAGGGTCACATTAAACCTTAAGAATTTATTTATTTTTTATATTAAACAATTTTTTTTTTCGTACTGACACACCTTGCTCTTACGCGACCCCTTCAATCGGATTCACATTTCTGGCGACGGATTCTCAAAAGTTTTTCACGTGACATGAAGGCTGAAATATTTTGTCTCAATTGAGCTATCATCTTAAATTACCTAAGGCGGTTTTCGTCGTTTTTTTATCCATTCATTCGTTCTCCTTGCTCTAATAGAACTCGTTTAAAAAATTCGTGTCTCCCTAAGTGGTCCTTTCCGTTGGAAAGACATTCTCGTCATGCGCAAATTGACCTAGATCCTATCCTATTGTCAGTGCAACATCTTCCACGGCGGAATTTTGTAATTTATTTTTGCCGCGCAAAAAGTCGCTAGGTTTTCCGTGAAAAAATGCTTTATGTACGTTACTTCTGTGGATTACTTGTTGTCGCCGTACTTTGCGTACAAAACGGTAAGTTGGTCGGGCGTTTGTTTGTTGTTTTAGACGGACCATCAAGCCAACTATTTCGGGAAATGTATTTCTATTTCTACACGTTTGTGTAAAACATTTTGCTTACGTGCAAAACATTCAGATATTTGCGATTCAGTGAATGGTAACCGTTTGAACAGAATTATACGCCTAACAGCTTAAACAATTGTTGGACGTAGGTGTTTACGGCTAAATACTAATTAACGCTTTGCGTGATGATTTATTTCAATTTATTTAAACAATTCATAGCATCTGAGGGGAAAGCGCATGCGAATTTTGGCAAAATCAATAGGCCCTGACATCTAGAGCAAGGGCACATTGGCACAAATCTTTTTTCGAAGACGTTATCATCGCCTCACTCTACTGAACATTTGCAGCTTTATTCATTGAAACGAAATTTCTTTTCACGATATGGAAAATTATATTCATAATTAATAAACACATTTGTACTTTGTACAAATAATTGTAATTTTTGTCGCAGAATTTTCAGCTAAAAGTTCATAAGATAATTTGTTTATAGTGTATTTCTTCGAATAGTTACGATTAAAAAATAAACCAAATATTATTGTAAAATTATTAATAAATTTAGTCTGGTTGATTACAATCACAATTAAAATATTAAAGTAGAAAAAAACTCAGCTCTCGTTTTTGAAGAAGAAATAAAATTGAAATATCCTATGCCAAAATGTAGTTGCTTAGAAAACCGTATACATCATAAGTTTCGATTCCTCAATTTTTATAGACTTAGATCTTAAAAAAAAAACTAAAACTGGAACTAAAACCAATTCTGGTTTTATCAAAATTGTCGTGGATTATGATTTCATTTAAAAAATATACATACATTTTAATTTTTTTCATGGTAAAGTAGCAATAGTGTCCCCTGCCTACCACTCCCAATTATTCTAGGTGGTGCTATTAGATGCTACGAATGCAACAGTGTTTTGGAACCAAATTGTATAGGAAATCAAGAAAATCCTCTCACCGAAAACCTGAAGAAAGAATGCCCGGAAAAGAAAGGAGATAAGCCGTACACCTTATGTAGAAAAATTAGGCAATTTATAGATTTCGAAGTAAATGGACGTAAGTATTGCTTCTCAATTCTAAATGTCTGCTTACAGTTCTTCAATTTTATATTATTTTGATTGGCTGTTTTAAAACCGCTTAAAATACGTGCTCCCAATTTTCTCTACACTTTGTATAACAAAATACAAAGGCCTAGATGACCCAGTTTTTTTGACTTAGGCTTAATTTATTTTCATTGATTTTGTTTTAAAGAGCGCCAGAAACAATCTCTTGTTAATTAATTACTAATATTATAAATAAGAGCAATTAGACTAGTTTTTGATAGTCCTTTACAACAACAAAAAAATCTTCAAAAAAAAATAAAAACATTTTATTTTTGTGACGTTTCGGCCTTCAAGACCTTCTTCAGACATTTAATTTTAACTTACAAAAATGTATTTTTAAATAAAATTATTTATAGCATTGTTTTCCTGGTCATAATTAAAACATAGATAAAAATTTGTATAGGAGTCAGCATTGAAATAATTAAAAATTACTAGTGCAAGTCAATAGAACAAACAAAGTGATTAAAAATTGTATACAAATAGATGCACAACAATAAAACATACATAATTTTTTATATTACGATTACATACATACCTTAAGCCAAAAATCAACGGTTCACTATATAGTTGTTTGGTAATTTACAGTTTTACAACATTCACAACAGACATATCGAATATGTAAATCGACAAGCCACATTGATAAGACGACGAACCAAAACAATAATGCGAAGCCCGGATGTACGTTTCTTCACAGTAGGACAACGGAGTTTTTTTTTTCTAAAGCTTTTTTTTTGTGTGTGAGATTCACGGGTTAATGTGTCTCTTTATTTAATTAAGTTGTGATAAATTTTGCTGAGATTTTTTGTGTCAGTCTTAGAGTTTATGGCGTTTGGATTTTTTTGGATCTCAATCATTTCATAAAATTCCCGTCTTTTTGTGTGCCTTTCTGAGCGTAAAATTTTCACACTTTGAAAGTCAAACGAGTGCTGATTCTCCCTGGAATGGCTCGAAAGAGCAGTGTTATTTTTTTTGTCATATTTATGGCCGTTTAAGCGACTTTTTAAGTATTGACTAGTTTGTCCGATGTAGACACCGTTACAATTTTGGCACGGTATTTGGTACACCACGTGGATTTTTTTCTCGTCAGGGATTTTTGATTTTAATTTACTAAAGTTTTGTTCTAATAGGTTATAACCTTTGTGTGCCACAGTAATGTCGTGTTGTTTGAACACATTGCACAAATTTTCCGATAGCCCTGGAACGTACGGTAATGGGAGATACTGTTTTTGAGTATTTTTCTTCTCGGATTTGTTACCAGCATTTTGATTGTAAAATTTATGTATCCATTTATTGAAAATTTTATTTATTAATACATCCGGGTAACAGTTTAATTTTAGGGCTTGTTTTGCTTTTTTAATAGCTTGCTGTCTGTACTCAGAATGGGACAGTTTAATAGCTCGGTCGGCTAAACCTATTATTACGGATTTTTTTTGGGTGATGGGATGTTGGGAGTTGAAACTTACATACCTAGATGACCAGGTATCTTTGGTGTACCATTTAGTTTTGATCCGGTCTTTGCTGTGGTATAGAGTCAGGTCTAGAAAGTTAATGACGTTATTTTTTTCGATCTCTATTAAAAATTGAAGTTTGTCTTGTATGAATTAAAATTCTCTAGAATATCATCGATTTCAGTTTTTGGGACAGCACTTACGCAGTCATCGACATAACGATATAATAAGGGGATATGGAGATTTATATTTTTTAGTACGGATTCTTCCAAATCTTCCATTACTAACTGTGCAATAACACTGGAAATCGATGCTCCCATTGCACAACCATCGACCTGCCTGTAATATTTGTCATTGCATTGTGCAACAGACAGCAAGCTATTAAAAAAGCAAAACAAGCCCTAAAATTAAACTGTTATCCGGATGTATTAATAAATAAAATTTTCAATAAACGGATACATAAATTTTACAATCAAAATGCTGGTAACAAATCCGAGAAGAAAAATACTCAAAAACAGTATCTCCCATTACCGTACGTTCCAGGGCTATCGGAAAATTTGTGCAATGTGTTCAAACAACACGACATTACTGTGGCACACAAAGGTTATAACCTATTAGAACAAAACTTTAGTAAATTAAAATCAAAAATCCCTGACGAGAAAAAAAGCCACGTGGTGAATCTCGCACAAAAAAAAAGCTTTAGAAAAAAAAAAAAACTCCGTTGTCCTACTGTGAAGAAACGTACATCCGGGCTTCGCATTATTGTTTTGGTTCGTCGTCTTATCAAGGTGGCTTGTCGATTTACATATTCGATATGTCTGTTGTGAATGTTGTAAAACTGTAAATTACCAAACAACTATATAGTGAACAGTTGATTTTTGGCTTAAGGTATGTATGTAATCGTAATATAAAAAATTATGTATGTTTTATTGTTGTGCATCTATTTGTATACAATTTTTAATCACTTTGTTCTATTGACTTGCACTAGTAATTTTTAATCATTTCAATGCTGACTCCTATACAAATTTTTATCTATGTTTTAATTATGACCAGGAAAACAATGCTATAAATAATTTTATTTAAAAATACATTTTTGTAGGTTAAAATTAAATGTCTGAAGAAGGTCTTGAAGGCCGAAACGTCACAAAAAATAAAATGTCTCACAAGTAACGGAAACTTATTTTAATTTCACTAAAAAAGGACCAAAAAAAACCCAAGAACCATTTCTTAAGAATATATAAAATCAAAAGGATCCAAGAACTCACAAACTAGAAAAATATATATTAATATATATATATATATATATATATATATATATATATATATATATATATATATATATATATATATATATATATATATATATATATATATATATATATATATATATATATATATATATATATATATATATATATATATATAAAATTAGACATTCTCTTTTTCGTTTGTTTTGAATTTTGATTAACGTATTCTGATTAATTCTAGTTAAACCTGACACTAGAACTATCCGTACTTGCGGCTATGAAGATTCTCAGTACGCCAACAGGTGTTATCAGAGATCAGGATTTGGTGGCAGACAAGAAGTATGCGCCTGCCAAACCGACGACTGCAACGCAAGCTCGCTTATCATGTCATCGGCAACTTTAACAGTTGGATTGTTACTCCTTCTGAAGTACTGCTCGGCATAAAATAAAAAATTGCGATATTCTCAAACGTTAATATTAATAATTGAATGAATATCAAATTTAAATCGTTTGAAGCGCTCATGTTTTGAAATGCAAGCTCAAAAGGATGAGTTGTGTTTAACTCATCTCAATGAATACCGCTAACATTAGGAAATGAAATTATCTATATAAAAAATACCGTTTCTTGTAGGAAAGTGTTTGACCGGAACTGCTAGTAGCAATAACTTATGTTTAATATCATGCTGTATTGGACGAAAATCAGTAGGTAAGGTCTACTTCCCGTACCTAGTAAGTAATATTGGTCTATTTTTAGACCGCATTAGATCTGTTTTGTGATTTAGGGATTAGTCAAGATTTCTGTTGCACTGCCTAAGGAAAATTTAAATAGCCCATATCAAATTCGCTATAGGTACCTTATGATACACCTTATAAAATGTGATAGTTGATTGTTATGTTTTTGACTCGAAGAAGCAATAAAGTCAATAAATTCACACCCAAAAGTTGAAGCAGTTTTAATTTCCACAATATGTTTCGCTTTAATTAGCAAATAAAACCAAAATCATGTTTAGTTAAAAATACATTTTTTTTTAATTTCAAACATGGACCAAAAAACGTGCATTTTTGCGGTAAAAAAGGAAGACACAATGGAATTAATTATACATTCTGGAAAGTGATGTGAAATTGTAACCTGAACGCATTACTAATTGTTATTGATTGGTTGCCTGTAGCTGAATCACCTACTTTAGGTATAAGTATAAATCTCATTGCATATTAACATACTTTATTCAACGGTTTTCAAAAAATCCCAGGAGATTCGATACTAGGCTTAGTCCTGAATGCGCGTCTATCTCCTATTATATCACCATAATTAAACCAAAATTTCCACCAACAAGTACCTTTTAAAATTTTAAAAAGGACTAGACCTATATTTTACTAACGCCATGAACTTCATTGAACATATTAAAGAGATAGTTATTACATAAACGCGGCTGAGAAAAGGGGCACATTATTGCTATCAATCAAGTTAGCTGTTGTTTGTTAAAGTGTCATTTGAGTCAGCTACTTGTCAAAAGTTTTAAGCATTCTAAAGCCATAATTTTGAAGAGTTTTATGATGTTTTTGTGATTACCTTATTGTTTGTGAGCATGAAGTGAATTGAAATATTTTAAGTTTTCGGTAAGTAATTAAAAGGCGAGTTATGGAATAATTAATATATTATTGTCGATCTTGAAGTTCTTATGCCGTAATTTTGGCTAGGTTTGATGCCTAAAATGTTTTACAATCAGCGCCGGTTCAAGAGGAACCCAAGCAATGACTATAAGATTAAGGGGTAATCGTTAGCCTGCCAGAAATTAAAATTTTACTCTATAAGCACAGTTATACCGCTGTCACATTTAATTTAATTTCAAAAAAGTCTGAAAATATTCAGATTGATTTCATTCTGCTTTGTCTTTGGAATTAATACATAATAATTTTTGTGTTTAATGGAAGAAGGAAACAAGTCGCAATATATAGGAAGAATGAAGATATGGACTCAGTTTAAAATAAAGCGTTTCTAATAATTTCAGTGTATAAAATTAAATTCTTTTTTGGTAAATACATGCACAGGTTATACAAGATAGAAAACAACAAGCCATAGTGGAGGCAATGATACCCATACTGAACTTAGGGAGACTAATTTTGGGGCTGTTATCGCTTAAATATTCAAAATTATATTTATTATAATATTAATATATAATAATAAGCAAATAAAAATCGTAGGTGGGTCGCTTAGTATATTTTCAAAACTGTCTTAATTGCACTTATAAAGCTGGTATTAAGCGGCGCTCTAATGAGAATGGGATTTGCGTCTGCCAGTTTTCGAAGGATAGAAGAACTGGTTTTATTTGCTTTTCTCACGGATTTTATAAATATTAGCGATAACAATTTGGAAACCCATAAGAAAAGGCAGAAACTTTGAAACACTTTTTTATCGTCGTCTTCTGCCTTCTGTCAACGTAGATCTGAAGATTGATTTATATCGAATGTTGTTAGATTCGGACTTCTCGGCACTGATTCGACGAATAACAAGAAACATCCGTAGGTTTTACTTTGTGGTGAAATGGAACCCAATCGCTCCGAAAACAATTCCAACCAGCACCAAAACGTGCACCTTCATATGCACCACCTGTGCAACTGCCAAAGTGGCCTGTTCCCGGGGTACTTTCCTACAATGGGATTTAGAACTCCTCTGCCGCCCTTCGTCTCGTATCCCAGCACTTCAGCAATGAGTAGACCGTACTTGCAGCATTATCAATACACACAGTTTAACGTTGGGGGACAGTACACTGTGCCAGCAAGCACCCCACTTTACTGCCACAACCCGAATAACAATGCCATAGATGTAATTTTAAATGGTAACTCAACGAAAGACAAGGGAGACGAATTTAATGACGCAGAAAAGCAGAGCGATGGTCCCGAAGCCTACGACTGCGGCCCAATAGCACCTGCAGTTAAAGATTTGCTCATAACGGTTTGTATGGGTTTATATGTCGCATTGTATTTGAATCCATCTGTTTTCGGTCAGGACGCTTCCGAACAGATAACTCCTGATAATTTCGTAAAATTTTTGGAGAGGGGTTGCCTGACGGCCGAACAAGTGGCCTACAGGAATCGCAATCGACCCTGTTTCCGGAATATCCAGAATCTCTGTATACGCACCAGAACTGAAATTTTGAAGCCTTGCACCACCATTTCCAATATCCATTCGCAGGGCATACCTTGGGCCACCAAAGATTTTATTTACGCGTTCGTGAGGCTAACCAATTGCTGGCATATTTTAAAAGGCTATTGGGAGAACCGGGAAGGTAAAGTCACTCGGTATTAGGGGAGTTTAATTATTGAGCTTCAATTCTTATACCTCTTCCTCTTTTGTCCTTTATTTTATAAGAAGTTTCAGCCGAAAAATTATTATAAACTGATATGTTTCTGTAAAGCCAGTAGTGGAAGATAAACAGAATAGATATGTAATAATATACTATATCTCAAAAGCGAGACTTTTGAAAGCCTTGCATTTTGGCAAAAATATTCCGTAACGTATCATGCTTCCAAAGGAGCAGCAGTTAGCTGTTATAGAGAAGTTTCGATAATCTCGTCCGTCAATGTTTGAGTTTTTAAATAGACGTGACTACGTAAAGTTTCAAAGGTATACTTTCAAGGTGATATTAATGAATGGACGTTTGAGCGCCTGCTTTAATTATAAATAATTTAATCATAAATTATATGCGTCTTATGTTTTCTACATTATTTGATAACTTAATAACACTGCAAAAAAACAACGGCAAATTATTCTAAACACACAGAAGACCTAAATAGCTGCTTATTTGTCGTTTGTTTCACAAAATGGGACATCTGAGTATTGTTTTTTCACTATTTAGATCGAAATAATTGCGACCTTTCCTCTAATCCTGATTATAGTGTACGAGGGCAGCGCCAAAATTTCCCGGCCTGAAAATGAAAGAAACAAAGTAGAGTAACAATTTTTTATTATTTTTCAATATAACCCCTCTTAACTTCAATACACTTATGACATCATTTTTTGTTTGTCTGCAAAATGAGCTAAAACAGCCTCTTTTAACGCAACTTCGTCGTTAAACCGCCGTCCACGTAAGCCCTTTTTCAAATATCCAAACAAATAATAGTGCTGGACTATAGGGAGGATGATTTATCTGTTGGAACCCACACTCTAAAATGGAAGCTTGTGCAACACCAGCAGTATGGACAGGTGCAAAAACGCACGCCTCTGGTCAGTTTTTCGCGACGTTTTACACGTATTCAGTCTAGCAATTTATGTAATAATGTTGCGTAATATTTACCATTGAGTGGTATTAGTTTCTTTAAAATCTATCAAGAGAATTCCTTCACAATACCAAAAGATCGTGGCCATCACCTTTTTTGTTGACTGGCAGACTCTGAATTTGGTTGGAGATGCTTCACGCTTACGACGCACCTACATTGATTCTTTTTTCGATAGGGGATCATAATAGATAACCATAGTTTCATCTTCTGTCGCAAGAGTTTCTATCACAGGCTTCGGTTCCAACCCATCTTGCACTAACCTTATGCATACCTAAATGATCATGCAGGATTCGACGAACACTTTTAGCAGAAAGCTTAGTAATTTCTGAGATTTCCTTGACCTTTAAAAGTCGATCAGTCAATACCACCTCTTCCACAATCGCAACAATATCTTCCGTTATGATCTCCCCTGGTTGGCCAGTTCTTGAATCATCTTCAAGGGACTCCTGCCCCATTCGAAAACGTTTTGCCGATTCTTTCACTACAGAATACGAAGGAGAACTTTGGCCGTACACACCATCCAGCCTTTCTTTAATAATTTTAGGTGCTAACCCTTCTTTTGTCAAAAACTTTATGACTACTCTATACTCAATTTGCGTTATTTGCGACATTTTTTTGGACACGTCTTGTTTAAAATGCTGCCAATAAAAAGCAATTTGATGCAAGACTTCAATTTTTTTTTCGCAGCCTACTAAAATATATATTTAAAAAAGTCAAAGTTTTATCGTGATACTGGAGCTGCATCTATGTCAGGCCGGGAAATTTTGGCGCTAACCTCGTAAGTCATATCTGCAGGTTTTCTTAGTTTTCTAGTTTCAAGGAATAGGAACCCAGTCCTTTATTAATAATTAAATTAAAAATAAGTCATATAAATACATAGGAAGTTCTAGGTCTCGCTGTGGATCGTGGAGCAAAAACTATTAATAGGCTATAGTGCACCATGATTTTTTGCAAATTGGCGAGTACCTCTAAAAATTGACTGATTTTTGTTTAGGCCCCAGTTTGGGTAAAATAGAAAAGGAACTAACACCTGAATTTAGATCGTGTTATTTGCGATGGGAGAAGGAAACTATTGAGCTAGCCGCTCAGCTGACCAGAATCTTTTACAATTTGGATACGAACTTAAACAGCACGAGTTCTGGGGCGAACGTTTATTCGGCAAATAACTTGATACCTCCGCAGGTGGTTAAAATTTGCTCGCTAGGCATATGGTTCAACGTTTCGAAAATCTATGTAGGTGAATTTGACAAAAAGCGGGTCGGATGCGGCAATCAGGAAGGCCACCGAGATTGTAGCGGGCACCAATGCAGCCGTTAGGGGTGTGTTGCGCTTGCCTCCGAAACAGGCGGCGGTCAGCGAAATTCCAGACATGTCCAAGCAGACGGTTTCTACAGAGTTGGGTCCCAACGATGAAGAATACGATTCGGAAGAAGAGCGCACCAAAAAGTAAAATAATCTAATGCGATTTGGAACAATGACGGATTGTTCAGAACGATTTGCAGGGTGTACATGAAACCGGGAAGTTACAGCGTGCCAAAACGACCAGATGGTGGCGACTGTGGGATGGCCGTAGGCAGCAGTCCGAGGACTATAGAGTTTTTGGAGACTGCTCAAAACGTGACCAAAGCTAGAGAAATGGCGAACGACCGATACTGGACCAATCGACATGTCTATAACGCAAAGAATTCGCAAGATAACAGCTTGATGCTCGAAGATGGTGAACTCAACGTTAAAGAAGATGGGGTGAGTGATAACGGAGGCTTTAAAAAGAAAACTTTAAATGAACACATGTTCTAAACGTTTTAACTTTTGAGACAGAGGGTGGTAAAGTTTTCAAAAATAAAACATATTTTTTCAATATCTGTAATACCACTTAAGATATTTTGATGAAATTTGGCACACATGAAGAGGCATTGTTGAGTATACCACAAAAGTACACCAGTCGCTGGCGTACGGAATTTCTATTGTGGCAGACATTGACGATACCCCACTGATTTTTCTTAAATTAAAAATTATTCTTACAATCTCCAATTATTAAAAAAAAAATATTTTCTTAATTTTCTTCATTTCGTCGTACGGTTTTCACTTAAATAAAACCTCTTCCCTGCATGGTTATAACAATATCGTTAATAGACAGCATGCAGAGAAATTAGTTTTTATTTTTAAGTGAAATGCGTGCGTCGGACTAAAAAAAAATTAAATGCAGGCAAACGTAATCTTTTGAAAGAAATCAGTGGCGTGTTATTTGAAAAAACTGGGTTACTCTAAAAAATTAACAGTTAACATTACAAGACAAGTAAAGAAAAGTTTCATTTACAATTTTTCGCATGATCAGGTGACCCGGTAAATAGCATTTATGATAGTCACAGCCTCCTAGACACAATTTTCAAAAATTAAGTAAAAATAAAAAAAAAGACGCGAAGAATTGAATTGAAAAACTGATGTCAAACAATTGTCAAACAACCGACTTGACAACAGAATTAATACAGAGAGTCTACTACAATTATAAGAAATAGTTATAAAGATTTCAAAAATACAGCTCAGAGTTTACATATTTCGTATTCGTATTTCGATTTTTGAAATATTACAATTACTTACGTAAGAAATAATAATAATTTTTATTTTTTAAATGAAAACCGTACATCGGATTGAAAAAAAATCAAGAAATTATATTTCTGTAGAAATGATTAGAGATTATAATAATATATAATAATATTAATAATATACAATAATATTATTTTAAGAGAAATCAAAATATATATTTAGGTGAAATTCCATATGCCGGCCACCGGAAATATCCGAAGTGACTCGGATCCGTGAGAAACGAAACTCACTTGGTAAAGTGGCGCTTCTCGCACGCTAGAAAGGAGTAGAAAAAAATTGTGGTTTGGTCTGTTCATAGATATAAGCAAGTGACCAAGTGCTTTTGAATGGGATTATCCAAGGGTGGTCATTAACATACAATGCAACAATGCTAAAGTTTCGGAATTTAAATTCAGGTAAAACTGTGGTCCGTAATAGAAAATAATTTTATACCTACCTGTGTTTAATATTCTTTGGTTTGGTATACTACTTAGTTTAAGTTTGTTAGTAATCATTCTTATTTCGTGTGTAATACAGCGTGTGTTGAATCGTGTGCGAATTATGCAAAATATGTGCGAGTCTAGTGTATCTCAGAAGATGCTCCCGCCCAAATGTAGAAAACACTATTCTATTGAGACTAAGGAAGTTATAAACAATGATTATTTGTTTCTTATTGAACGTGGTGTCAGCAAGCAAGCATCTTTAGAAATAACGGCCACATTGACGAAAATTCCAACATCAACTGTATGGAAAATTGTGAATAATCCCATTTCAGCGAGGAAAAAAAGAAGCGATGCTGATATTTTCTCGAGTGTAGATGGAAGTGATCAAGATATAATACGGAGTAAAATTTACCAGTTATACGAGGAACAAAGCGTGCCTACATTAGATATCTTAATTAGGAGGCATGAAAAAGATGAAACCGGTGTTAAATATGGCAGAACTACCTTATGGAAGTGTATTCAACACATGGCGACTGGAATATCTAGAAAAAATTAGGATTTACAGAGAACAACAAAGGCCAAATTATTTATTTGGATGAAACCTGGTTCGACACTTATGATAACCCGAAAAAGGGTTGGGTTGAATCAACTGATAAGTGTAAAACAAGCGCGCCATCAAAAAGAGGTAAAAGAATAACTATTTTGCATGTTGCATGCTGGCTCTAAAGATGGTTCGATTCCAAGTGGACTTTCTCTGTCTGCGAAAAATATTAAAGATCCACAAAAGGAATACGTCTGTGATAATTATGCAAAAAATCTAGGGCATACAGTTTTAAGGGTTCCACGTTACCACTGTATATTTAATCCCATTGAATATGTTTGGCACCAATTGAAATCTGCCATTCGTCGTAATAATGTTTTTCGCCATGTTAACTCCAATGTCCTCAAACTTTTAGAAACCGAAGTTTTTAACTTTACTTTAACAAAGTGGGGCAAATTCTGTTAAACATATAGAAAAAGCAGAACAATCGTATATCCGTATTGCAAATAATATGGAACAAATAATAATTAGAACAGGCGATGGTAGCGATAGTGATACTGATATATTATGTGAACAATTTTAAGTAATTTAAGTAGGTAATAAAAATAATTTGTAATTTTATTTTAGATTTAAACATAAATACATACATAATATACATAAATATTCTTTAGTATCTTTCCCAACAAAACCCCAAATAATTAAATTCTAAGCAAAGTACGGACCTATTCGGCCATATTTCATTTTTACAGCTTGCCCGGGTCTTCCCTTAATTCGCATCGGTTAGTCACTTTCTTATATCTATGAACAGACTTTACCCTAAATAATGCTTCTTGATACATGTGTGCCAAATTTCATTAAAATATCCAAAGCGGTATTATAGATTTTAAAAAAATATATTTTATTTTTGAAAACTTTACCACGCTGTATCTCAAAAGTTAAGACTTTTTGGACATATGTTTATATGAAGTTTTCTTTTTAAAATGAACTCCCCTTAATTATTGACATTCAGTTTGAAATCATTTATCAGCAATTTATAAGATGGCTGGGATATAAATCTGCACCAAACATAGGCTCCGATTATTCCGCGAAAAAAGAAGTGAATTGCATCTGTCAAACTGAAATGCAATATTTTATTTAGAATCAAGCGGGTAATGATTATATTGTTAGTTATCTGTAATATGAGATTGTCTTTATTTATTTAGCACTTTTTCTACTTGTTTGTGCGAAACGATTTGATTTTGTCAATTTTTGACTGGGACGTTTTGGCAGGATAATTTATATAAATGTGTAGAATAATTTCATGCTGCTATTATGATTATACTTTTTTTTTCTTCTTCCTTTTCGGCAACTGCCTGTTATTTTTCGTCCCGTTGGGTCTCAAATTGTCGCACCATCTTTTTCGCGGGCACTTCTACGGTGATTTATCACTAGTTGTTTTAACTATTCTCGAGTCATCCATGCGATTGATGAGTTCGTTCCATTCCAGTTTTCGTTTTAATATCCAATCATTTATGTTATCCGCTCTACGCATTTAGATAATGTTTTTCCAGCATTTTTCCGTAATTTCCGTTGTCTCCATCATCTGCTTAGTTTTCGTTGTGTCAGGTCGTGTTTCTGCTAAGTACGTCATGATTGGTCTAATCGTTGTTTTACTTACACAGCTTTCACCTGATGGGCAATTTTGTCTTAGATGCAGATATAATCATGTTACATGGTTTAGGTGTTCGGTTAAAGGATTGCAATATTATTTGCAGGTCGTCTTTGTTTTCTGTTCCTAGTACAGTGTCGTCTGCATAGCACACAATTTTAATCTCGCGGTCGTTCATTCTGTATCCCTTTGCGTACTTCCCTTATTATCTCATCCATGATAATCTTAATCAGAAGCGAGCTTAAAGAGTCCCCTTATTTGATACCTCTTTCCACCGGTATAAATTCCTTACATTCTCCGTTGAGCTTAGATTTGGTTGGTCGAGTATATATTTTCGGTAGTTAGGTTCTGCGAGCTCTGTCTATCGTAAAGGAGATATTTTTGAGCTGAACTCGATCGAATGATTTTTCGAGGTTTATAAAATATTATGTATATTCTGGCTTTTTGTATTTGATAAGTTTTTTCGTTATTTGGCTTATCGCAAAAACGTTGTGATCTTCGATATTATTCCTTTATAGTTTTAATAATCGTAGTGAGTGCTTACTCGCCATTCGTCTGGGATTTTATGATGTCGAAGAATCTTTCGAATCAGAATTGTTAGTGTTGTTATTGTTATCGGCTCCGTATGGATCTGTATGGATATTCTACCCAGGTTTCGTCGCTTTGCATCCTTTTCGAAAACTCTTCCCAGCACCTTTCCTTTATTTGTCTAACCAGTTGCGATGTTTTAAGTACGCTACCTTCTTTTCTTTGCATTTTCCTTAACCTCTCGGCAGTACCTTGGGTATTTATTTGTTGTATTTTTAGGTTTACTAGTATTTCTAGTACCTAGGGCTGGTGTTAATATTGTCCCCTTCAGTTATTGGGTATTATCTTATTTTTTCCCTGTCTTTTTTGGTAGAGTTCGTTTATCGGACTTAATGTTTACTTTTGCTATTTTCGGTATTGGGTTTTTGTCTTTTTCAGGCGTAGTTTTAATTCTTATCTTTCCCACTAGCTCGTTACCTACATTAGCCGAGTTTAGTGTTCTGACGTCGATGATCTGACTATTGTTTGAGAAGGTGAGTTTATGGTCGAAGAAAGTATTACTGAATTGTAGTTCATTAAGAGAACAGAGGTTCATCATTATCTATCCATTATCATTGATTAAATTATTGTTAAATCTCTGTTTAACTCTTGGGATTGCGTCGTTGTCAACTCGTGCATTAAAGTCACCCAGAATTATTATTTGTTGGTTTCCCGGATAAGATTCTATTACGCCCTGAAGCTGGCTGAAGAATGTTTCTCGGTCGTTTTTGCGTTTGTTGTCATCAGGGGTGGTCAATGATGGTCACCTTTTCTTACTTAGTTTAACGGATACAGTTCTTTGGTATGGATCGCTATTGCAATTCCTTCTTTTCCCCTATCATGTCTTTCTACCCTGCTATATATCAGTGGGTAGTCTTGATATTGTTTTTGCCCTTTAATATATTTTGTTTGATCCCTAAATAATAAAGTGTAGAAAATTTGAGTAAGAATATCTTGATTAATAAAGTAATCAAACAATAATCTATTACGTAATAATAATAATTATAAGCCGTCTTTTTCTATTGTTAAATTTGTCTTAATTTTCTATCACACCCTTGTCATTTCAATTTGGATCGAGTCCACTGAACCTATTTAAAACGTTACCCAGTACGGATTTTTAATCGTTCCATTCCCAAATTCAATTCTCAAAACCAATTTCCCATTTTTCTTTACCAAGTTGGATCTGACCGAACTGAAGATTCACGAATGGCTCATTAGCAACGACTTTGGGGAACCGTTCAAATTGCAAAGCGGTCAGCCCGATCCGCAGAGCATTTTCATGGATAACGTCTACGATTCTTTGCTCGACGGTAACCAGTTCAGAATGGAGCAGCAGCGTTCCGAAGTAAGCACCGCTCGGTCCACGGCACCATTTAAATGTTGTTTTGTTTTTGCACGTAGAAAGGAAACTATTTGAAGATAAATTGCGACGAGATGAACGCGAAACTTGCCATTGCGAACGCGCAGGTGGACGACCTGCGCAGATCGAGGAAACAGAAGCAGAAAGCAGAAACCAGCGTGACGGATGCGGAAGAGAGGAAAGCTAATCCGTACGAAATCATTGGGGGAGGGTTAACGGGTTTGGGGCGCCACGTGCTGGCCAATTTGGTGGTGGCGATAAAGGGTAATATGTTGGGTCCTGTGGCCGCCGAAAAAGAGGTAGGTGATAGTTTCATGTTATTTTTGAAAGAGTATACTGGTGGTGGTTTTCTTTTGACATTTGTTGGAAATGATACTTCTATAACAAAATTTTTCGCAACCAGTGACTATTAAGCTGACTCTTTACTATTATACCGGAACTTCTATTAAATGCAACCATGTACTGTGAGGTAGTAGAAATTTGAAAAAAAAATGGATAAAAAAACCTGAAAAGTATTTTCGCGTTTCTAAAATGGCCTCCAAAATTACGTTTAATCACTAACTCGGGCGCTTAACTAGACTATGCTTTAAAGAGTAATAAATAAATAATACTTAATTGAGAATAATGCGAGAGTGTTATAAATCATTGCATATTTATTTATTTACTCACTTTTACAAGATATATCAATAGAACTAATTGACTACAAATGGCCATTAAATTTTTCTATTACAACTTAACTTCAAGTAAGTAAATAAATTACTACAGACTTTATACCACATGACGCTTTCCAAAAACTATTAAAGCCGTGAATCTGGAATCTGGTATTTCTGTGAAGAAAAAAAAAGAGCGTCAATAAAGAAAGTAATATGGGACAATCAACCACATAATTAATGAGTTTAAAAAATAGCTTAAAATCTGCCTAATTTCTTATATAGCTTAGTGCCGTCAGTTCAAATCTCTCCTGAAGCAGACTGTTGAGCAATATTCTAATAAAAGTCTAACTAGGCAGCAGAAAACTATTCTATGTACGTGACTCACAAATGATAATGTGGAGTCTATTATTACAAGATCACTGATATTCCAGACAACAGAGAACAATGCAATGGCGGAACATTGTGTTTTGTAGAGTAGCATATGGAGTGACACTTTACTATGTTCAGAACCATTGCATTGAACTAATACCACATAGCCAGTGTGTCAAGGTCAGATTGAAGTTTAGACAATCATCCCGATAGCATTTTATATCATCCGCAAAACAACAATCTAGAAGATTAATAAATATTAAAAACAATAAAGGACCTAGGAATCTCCGTGCTACACGCGAAGGGTTGGAAAAATTATTCTGTTAGCTAACTATCCACTAGAGAAGAGTTTTCTGAAGACCACCTGCTTTCAATTTACTGACCGATACACTATATTTGACGCTGTCGAATGCCTTGGAAAAGTCGGTGACATATAGTTTACATAAGTAACCTGTGGACCTCTTCTTAAAAAAACAAACTGAGGTGAAAATAGACTTTAAATAATCAACAACTATCTTTTCGAAAAGTTTGGGAGTCCTACTTCGGTTACATGTCAGGAAAGATCGAGGACAGAACTAACCAAAACTTAATTGTCTTAGTCGTATTCCATAGACGTATTATTGTATCGATTAATGATTGCTAAGGGTCCCGAGAGTGATAGGTAGACTCACGGACCTGTGCCAATATATGAAAATGGTGAGTTTTTCTGAATTTGTTTCTGAAAAACGAATCAAATATATGGAAAAAAGTTGACACTATTCATTGGTTTACTTTAAATAAGAAGCAATTTCAGAAAGATATGTTGAAACAGGAACTACTGGAGTGTAAATTTCAAAACGAAATGTAAGGGTACTTCGCCTTATCACTGTGAATTAAACCCTATAAAATTGGTACGGGTGCAAGTAAAAAGGTCTGTAGCAAGGCATAACACCACTTTTAAAATGAGGAACGTGGAAACCGTCCTGCAAGAGGGAATGAAGAGAGTGGATTGTGAAAAATGGAATAAGTGCGTCACACATGAACATGAAATACAAGGAACAATGTGGAAAACTGATAACATGCTGACTATTCGGAACCGAAATACTAAAATTTACAAATGAAGTGTAGGTCCTAGAAACTGAAATAAGGAATTTTTATAAACTATCATTTCAATTTATCTGAACTTTCCGATATAACTTTTACGTTGTCCCCCTGTCCTCCAGTCCCTCTGTTTAATGATAGAGCATAGTCCGTAACAAGTTGTTCTCTCATGCCATCACAACACAACAACATACAACATTTTTATTCCAACCCACGTTTTTATCATTTTTTAGATCGACTTCAGCAAGATATTGAGAAAACTACAAAATGGCGATTATCTATACGTCAACGAAGTCATTAGGGACCTGCGCTGTATCATTAAAGTATGTTTCGTTTGCTACTTTTTGGGAAAGTTTAAAAGCCATGCAATTTATGGTCATAAATCAAAAAATCTTATTTAAATTGAAATAGTTTACTTCTAGTCCTATTTCAGTTTTATCTAAATGCTGTTCAATTTCGTGCAATGTCAAAATGCGAAGTGCAACAAAAACTGCTACGCGACCACGTAAATTTTTAACAATAATGGTTCATTTCAGTTGCTGGAGGAAGTGGACGCGAGCACCAGCATGTGGTTCTCTCAAAAACTGGACCTTCTGTTGGAGGACGTTTTCCCAGCTTACGATTTTGACGACGTAAATCTTGACGTTATCGAAATAGTCGGTCCATTAAAAATCAAAATATCCCAAGTTCACAATAGCGACTGCGACCAACTTATCTAGGAACAACGTGTTTTTAAACAATATGCCTTAAATTAGAGCAAAATCGCTGTTACTTTTTTTACTTTTTTTAACAGTGTGCCCTTTCTCAAAAAAAGGTGAGGAAAAAGCACAACTTATCGCTTAGGTATTACAGAAAGTTAAAAAAAATTATAAACGTTAATGATGATATAAGTGTCATTGTTTTTAAGGAGTTTGCGTTGATATTTGACGTTTGACAATGTTTTATGTTCAATTAAGTTAATCTACATTTTAATAAATTAGTTAACTATACTTCAAAGTCCTTTTACTGAAACGGATGATCCGAAGTAATTCAATAAGGATAACGCCACAGGGAAAATAAAATTATATTTGTGCAAAGCTTTTAATGCTTTTCCGAGAAGCATCTTCACAACTCCCCTTCGCATTAACGCCCGATCAAACTTGTGCCTCTAAGTGCTTTTATTCTAAATGGAAAATCTTTAACATGCTGCTACTCTTTGTATAGGAGGAACGTTTTAAAGAAGGTGTTCATATAAAAAAACGAGCCTCCCATTTAAAATGCACTTCACTAACTTAAACAAAGTACTGTTTACAAACATGGAGTTGATATTTGACTGCACTATTGTGCAAAGAATTTATATAAATTTAGAACTCAAATTTATTTTATGGCAGTACCGTGAAAAGGAAAATTTTAAATTTGTTTTTCGTTCTTGACGCTTTGAAGTAGTAAAATAATTCCAGGCTTCAATTTATACAGTAAAATAGATGAATAATACGCATAAAAAAATTTAAAAAGTCTAATTTTAAAATTTTAAGAAAAAAAGTAACAGTAAATTTGAAATTGGTTTCTCATTCTTGACACTTTACAGTTGTAGTAAAATATTTTTAGGCTTTTATTTATACAGTAAAATAGATGAATAATACGCATAAAAAATTAAAAAGTCAAATTTTAAGGAAAAAACTAACAGAATCACCCATGTAGGAAGGATGTTATCAAAGATCTGGGAATTTTCCTATATTTTTTATTGGGCTAATTTTCGTCAATGTTACAATATGGTTTTTAATAATCTCTGGTTAACTGAATTTATTCCAAACGACAAACTATTTTTTTAAGCCGTCTTCAGACAACGTTTCCATTGTGGTCTCAATTTATCTATTTATGGCACGTTTTACGTCATTTAAATTTTCAAATCGAACACCCCGTCAGGGTTTTTTCAAAGCTGATGATGACACTAGGTGCAAGATCCGATGCGGAAGCAATTCCAGTCGCAAATCGTTTAAAAAATCTTTCGTTTCTCTTACGTGGTCCATAATGGTCCGGATAATAAATTAGAATAATATTCTGCGATAATTTTAGTACCAATCGCCAGATAATCAATGAAAATAATACCTTCGCAATCCCAGCGTAGGGACAGTAAGCATTACCTTTCCAACAGGCGGGATTGCACGCGCCTTAATGCAGGGCGGGTAAAAAAAACATTAGTTTTTTGAATCTGACACACAAAAACTAGTTGCTAGTTACGTCTAGAAAATAGTTACCACGTATGAGCTCTTAATATTAATGGGAAAATTATCCTCAGTACAGTTTTGCGTTTAATAATAAGATAATCATATCTAGTAGATCATTAACCCAATTTTATTAATAATTTTTATAGAAAATTGAACGCTCTACAATCGAACCATTTCGAAGATTGAAAGATAACATTTTTTCTAAATTTTGTTATTGACTGAAAAATAATTATCTCGGAATGTTTTTAATTATTCCTATAGGAAATTTAATGCTCTACAAAAAAGGCCTATTGTGGTTTATCGATTACTCAAACCATTTTGGAATCCCAATGTATTTATATATATATATATATATATATATATATATATATATATATATATATATATATATATATATATATATATATTCTCACGTATTGATTCACGGATGGAAAAATGTGATGACAGTATATTCCGGGATATCATCCGTTCGCTCGTTGAACTCCGACTGGAAGTCGGATGCAGGATTCCAGTCGGAGTTCAACGAGCGAACGGATGATATCCCAGAATATAGTGTCATCACATTTTTCCATCCGTGAATCAATACGTAAAAATATACCAGTGTTCGAAGTGTTTTCGGAGCGCGAGCATTGAAGATTCCAAGTGAGATTTTGGCGAAACGTCTGCAGGATTCCAGTCGGAGTTCAACAAGCGAACGGCTGATACCCCGGAATATAGTGTATATATATATATATATATATATATATATATATATATATATATATATATATATATATATATATATATACGTGGGGTCAAATAGATATTTCCTAAAGTTTAAAAGTTTAAAAAATTCGGCGCCTGCAAAGAGCTGGGCGTCGCGACGCGTCGAAAAATTATTCGATTGCAGAGACTTTGGAAATACGCGCATACAAAAGTACATATTATTTAAAAACTTTTTTGTTATTTACTCAAACTTATTTACTTTACCCGTTTCTAAGCTATACCGATTTAAAGTAAACATTTCTTGATTAATAAAAAATGTGATTAACGCTTATTTTTACAAGTATGCCATGAATGTTAGTTACTATGGCAACCATTGTTATCGCAGTTGTCTTAAGTGCAATTACAAACAATAGATTTCAACTATTTTAGTATGATTTTATTTATTATTTTTTATCGATTTAGTTCTGATAACATGATAAATAAATACCTACAAGTTAATAACCAAAATTATTATTGCAATTAACTACATAATAAGACATTTCAAAAATTTTGTTCAAAATTATGTCCATCTGCTCGAACACAACTATCAAAAACTTTTAACAGATGAGCTTGGGTCACTTGTAGGAGAGTCCTTCTTATGATAGCGGCACACGCTGCACTATTTTTGTTAATGAGATCAGCCATATCTTCGATAGGTTCTTCATAGATAACGTTTTTTAGGTAGCCCCAAAGAAAATAATCTGGTGGTGTAATGTCCGGGGACCTCACCGGCCACCTTACCGGTCCATTAGTACCAAACCATCTATTGGGATATTCTCGGTTCAAATACCTCGTTACTATTTGGGCATTATGTGCAGGCGCTCCATCCTGCTGTAGCCAGATATTCATTCTAGTGTCAAGAGGCACTTCTTCTAATAGTTCCGGAAGTGTAGTTTGAAGAAATCTTAAATAGCGATCTGCATTTAAAGTTCCTTCGTAAAAGTAAGGTCCAATAACGAATCCATTTAATATGCCGCACCAAACATTGATACTAAAAATTCGTTGGTTACCTCTTTCTGTAATCCAACGAGGATGGTTTTCGGACCAAAAACGACAGTTGTGTCTATTAACGATTCCATTATTTTGAAATCGACTTTCGTCGCTCCATAAAATTTTCGAGAGAAAATTTGCATCTTGGCTATACAAATCGGACAATATCGCTAAGAAATATATTCTTCTAGCATAATCGCCTGGTTCTAGTTTATGAACTAGTTTACTTTTGTACGGGTGAAAAGAGTTTCTATGTAGAATTCTCCACGAAGAACTTATGGTAACACCGGTATTTTCTTTTATCTCTGATAGGGATATCTTGGGGTTATTATCAACCTGCTGAATTACAGCAGCAGTATTTTCATCATTTGTAGCCGTCCTGTTCCTATCTCTTTTAGGTTTTATGAAGCTGCCATATTTTCTTAAGTTTTTACATAAACTTGAAAAGGTTTTTGCATCGGGGACTCTTCTATGCGGATAACGCTTCTCTACAATTGCATCTGCATTCTCCAAACACCAGTAACAGGTCTACTTTTTCCTCATTGCTAAATTGCACCATTTTCACATAATAATTCTTAGTTTTTTTTAAACCGAACAAATTTGGATATTTCTTGTGACAAAATGTGACAATTTTTTGATACAGCAATAACAACTCACGTTTGTAATTGCACTTAAAACAACTGCGATAACAATGGTTGCCATAGTAACTAACATTCATGGTATACTTGTAAAAATAAGCGTTAATCACATTTTTTATTTATCAAGAAATGTTTACTTTAAATCGGTATAACTTAGAAACGGGTAAAGAAAATAAGTTTGAGTAAATAACAAAAAAGTTTTTAAATAATATGTACTTTTGTATGCGCGTATTTCCAAAGTCTCTGCAATCGAATAATTTTTCGACGCGTCGCGACGCCCAGCTCTTTGCAGGCGTCGAATTTTTTAAACTTTAGGAAATATCTACTTGACCCCACACTTTGACTACTTTTTACATAAATTAAATATTTCTTTTCGTTTTGGACTTATTGGCGTGCGGAGTTTTAAGTGAAAAACTCTGTATATATATATATATATATATATATATATATATATATATATATATATATATATATATATATATATATATATATATATATATATATATATAATAGAAAATAATAGAAAAAGAAATTTGAAATTTTATACCTTAATATAGTATTAATACAAAAATATACATTTTTTTAGATTCAGCTATATAAATCGACTTTTATTACAGTCAGGAAATAGTCCTCGCAGCAAGTGTCTTCCTTTTTCGTCAAACACTGATTATATTCAGAGACCAACGCTACTCCACGCCCCGCTGCGTCATGTACAACTTTCATCTGTTGATATACTTTTGATTTTCCTTATAATTCTCATCTAAAGCCCACAATGCAATGTCAACATCAAGGAAATCATATGGTAGTTCAAATATTTTGAACAAATTCAATGATTTTTTAGAAACGAAGTCACTGAAATCCTTTTGAATAATCAAAGTAATGTTCTTTTGATCGATCTCAAATTTTTGAAAACAAGAATTTATACCATTTCGAGTTTTTACAGCTTCGACTAGCTTCTTTTTTATATCGAGTGGGACCGTATCATGAAACAGTGATAAAACGGCTAGTTCATTATTTAAATACCACATTGGTGATAAGATATGATATGACTTAATAATGAGGGTAATCTTCCCATTTACATTAACAGCTCAAACGTAGTAAGTACTTTCTAGAGGCGACTAGCAACTAGTTTTTGTGTGTCAGATCCAAAAAAATAATCGTTTTTGTAGCCACCCAATTGACGACTGTAATGTCATTTACAGCTGTACTTGGACGCCCACTGCGTGGCAAGTTTTAAAACGATCGGTCCACAGA